GAGATGCCCTCCCTCACGTTCGCGTTTCTATTCACATCTCAGGTCCCAGTCCTAAACGCAATCCCCGATGGTATGCGAGATACAATTATAGTTGGCATCCTCGAGGGTTGGAGATGATGATACAAGGTCTGGCCCATGCGGCGTGGAGAAGAGAATACGGTACTGTATGTAGCACTGGCACTGGCTATGAAGGATTTATGCTTCCTCGCTACTTTGCACGCATTAGGGGTTGGGCCCGGGATCGACTCCCCATCCTGGTCAACCGTATCCGTGGGACTTCAGCTGGCAGGGGAAGGGAAGGGGACGCGTGCCGCTGCTGCATCATGGTCCGAGCTGGTGACAAGTCCCAGGTCGTTCTGTCGTCGTGCTGTCGGTGGTTCTGCTCCGCCAACACAAGACAGGACAGGAGAGATAGGCAGGGCTCGTGCGATATCTCATCGACAGGAGAGCACGCCCTTTGACCGGGTGAGAGAGACTCCCGATGGAGGACCTGCCTGCACAGATGAAGCATGGGTACGACGATCACTAGGGTCGCGATATGGGCATTATTGCTCTCACATATATGGCCGGCATGGGAAAGTCCGTTTCTCTATCCACCACACAGACATTCGAGCTTTCACCACTACCCGTACCTGGCACCTCGTGTGCAAATGGCACACCTCAACTCATCCTCAACGCAGATAGGCCATGCTGACCAACCGGCCACCACCAGTCAACACTGTGCGACCCTGAGAAATGGCCGTATTGAGACATCGGCATGCAGAACGACCACTTTCGTGCATTTCTGCTGCACCCTGCAGAATGGCTCTGTGGGGTTTAGTGGCCTCCGCACCCTGTGTTCGCCGAGGGCGTCGTGATCTGCACTCTTTCAGACACCTCTCAATTGATATCAGTGTGCTCGTTATTGAGAACGGAACAACAGTGGCTGGAAATAGCTTCAAGGCCATCAATTTCGGAGGCATATGCTGTACTCACATCGGATCTCGCCTTCTACTTCCGAATGCCTGCTTCGATTCATCCGATAAGAATCTGGCAGACCAGTGAGAGAAGTGTGGAGGGTATTTTGATGTGCAGCGACTGAAGGAAAACAGAGAATGGTTCCTCTGCCCTCCCCTTTTCTCGGACCACTCGTCATTTCGTACAGAATCACCACATTGGCACTATGCTGTGCAGCCTCAGGAACTCACATGTACGGGAGAGTTGTAATTGGGTGCTGGATGGAAGCAGATATCTGATCCAGCCTGGTCTTACGTCTGCTATCTGACAGCGCTGTCTATGGGCGCCAGGTCTCGAAGCTTTGCCAACGATTCCCACCGATCAACCCCGCTCTCGAAATCCGAGTTCTGTCTCGCAGTGGTGTTCTTCAGCAAGCACAGCATGCGGAAATCAACGGGAGCACGGCGTGAATCCAAATCTCCCCCTTTCAGAGACGATAATTTCCAATATCATACACCCGGAAATCGTTTTCGGAGCATTCCCCACGAGGCTGACACTGACTCCATCAGGCTGCGCATTTTGCTGCTGAGCAAGGCCGACCCGCCAGGTTGGCACAAACCAACGCCGTACCATCTCCATGGGATCAGGCTCAAGCCCAGCCGAGACAAGAATCCGGATGTGTCGCACAAGTCACCTCAGGGCCGCCATCCTTCCTTCCCCTTGTCCCTGCATGTTGTCGTCGACGACGACGACACGGTACGACTATCTACTGCGTGCATTCTTCAACCGAATTGCCAATTTTGTTTGTGGTGGCAGAAACAGTGGCGACTGACAGCTGCCACCGTACCACATTCTGCTCACTCTGCAGCATTGGTGAACCTCTCGAGCCACTGGTAACGGGCATCAACCACACTCGAAGACGTGTTCCCATCCGAAGGTGGCACACGGGCAGCGACCTCCTGCTTGACGACGGCCTTTGCAGATTGCCTTGCGAACGAAACCCCTCTCTGTTCTCCTGATCTGAAGCGTTACCGTACTTATTGTTGAACCTCAACCCAAGGCATATACCGTGACATCTCCGCGGCCAGGCGTGGTGTTTGATAGTAAGCGAGCACCCCCGTCCATTGGGCATCGATTCCAGCTGGCCGGCAGCTGGGTGCGAGAGCGTGTGAATAAATGAATGACATCTATACTTATTGCGTCTGTATGTGTAGGCGCGTTGAGCGCTGAAAACGATATTTCATGGCCCTCTTCGCACTATTGGACGACGAGTTGTCGGAGTCCAACAAGCTTCCAAACCTAAAATATGGTGCTGTGGTTCGCTGATTACTTCGAGTATCTGAAAGCTAGGGTTTGTCAAGCCCGTCCTGCCAGGGCGTTCAGTGAGCTTTTAGTGCCTCTCCATGATTTGCGCGGACGCTGCTGGTGTGGAGGCCCGGGGAGCTTCAGAGTGTTGGTGGCCGCTTCAGACCACGCCGGTCCCAGAAAACAGAACGTTTCCACAGTAGGTCACATCACGCATGGGAATCTTGACGGCAGTATTTTACAGTGCTTCCTACTGACCTACTCGCCCGCAATTGATGATCCCTTACGAAATGATCCGCGAAGCCAATTCGAGCGGCAGTCTGGCTCGCAGCGCTAAGGAACGATCCGACTCAGTAGTGTGTGTACAGACAAATAGGAATAGCAATAATAATGCTAACGCTACCGGATTCACCACTAAACGGGAACTTGATGGTCGGTGGCAGTTAGTGGCTGCCCTTCTCGGCCATTACTGCTCTGCTCTGTTTTTCATCCAGTCGTGGTGGTCTAGTCCTCAAGTCCTCAAGTCCTCGTCAATCTGTTCTGCTCTCCTATCCGAGCTGGTGTTAGCGTAGCGACCTGATTCACCCCCACGCTGTGGCAGCTTCTGGACGACAGCCGAAGCAGGCCTCACTCAACTCACATCCTTCCCGTCGACGTCCACAAGTCCCCTGTGCCTGTACTTGTGAGAAGTGAGTGACCTCTACCACCAGCGATAGCAGACAGGCAATGTGCATCTGTCAAAGTAAGCATATCTCTCTCTCCCCTCTTTCATACCATTCTCCAATGCACGCAGTGGTGTGCATCCAGCAACAGACAGGCGTGGTGTGAGGACGGCATTCTCGAACTGCACCCGCGCACTGGGTATGGTTTGCCGCATGCAGTCGAGAGAGAGACTTTGAATCGTCGTCCCCGGCCGGAGGCTGCAGCCCCAAATCCGCCCCTCTTCCCATCTCAGATCGTGTTTGGTGCCTCGCAAGATCCCTGATCCATGGACGCCCAATGTCTTTGACCTCTTTTACCAGATGCGAGGGTGATGCTCGCCTGCCAGTGGTAGAGTCCACCTACGAACCCGGGGACTGGACAGTAGTGGGCTCTGCGCTGAGGAGGGGTTGATATTTTCAAAAAAGGGTTTGGAGAGGCGTGCACCGGAGTGGACACAGGACGGAAAACAGTGGAGAGAAAAGTCCTGGCCAACCTAGTGGTGTAGGTGCACATCACTGTTCTGACTGACTGTCCTTCCCATGTCCAGACCCAAGCCTGGCAGCAAGCCAAAGCTCCCCAAATCTCACAAGCCCCAGCAGCGTTATTCTCTTCTCTGCTCGCCCCTGCCCCCCCCCAGGTAATAGGGTGCACGCACTAGGATTCCCGTTGTAACTCAGTCGGGCAGTAGAATCCAAGCTCCTAGGCCTGGTGCTCCTCCTCTCCTCGATCCATCCCTCCCTCCCGTAAGAAGCCGCATCCGCCCCTGCCACTGTCCTTGCCGGGTAGCAGGTTCGATCTTGCAGCCAATGCACCGCGATCCTCCCACAGTCCAGTCCAGATTCTGACATGCGAAAAGCATTGCAATGGTCTTCCATGGACATGCCACCAACATGCGCCTGTCCACGCCTGGATTGGTCTCCCCATCATCTACACTGTCTCTCATCGTCACATACCCCTGCTCTGACACCCTGGTCAGCTTTTGCAAGTACTGGCACTCACGTCTCTAGTGCCGTTCTTGTTGATTCTCAGTATGTCTTCACAATATGCTCAGAATGGGTAGCAGAGAAACTCAACACTGCCAGGCAAGAGGACATTACAGCTGCTCCAGCAGCCTTGTCTGTTTCATTGCCATGCCTCCCGGTCCGGGACTTCTCATTGGCGCGGTGTCAGTCGGCCAGCGCGGGATGAGGACCTCTGAACCACATCGACTCCATGGCCAATATTGCTCAGGCGGGGTGGGGGCTTGATGGGTTGATCTCTATACATATATGAACTCCATCTGTAACCTCTCTCTCAAGATCTTGGAGCAAAAAACCGAACGATTGGCAACCCCCCCTCCAACTATCGATCCCAGTTGCACATCAGCTCAAACCAACCCTTGGTGCTCAAACATCACTCACTACTTGCAGTAACATAATCACCACTACCTCGTCCTCTTCCTCGAGCCTGCCTGAACATAACAGCAACCTTCCAACAGAATAACAGCGATACTTTTACCTGGTCACAACTCCAACATCCTCCTCTTTTCTTTCGGCGGACATTTGATTTGATTTATTCTTGCATCAGCTCTTCCTTCGGCGGCTACTTCACTGGCAGCCCCACGCAAATTCGAACTCCAAAATCCTAATAATCCCTCAACAACAAAAAGTCTTGCGTCTAAGCAAGACAATACCGTCAAGCTGGCAGTTACAGCACAAGCACCCGGCCAGGCCTGGGGACGTTGGCCAGAGCAGCATTCTCACCAACCGGTCGAGACGTACTATACGATGGACATATCTGGACTCATTCAATCCTACGATTCCAGAGCTACATCTTCGACAGCTGCGTTGTCTCGAGCCATCATGGCACCTCACTATGTTCCAGCACTCCCATACACCCAAGCACCGACAAACACCATCATCACAGCCCATCAACAAGTACAGCACCACAACCCATTCGGATTTGGATCTTACTCTGGACCGAGCCCGAATGGAATGATTCCAGCTTTCGCCAACAATTTTATTCAGCAAAGACCACTGCCACGACTGATGGCGCCAGACAGCGACGGAGGACCGGGAATGTCATTTTCTCGAACTACTCGACAAGGCTTCGTCGAAGAACACCACAGCCAGAGCCCACCCATCAAGACCGAACCACTCTGGAGCGTTTCAAACAGCTCACCTACTTTTGTTCCTGCCAACACCAAGACTATCGCCTCTAGTGCTCCTGGCAGTGCTCATGAGGTTAACTTTGGCACCGAAGTCGATACTCTCATGAAAGCGATCCAAGCCAAGTCCAAGACAACGCAGCCACAGGTGGCCTCACCTGTCAATCAGAGTAGACCTGTGGTAGGTGTTTCTCCTACCCCTCCTTACAGGCAACCTGCCTCTCAAGCCAGTGGGTACGAGGAGAGTAAATTCAAGCTCACGCAAGAGACTCTCCAGGATGATGCCAGCAGCCGTAAGGGTAATAAGAAGCGTTACAAATGTACCATCGAGAACTGCACCAAGAGCTTCTATCAGAAGACTCATCTTGATATCCACGAGCGGGCACACACTGGAGTCAAGCCATACGTGAGTAAAGCATCACTCTTGTTGCAAAACATACACTAACAGTCAAAGCCGTGCAAAGAACCCAGCTGTGGACGAAGCTTCTCACAACTCGGAAATCTCAAGGTATATTTCTGCACTATGCTCTACCAAGTACAGCCACTAACAGAATGATATCCAGACTCACGAGCGAAGACACACCGGAGAACGACCATACCAATGTGAAGTCTGCGGGAAACGTTTCGCACAGCGCGGCAACGTGCGAGCTCACAAGATCGTGCACGATCAAGCCAAGCCCTACCTCTGCCGACTCGACGACTGCGGCAAGCAATTTACCCAGCTCGGCAATCTCAAAGTACGTTTCCATCTCCTATTTTTCGTTTTTCTCTTCCCAGCAAGTCATTTTGGGGATGGTTGTGGCAAGTACCACCACCGTTTCAACTTCTGACCCCTGTCTATGTTTCCTGCAAATCGATCTATTATTTTCCTTTTTCAACTTCTAGAATGAACACCAAGACACAGCCACCAACCCCTCCATCACTAAACGCATGAATGTTTCCTCTCCCCTTCTCCTATTATTCGAATCACCTCAACTCAGCTCCCATCACCTCATACACTAACATACCCCTACCTATAGTCACACCAAAACAAATTCCACATCTCGACGATCCGGTCTCTGACAGCAAAATTTGCCTCTATCAAAGACGGCGACATCGTCCACGCCGCCGACAAGGAGCTCTGGGAGTACTTCGCCAACCTGTACAAAAACAGCAACAAGGGCATCAAGGGCCGCGGCAAGGACCGCAAGGTCGGCTCCGCGAACCCGTCTATGCGCAGCCACCTCGTCGGCATCCCTTCTTCGCGCTCATCAGGCGGGTATTCCATGTCTGGCACCGGCCGAGGATCTTTGGGTATGGGTATGAGTAACCACGGATTGCCGATGCAGGGGAGATCTGCAGACGGACAGCAGTATGAGATGCTCGACGTGGATGAGGGCAGTCAATCGCAGTGCGGGAGTCACAGCGGGAGTGGAGGCGGCAGCTCCGTCTCAACATGCTACGACGATGCCCCATCTGATGGATTCGAAGACGCTGGTGGTCGGGGAAGCGATCTAGCGTTCGGAGACCGCATTTATTGAATGGGGAAACATCGTGAGTTTGCGTGAACGAGAAGAGAACAGAAGGGAAGTGGAACCATAGGACACGACAGTTCCCAGTGATGAGCAGTAGAGTATTACGACAGTTGACGAGGAACGAACTACGAGTGAGCGAGCGAGCGAGCGGGAAATAGAGAGATCTGTATTATTATTTACGACGACGACATAGAAATTAACAACATACGCAATACGAACGCAAAGGAAGGCAAGAAGGAAGGCGTGGCTGGGAGGCTGGGCTGTCTGGAACCAAACGGAGCGAACTGGGAAAGCGGGAGGGATTACCATCGAGGCATTTTAAGTTTATTATTGTGGTGTGGCTACCTATTTTTCTTCATTTTGTTCCTCCTTATCTTTCCGTTTTTGAATCTTTTATCTATATATATATATTATCACCCAACGACATATCTACATAGTTCCTTGCTTCCCTTGTATTTTCTTTGAGCCTAGGATATGCGTCCACACACACACACACACATCAAAAAAAGGGAAGCGTTGTGCTGTTGTTGTTGTTGCTGTTGTGGTTGTTGCTGTTGTGGTTGGGAGGGAACCTTGTCTGCTGGTTCTTATCTTTACTAGAAGATCACATTGCATGGAAGCGAAGCGAAGGGGGAGCCAGGGAGGAACAATTGATATTCATAGCTAGCATTACATAGGGGAGGGCGGCTTCTTGGGCCTGTCAGCAGGGTCCCAATTTTTGCTTTCTGGGCTTTTTGTTTGCGTGTGCGGGTTTTTTGATGTTTGTTTGAGTTGAATATTGATATCCATAGATACCTCCTTATTAGGTAGAACGAAAGTATTGTTATTATTACCATTACTATTACTATTGAAGTGTGGCTTGAGATGATGGTGAACGTCATGAGTGAAGAAGAGGGCTGGAAGATGGTGGACTTGCATTTGCTGTTTCCGGCAGGTTGGACGTAAGAATGGCATAAACAGGGACGTTGATTTGGCCATTCCTGTACCGCGTCGTTTCGTCTCATGGCTAGGTCGAGAAACCCCACAATGTAGACACACGTGGGCACCTTATCAAAGCCGCACCCAACAATCCCAACCAACCCTCCGTATCATGAAAACGCCTTCCTGCGTTACCAGATTTCCCCATCCCATCCTGATTGACACCCAAAGTTCTTTGTCCCGTCGGCGTGTCAGACCCTCGAGGCGACGGCCACCCGCCTCGAGATTAGATCACGTAACGCCTCAGTTGTGGCGCTCTTATCACTGGGGTACAGACACTAATGGAAATAAAATATCCCGCGCGGGTGCCACCACAGTCCATCTGGCATGCGACCACCAGCGAGCCGAGCGAGCGAGCGAGCGACCTTCCCTCTAAAGTTTACTTGGAGGAAGGGTAGTACGTACGTGACAGCAACGTGCAGCGGTGAAAATGTGTGATTTGAAAAACCTTTCTGCGCGATTTTACTCAGAGGTGTGACTGTGATGAAAGCCAGCAGCAGCAGCAGCAGCATCCTCGGAACCAGCCTTACGATAATCTTTTTCGTCCCAAGAGTGTGGAGGGGTGTGGTCTCTCGGTGTGACCGTGCTGGTACAGAAAGTGCTGGCGGCATCGGGCGCTCGCGGGCCACCTTCACCGCTGAGACTTCTGGACATTTCGGAGTCTGGTATGAGCGGTACATGTTCCAGCAAGATCTCCAATCCTGGAGCATGCCGATGAGGTGTTGTTTCTGGGGATGCGATTGACGGGTTAGGATTCCAGATGTGATGCAAATGCGATGCAATGTAAGATGCTCGATGTGGGAGGACGGTGTTACAGCACCAGGAGTTCGTGGGTCCATCGTCTGGCTGTCTGCAACCTGCGCGCTGACCGCACAGACTTCCGCATCTCGGCACGAACCTTTTGGAGTTTGTTTGACGTGCGCTGAACTCTGAACTGTGAATGTCTGTGATGAACGTCGCCGTCTGTCTGAGAAGGGACATCCATGAATGAGTGGGTCTCTTGGTGTAACGATGGCGGCTGTCACCACTCAGAACTGCAGCTCGCCGATGTCTTGGGTGAGCTTGGGTACATGAAATTGAACGGTGTGAGGCGAGCGTGTGGGGTTAGCGTTCTGTTCCCTGTGGAAGAGACAGCTGTGGTGGTCCCAGGATCGCTGCAGGGAAGTTGCCTGTATCACGTGCAGCTGCATGATCTGGCTGAGAGGTGAGGAGGTACTCTCGAAGCACAGCAGGAGATGGGGCTTGCGCCGGCTGCATTGCATGTCCTGCCAGTTGCGCGTTGATGTCATGCCGATTTTTTGATCTTCTCTGCTTCGTCGGATTCTTCTGATGACACATCTCCTGGGATAATAATGTCGTACAGAAGCTTAAATTTCGGAGATCTGACGAGGGGAAGGGGTTCCGAATCAGGTTGTCGGGTCGGCCAGCTGAGATGCGCATAAAAGGGGGTTTGATAGTGGCACAGGGGTGGTGTGATGAGCACCCATACAATAGCTGGTTCCAAGTTGACATCGAGATGCGAAACTATCAGCCGCCATGGAGCGTCGAGACAAACAGAATATTGTCGTTGGGCTGCAAGGCGTAGGTGGCTTCGCCCTCTAGTTCCCAGTCGGCGTCGTTGATGAGGACTAGGATTCCTGGGCGACTAGATGCATGCAGAGTTGTCAGTTCAGTGCCGACTTTGCCATCCATCTGTGTTTGCATTGGGACGCTGCTGCAGGAGATGGGAGGAAACGGTGAAGACAGATCTGGCTGGGAGTGGCTTGCACGACGAGATCCTTGATCCCATGACGAGCTGGATGATATGCGTTCGCCATTAAGAGATTGACTGAGATAGTGCAATGTGGACCGGATTGATTTGATAACAGAAAAGGGTTGAGCCAGCGGTGAAAGCGGTGAACGGGCAACGTGCTGCAGAAGAGGCAAAAGAGGCAGAGAGGCTTGCTTACACGTGACCGTCGAGGACAAACATCTCCTTGCGCATATCTCTCATGAGCTCGTCGCAGAGATACTCAACCAGCCATCCCACGGTGACCGCATCGCCCTTGCTATCTTTGGCAGGGACTGACAGTTTATGCTTGCGCTCGTCAGCAAAGAGCATCTCTAGGCCGCCCCTGGACTGAAGTATTAGCATCCTGCGACTCTGCAACCCCCACGGACGTTCTGGATTGTGACAGGGCCTTACGTGAACTCGACTATGATGGGAATATCCTCTGCGGAACTCATGGCGGGCCGGTCGTACGATGTCGATGAGTTTGGAGGTTCTAGAGGACCTGAGATGTCGAGATGATGTTTGGGAAAGAGATGAAGAGGAGGGAAATGAGAGTCGAAGAAAATCCTGCGTTTGAAGGGCTCGCTTAGCTTAATGCGCTGCACTTTCTTACTTCTGCTGCAGAAATTATATTTTATTTTGGCGGCAAGGTCAGTTTGGCCAATAGGGGTGAATGGAAATGAAGATGTAATTTTGGTGAATTACTCCTTTTGGAGTTTCGGAATAGCATCAATTTGGGCCATCGATAGAACGAAAAAGATGTCTCTCTCAAAGTGCAAGCAGGCTTTGAAAGACCCGGCCGTCCATCGCAACTGACTTTAGCGAAAAATCTTCAACCTTCAACCTAAACATCACAACTAGTGAAAGCATTTCTGACGTCCAGATTCAGCCTCATCTAGAACATTCATGATATCAATGTCTAACGACCATCCTCCTCGATGACCTGATTTTCGATCGAGCCGGCCTCTCAGTTTCACAATCATCGATATTCCGTCCGTCTAGGCCCTCATGATTTCATGAAGACAGTATGACTCAACTTACAGCGGAATACCTGACAGCAGGAGCCAACAGACACCCATCTGCTGCGGACTGGGATACAAGTGGTCTTTTGGCCTTCGGTGCTGACAGGAATGTTGCTCTCTGGCAACCACAGGTGAGTTCCTCATCGGTCACGGGACCCATGCCGTCTTGGAAGATTATGGAATACATGCATCTATATTTCTTTTATTGTTTGCAATCAGTCAGAAAGTGGACTAACCATGGCATAGAACACACGTTCGCAAGGATTATTGGCTCTTCTCAGCGGCCACACAGACACTGTGAACGCTGTGAAGTTCATTCCGGAATCCTCAAGGATCTTGGTCAGTGGGTCCGTGGACAAGACCTTGAGAGTATGGAAAGAAGATCCAACATCAGGGCTTTACACGTGTATCCAGACACTCTCAGATCATCAAAGCTCTGTCAATTGTGTTGCAGTATCCAGTCGCTCTTCTAGGATATTCGCATCGGGTGCCGCTGATGCGACTGTCAAGATCTGGGAGCTGGATGATCAGAATGTCGCAGCCCTGCAGCAGAGTATCAGCATTGTTCCTCGGTTCTTCCCACTCGCTCTGGCCTTGAGCCCTCTGGCTGGAGCCCCTGAATCTTATGTGCTTGCTGTAGCAGGCACCAAGGACATCATACAGATCTATGTCAAGGATTCCGAGAAAAGTCCTGACTTCAAGTTGCAAGCTACGTTGTCTGGCCATGAAGGTTGGATTCGTTCTCTTGAATTTACTCAGGAGAGCTTTAGACCTGATAGTGACCTCATCTTATCATCAGCAAGCCAAGACAAGTACATCCGGCTATGGCGTATTCATCAGGGCAAAGAGCTTCCAGCAGCCGCTGCTTCAGCAGACCCATCTCTAGGCGCATTCATGCCTGGAAAATCTTTATCCAACAGAGCTCATCGCTTCAAGGCCGAAGGACTTGACTTCTCTGCTACATTCGAAGCACTCTTGCTGGGCCACGAAGACTGGATCTACAGCACAAAATGGAAGGCTGTTGGCAATAAGCTACAGCTACTTTCAGCATCAGCAGATAACTCTCTAGCTATCTGGGAGCCCGACTCGACAACAGGAGTATGGGTCACCGTCGCAAGGATGGGCGAAATAAGTGCAGAGAAGGGTTCGACGACAGCGACCGGCAGCACAGGAGGCTTCTGGACAGGACTGTGGTCTCCATCAGGGGAGACTGTAGTTTGTCTTGGACGAACAGGGAGTTGGAGACTATGGAATCACAATATGGACGAAGATCGATGGGTCCAAGGTGTTGGAATCAGCGGTCATACTCAAGCCGTTACTGGTATCGCTTGGTCCAAAGAAGGAGAATACCTCCTCTCCACCAGCTCAGACCAAACCACACGTCTACACGCAAAGTGGAAGCGTGAAGATCTCTCTTCTTGGCATGAGATGGCACGTCCGCAGATCCACGGCTACGATCTAAACTGCATCGACTCTCTCGGATCATCACAATTCGTCTCTGGCGCCGATGAGAAACTCATGCGTGTCTTCAACAAGCCCCGAGCAGTTGCCTCTTTACTCGCCAAACTATGCGGCTTTTCAGACTCGCACATCGAAAGCATGCCTGATGCTGCGAATATGCCGGTACTAGGACTCTCGAACAAAGCCATCGAAGCCGTAGACGACGACCAAGAAGTCGTAAACGGGAACAACAACGATCGCGAGGCAATCGACCCGGCATCCATCGTTCATAAATCAACACTCAACCTCGACCACCCACCTCTCGAAGACCATCTCTCTCGCCATACCCTCTGGCCAGAGACCGAGAAGTTATACGGACACGGATATGAAATATCCTGTTTAGCAGCAAGCCATGACGGCTCTCTCATCGCAACAGCTTGTAAAGCAAGCTCAATCGATCACGCTGTCATCAGACTCTTCGAAACACAGACATGGCACGAAGTCAAGCCTCCCTTGACGGCTCATTCATTGACTGTCACTCGATTGCGCTTCTCTCCCGATGACAGGTATCTTCTAAGCGTGGGACGAGATCGTCAATGGGCTGTCTTTTCTCGGGACGAGAAAGATAGGAATCAGTATAAGCTGGCAACGTCTAATCCTAAAGGTCATACTAGGATGATTCTTGATGCTGCTTGGGCGCCTACGGAAACAAGGGTCTTTGCTACTGCGGGCCGAGATAAAGTGGTCAATGTGTGGGGTGTTGAGGATGGTGGGGGAGAAGTGAACTTTGTTCTCAAGACGAAGATTGCCGCAGAGCATCCTGTTACCGCTATTGACTTCGCCACCGCACCGATGGCAGATGGAAAGGTATACCTCGCTACTGGGACGGAAGTTGGAAGAGTGAGAGTCTACTGCATAAATGTGAAGGAAAGTTTTGAGGCGGTGGAACTCGATTCGAGTTTCCAAAGGTATGTTGTGTCAATGCTCCTAGATTATGATAGAGCTGACTCCTCCAGCACTTATTCATTCCCAACGAAAGCTATCACACAACTTGCTTGGAGACCCACGAGCAAGGAAGGAGGAGATGAAGTAGAGCTCGCAATTGCGAGTGAAGATAGTTCGTTGCGGATATTTTCTATAGCTCCTTCTAGCTGAATAAGAAAGATTACCATTCATCGCTTCTTTTATCGTTGAACAAGGCCGTGCTGTTAAAGACCACGACCCACATCTAGTTGAAGACCAGTTCTGTTGAAACCTGCGCCGCGCTGTGCTGGTTGAAGATATGCCGAGATGCAAATGCCAAATAAACCCTCCCTTCGCTGTTGAACCATGCGCCATTCCAGTTCCTGGTTAAATAAGACCGGTGGTATATGTTAAATGCTACGCCCATCCCATGCAAACCCAGAGGCGTTGAAGCGCTCATGCTGACTCGTAAACAACCATAAAAGCAGACCGAGAGAAAGAAAAGAAACCCATGAACTCATCACATCATGAATAACCCACACATACCTTCTTAAAAAGTCCTTTTGCCGGCCTTAATAGCATCCTCCGCCCCATACCCCCCAAGACCACCCGTCAAATACGCAGTCCCCTCACTCGTCGTCCCTTTATTCCTAGGCCCCCTCTCACGCAAATCATCCTTCAACCACCCCAAAACCAATTCTCCCAACCTACTATTCCCCGTCTTCCCATACCCCTTCTCGCCCAACTCGAACCCCTCGATCTCACCCCACTCCTTAACCTTCCCCAGACTCATATGCACCAGATGCGTCGGCCACTCCGCCAGGTTATCCAGGATATGCGTCGCGTACACAATGGTACACTCCCTCGTCTCAGTCTCCTTTTTCAGGAAAGCTAGGAAATTACTCCGACTTAATAGATCCAAATCCACCGTAATCTCGTCCAACAACAAGATTCGCCAAGGTCGAATAAGTCCCATGGCAAGCTGGACCCTCCTTCTCTCCCCATCTGATACTGCATGCATCCGCCAATCCAGATCAATATCAAGAACGCGCACCAACTCGTCTTTCCGATCGGGGTAATGATCCCCACCAACGCTCTTCAGTAGTTCCTTGACACCGATGTCGGTTCGTACGATGGGATTGAGCACCCATTCGAGCCCGAGGTATGTCACGCCCTCGAGGCCGTCTTTGAAGGGGTCGAGGCCGCCGATGGAGATGGTGTTTGAGGGCGCGAGACGCTTGCCGGAGAGCAGGCGGAGGAGGGTGGTTTTGCCGGCGCCGTTGGCGCCGATGAGGAGGGTGCGGGATTTGGGGGGGAGGGAGAGGGTTAGGTTCGAGAGGCCGGAGTGGGTGCTGGGGAAGGTGTAGGAGAGGTTTGTTAGGTGGATTGAGGGGGCTTTTGTTTGGTCTATTTCTTCGGTGGTGTGGGTGGTGGTGGACATTGTTGAGAGGGATTGAGTGAGATTCGGGAGAGAGTGTTGGATGAGTAGAGGAGGTGGAGAGGAGAGGAGAAGGGGAGAGAGGTGAAGGTGTAGAAAGAAGAGATCAAGGACAATAGTGGGGTGATAAAAAGAGAAAATATTTTGGATTTTAATCAATGACGCATTATTTTAGGCTTATCGATTAGTGAACGTAAGCCTATCCCTGCAAGGTACCAGGAACAGTTGGACCTTGTCGTCAAACCGAACTGCGTTGAAAATGCCTATTGTACTAGATCTTCTCACACTAGGTATCATTTAAAGTTTTCTATCTAAATCGTACGTCCCCGAAAGCGCTCTTATTCATTTAGAGATTCATCTAAACACGTGCATCGACAAAGACCCTGAAGAGGCTCTTCGCTTCTTCCCGCACCCTAAACTCAACCGCTGAGTTTCCTGTAACTCCAATATCAAACATCCATCCCTTCACCACCCTCACATTAAACCAAAATGCCCAAACCACCACAACCCCAAACCCTCTCCTCGCCACCATCCCCAACAACCATAGCAAAACAAGAACTAACCTCCATAACCCAAATCCTCCAACTCACGCACCACCGCAACAAAAACCAGCACCGCCTCGCAAAATGGTGGAAACCGTTCTCCGTCCTCCGACGCAATATCTCAGAACTCCTCGCTGAAGTCGATGCATTGGAAACAGCTGAGAAGTTCTCTACTGGAGAGAAGGGAGGGAGGTATGTGAGGGACGCACGTGAGGTCGTTGAGCGCAGGGTGGAGTTTGTGGAGGTTTGGGTGCTGGAGAAGGCTTTTGTGTGAGTTTGAGTTTTTTTTGTTGTTGGAGGAAGGAGGAAGAGTGGCTAATGGGGAATAGGGCTTTTTCGACGGTGGTGAAGGATTTGCAGTATGCGAGTTTGGGGTTGTTGCTTTTGGGAATGCTGGCGAAGATTAAGGCTGTGATTCGGCCTTTGGGGAGAGAGAAAATGGAGGATGAAGAGGAGGTTGAGGTTGAGACTGATGGACCTGAGCAGTTTACTGATGCATCAGGTGATCCTCAAGAAAAACAGGATCTTGGAGAGGTGGTCAGGAGGGAGGAGCTCGCAGGTGTTCTTCGGGAAGAAGAGAAAGATGAAGAGGAAGTCGACGTGGTGCTGAAGACACCGAAACCCAAAGAGACGAAGAATGAAGTCAAGATTGCTTCAGAGAGCGAGGTTGAAACGCAGGCAAAGAAGAGAAGCAAAGAGGAGAAGAAAAAGAAGAAGCGGAAAAGAGGTGATGCTTTTGATGATCTATTCGATAGCATAATTTAAGAGAACCTATCTAAGTTCCAGTGTCCTTTTGCTGATCCGTCAACTAAATATGTCATCCTTTCCCAAACCTTTGCCCTCGGTCTATGCATACTGCTTGCCTAGCCAGTAGAGCAAGCTTCCAAACCCCATATTTATCACCAGATGCTGTCCCAAGCTCCACGCCATGCTATACAAATATTTTGGAGAAAACACTGTCCAAATGAAGAGATGCGTTCGTAGTAGAGTACAAGCAGCCATCACGAAAACCAAGCTGCTCGTTACGAAGACTGTGAGTAATGACAAATGCTGACTTAAAAGGTTCTTCTGTCCCGATTTACTTAGTCGAAGAAGCATGAGATTCGTAGCTGATGTCCAGTATATTGGGCCTGTCCAGTTGCTGACGAAAGTCAGGATGCCGACTGCGAGGACATTGTAGCCGCTTACTCCATTGTAGGCGCTGGAGAGGTCGATAGAGGAGATGGCGTTGGAGCCTCCGAAGGCGAAAAAGGACATGTACTGAAGGAGGAGGGAGGTCGTGGTTGTTTCGATTAGGTTCAGGTCCATGCTGTTAAGGAGATAGAATTGAATCTCGAATATAAGTAATAGTGGAATATTGGTTGCTCTTGATTGGGTAATAAGAAAGAGGGTGAGCAGATCGTGTATGGTCCGCATCGTGGCTAGCAAGCTGTGAGTGACATGACAGGAATAGGATGATGTGCTTACTGTTTGGTTTCTTGGTGGGCCCAAATCCTGAGATTACAGTGTAGAGCAATCCAATACCAATGGCATAGAAAGCTATCCTTGCTCGTGCCACCAACGAGACACCATATTCGCTATCAGCCATTGACTTCGCAATGCCAGCCATAAGCTCAGGAGAGTCCTCATTTGTGAAGGCTAGCTTGAAAGTAAGAGCTGCAGTAGCTAAGCTCGTAGCAATCGCGCCTGCAGCGATTTGGGGAAAGCGTGGAAATGCTCTGGCTGCAAGACACTGGAGATTCCAGAGATATGTAAGTCCTACAAGCGACCACATCACCAGACGATGTTCAGAAAAGAATGTTCGAGCAATATCTGGCTCCCCAGCGAACTTCTGCCCTGTTTGATTCCATCTGCGAGCAAGTCTCATCGCGATGAGAATGGCAATCGAGCTGATGGCAAGCAGCCGGGCATTAATCAACTCCTTCTTTCGATTGCTATTGTAATTAGCTATGAACACGATCTCGAGGAACGATATTACCATTTCAGCCATAGTAGCATGAGCCATGCAGTTGTAGCCCAGTACCAAAAGTGCTGTTCTTCCTCAACATAGCTACTGGCGAACATCATGATGCCATATAGCAGAGATATACCTATAATCGGAGAGGTTTCCCGTACGGCATTGGCAACTGTCGGGCCAGCAGCAAGAGCGGCAAGTGAAAGTGCTGCAGTTGCAGCAGATTGACCTGTGACTAGCTTAGGCATGTCATAATTGCTTGCAGTACTGCTCATCAATTCTTGTGCCTTTGTAAGCCACTGTAGTGAATTAGCATTTGATCTTCACCAAGGCAGCTTGACTGACCTTGCCGACAGAGTATAGCCAGTTCTCGGTGTTCAAAAATTCATTATCAGGTCCTGGTAAACTCTGAATTATGCCTCTCCATTGACATGCAAGCTCTTCGACGCTGTCAGAGAGATTATCACATTTGGAAGAAGGGCCAGTCATCTCGAATGAGGAGAATGTAGCAGTGACCACGCTGAGAATTTGCTTGGCATTGCGAAGTAAGATTTGTATCTTATCACTTTCTGTTGCTGGTCAGTATCGTCTGGTTATGATGAAATCTTGTGTACATACTGCTTGACCAGAACGGAAGGAAATGTGGAATAAATGCTCCCAGGTTGTTCCTGGGAATTGGGAATCCGAGTAGAGCTCCTAAAGTAGGAGCTATATCTGATTGTTCAACAGTATAATAATATTGGAAATCCTCTTTGAAAGGAGCAGGAGACTCAAGGCCTCTGCCAACAGATTTGAGTTTTGGTGATATGAAGACAAGAGCAGGTGAGGTCTCTCCAGGAGCAGATCCACCATGATTACCTGCATCATTCATGCCGTGATCTCCAAGAAGGACCAACAATGTCGACTGAAGATGTTCCTTGGTCGTCATAGCATCGTATAATTGGCTGACAATTCCATCCATCTCATGCTGCTTGGGTATCATATTTGGTCTACTGCTGGTCAGTCCAATTCAGCAAGTATCAATGGGAATTTCATGCCCTCGTGGACCAGTCTTATGACCAATATGATCCAGGCCCAAGTAATGCAAAACCATAGTATTCCAATCATCATTTTTCAACTCATCTGGGATATGCCTGGTGACATTATTGTCTACCTCTGTGAAATCCTGACAAAATATATTCAGCTATGCTATTTACAAACACAACACCTAGACTGACCGAAACAAAGAAGCTTGATGTTCCATCTGCTCTGTCGAAAGTTTCAGGGAAGAGCTTCAGCCAAGTATCATCTCCATACATGACCAATTTGCCAGTATCTTTTGCTTTCATTTGTGCAAGCCACGTATCCTGTGTCGCGAGAGTCGATGTCGTATCAGACTCTGCAAAGTTGAGAATAACATCTAGAAAGGAAGGTATAGAGCCCGTAGTAATTGCTTTGATTCTTGGCATGGTGATTGTTGGAGAGGTAGCATGCGCTGTGAAGGGGAGAGCTGCGCCATTCGAGATCAGGCTGTGTCTATCAGTGTGAAGCCTATGCAATCTCGACAATGGAACGTACCTTTGCGTGAAGCCAAAACCAGAGGATTCGCCATAGACAAAATCACTGTTTCGGTCAGCCCCCGTTCCACAACTCCTGCATCTCGAGATCCCACCTCCGCAATGCATCCACTACCATGAATATAACCTTGTTGAATGGGGCCTCTGGCGAAGCTCCGTATTGCTGAAGAGCTTCATATTGGGCTAGACCGGAGAGGAATGGCTTGTAAGGAAAGAAGCCGCTGGCAAAGATCAGTATTGCGACTGGTATGACAACATTGGCCGCGAGGAGGCTCAAGGTGGTAATTCGACTGGCCATGTTCCTAGAATCGAGGTAACCACGGCAATGAGGTTAGCAGATATGTGAGAGGTTAAGGAAGTGAAATAGCGTTGAACACAATAGAGTCAATGCCATAGTTCTGTTGTTGAATATTGTTTTGTTAGAAGTCAAAGTCGCGCTCAAGCAATCTGGCCAACGCGTCTAAAATCTCCGGTACGAGGTCAGATAAGCAAATCTTTATCTCACTTTGCCAGAATGCTTATGCCCACGTCAATCAGGGCGGAAGAAGTTTGAGACATTAAGCATCATCGCTTCTTTGTAATTTTATGCCTATGAGAGCCAGATCATGTCGGTCTTTTCATAAAGAGTCCTTATGCGCCCGTAAATGCATTCCCAAGACAGACATCAGAACACCAGAACTCCCCATTGCAGTCTCAGACACCAAGATTGTGCGAATTCCACGTCTTATGCCCTACTTCTTGCCCTTTGGCTTTCCTATCCTCTTTCCATTCTTGTACTTAGGGAACACAATCGAGGTTTTACGACTGCTTCTTCGCTTCTCGATTCTGCCCTTCCCTGTAGATTTCGAACGGCTGGTAGCGGGGTCCTGGTCTAATTCCATATCTGTAGGGAACAGTTATTGGCAATCTTCTCAAGGCATTGGACCGAGACGGTGCAAATAAGTTCCATGGCATACCTTCTGTCTGCTTGTTGTCTGCATCAAGGACTGCATCCCCACCTTCTCGCGCTGCTGTACCGTATCAGTGTCCTTGCCAGCTGCTTCCAAGGAGAAGAATCGAACGCACAATCTTCTGCATCCATGACCACATCCTCTTTAGCAGGCTCAGGCTTCGGCTGTGATGCTAACTCCAGCAGCTTCGCAGAGAGTCTTTCTACTCTGGCACTTTCCACAGGGCTGAAAACTTTGCTCTTGAGTCTCACATTGTTCGCCTTCCTTGTGCTTGCTCTTGCGCCTTTTGCCATGACTCAGGAATTGTAGTGAATTGGAGTTGCTGATATTGAAGTTCCCACGTTGGCTCGGGTTCAGGAAGTTGTTCGAACTCAAATTCATTCAATGCCGAGACTGCTTGGTGGAAGAAAATTGTTCCTTATCGAGACTAGTGCCCAAATTCTGCCAAATTCTGCCAACCTTATCTTGACCGCCCACCAAAAGACGTTCGATAAAGCCTTCCACGACAACACTACGGAGAATTACCTCTATGCATAGGCTTTGCTGGTAATATTGACAAAGAAAGATCGCAACTCTTAGGAGCTCTTCTTCTGAGTACACATCATCTCCTGGATCTCCATGCATCTGCACCCAAAACAAAATCTTGCCGCCTGTTAAGAGATATGGCCTCGATGGGGGGTGGTTACCTCGATCCAGCACCTCTGATTCGGTCTACGAAGACCCCAACTCTGCTCAATAAACATCTGCAGTCGATTTGCGCCTTTGAAGGCCTCTCAAAAATCGGTGTTAAAGCCGAACTGCAAAATCGAATAATAGAAAGTAGGCATATACGCGCTCAGCCTTGTCCCTTCTCGTTCTGTCACTTGAATTTCACCCACCTACTCTGTGCACTCCGACTAATAAACTCTCTAGGAATCAAAGCCTATGCGAACACCAACAACGTCCAAGGCTTTGAGCGCATGAGACACCTGCTCGCAAATCCCCTCGATCAACCGTCGACTAGGTACACTTTCGTTCCATCAATGGCAAGCGGGTCGTCATCTGCGGCTCAGTCCCCCGCACCGCCCAATCCATATTTGAACGCGACTCTAGGAGTTGGTGGTTACAATATGGGAGGGGCTGCTCCGGGCTATCGGATCTATGGAAATCCCAGTAAGCTACTATCAACGCCATATCGTTATGTGCTACGCGTTCTAAACACTGTCAGGGATCGAATTCAAGTCCAGTCCGTATTATGAGATCAAGGAGCAACTAGGTTCTCCAGCACTCTGTGAGGGTAAGTCAGAGCATGAATACACGCAATTGTGAGCAGCAGCTGACTCTGTTCTGTAGTGATGCAACATCATCGTCACACCGTCAAGGCCAACATTCGAGTTCAGGACTACCCGATCTTAAGTCGCGTCCATTCTGATCCTACTCTCAAGGTGATGGTATTCTGCGCACAAGAAGGTCCAGGCAAGCAGGATATCGCATTCCCACATCAAAGTGAGATCAAGGTGAACACAGGCGAAGTGAAGGCAAATCTACGTGGACTGAAGAATAAACCTGGATCCACACGGCCAGTCGACATTACCAAAGACTTGCGCTTCAACCCTCTCCCATACGTCAATACGGTGGAAATGACCTATGCTCTCACATCCAAGGTAGAGAAAAGCTCTCATGTTTGTTGCTTCAAGCCCCTTCTCCGTCTCGCATTCATTCCCGAAAACTTCCATCCTTACGCGCCGCAGAATTTTTTTTCATCGCTGACTCCAAATAGAAGTTTTACCTCATGGTCTACGTTGTGAAGGCAATACCTGTGACCGATCTGGTGAAGCAACTAGAGACCGGCAAGCGTATTACAGAGAAGTCAGTCGTTGATGATAGTAAGCATTCTTCCCGGGGTACAGAAACCTGGCTAACATTATTCAAGTGCTCAATAAAGCCCGTGATGCAGATATCGTCACAACAGCTTCCGTTCTGTCTCTCAAATGTCCCCTGTCAACCTTGAGAATTGATCTACCGTGTCGGTCAATAGCATGTCGGCATAACCAGTGCTTTGATGCAACATCTTATCTTCAGTTGCAGGAGCAAGGTCCAACGTGGCTGTGTCCAATATGCAACAACCCGGCTCCTTTTGAGTCTTTAGCTGTGGATGAGTAAGTGATTCCCTCAAACTACAAAGCATCCTCTCTGACATGCAAAAGATACGTTAAGAACATCCTACAGAAGACTTCAAGATCCATTGACCAAGTTTCGATTCAACCGGATGGGAAGTGGGAACTCCACACCAGGAAGGAGCCTGCAACATCAGCTCGGTCGGGTGGTCCACCAAGTGATTCCGATGATGACATTGTTGAGATCACAAAGTCTGGTGACAGCATCAGGATGAGCGCACCTCGATCAATCCAAACACCAGGATCGATGCCACCGCGTTCGTCTGCTACACCTTCAACCTCTTCTGGTCAACCTGGAAGCTCAACTACAAATTCATTAGGCAAACGTCCCATCGCAGCTGTTATCGATCTTACATCAAGCGGAGATGAAGACGATGAACCTCTGGCACGAGCCCCGAAGCGACCAATGACTGTCAATGGATACGGCACGCCTCTGAACGTACCAGTATACAGATCTGCACCTCAGAACCCATTGCCACCTCGACCTCTATAATTGCGCGTTCTTTCTTTCCTTTGTCACAATGCATACCACGACGGCGCCGCCTGTAAGATAGAACGACGATTTCCAAAAGGTTTTCTCGAGGATGAGGCGTTACTCACAAATACACTTGCATAGGATGGAGTTATTCGACGGTGTCAAGGCGAAGCTGGAGACGATGGGATATTTGCTTATGGCTTGCTTTGATGGAGCACGGGGAGATTGTGGACTTTGAGTCTGTTGAGAGTCATTCCGAGCTTTTCAAAATAAAGTCGGTTGATTTCTCGGCGTTATGAGGCCTTTAGATTCTGGTTGGTTGCTACCACCAATTTGTCTACGGACTTTGTGTATCTAGAGCAATCATGCTTCTTACAAAAGGTTTGTATCCCTTTGACTTTCGCACTGTGGGGAGGATTGAACTTCTGATCTTGGCTGCGAGGGTGAACTTCTCGTAACAGGTTTTCCTGCATGCTGTACCCCCACTGACATGTTACTCTGCCTGAGAGCGCGACGGTCTGCCTCTGGCCACTCCCAACGCCTTTACGCTATTGGCCTACGTGTTGAAAGTTCTCCCGCTCTCTATCTCTTCAGTAAAGCCATTCATAATTTTCCCCTTGTCCCCTTGATCAATGGAAAGTTGAAATCTTTGCAGCTCTTGCAAGAGATCTACCAAGCATTTCCCAGATTCTGCAAGCTTTATGTATTACAGTACCAGCATGCCTATATTTATTCCATTCCTCCTATACACGTGCTACCTTCCCATACAGCCGTCTATCGTGCTGCCTTCGTCTTGCGGTAGCTATTCATTGTATGTCACTCAGCAGATCCTTTGCCAACAGTCCTGCGATTGAATTTATGCCTGCCTACTTGTCCTCGTCGAATCTTGTCCCACATCCAGATCGACTTATCACAAATGTTCGAAGTCCGCGTTTTCGGTGTTCCATTCTCGAAGATAGCACTTAAGCTGCCTTGTACGCCTGTCTATATCGACTGCTGCTCCCTTCTTCATGCTGCCGGTTTCCCCAGCCAAGGGTGAGAATATGCTGATCCATGTCGATTCCTTGGTAACAGTGTCCTTCACCGATCTGACCATGCTGCTGGTAGACTTCAACTGAATCCTTTACTAATCTCCTAACATCTTCTAACGCCAGAAGCTGGGTTTTGAAGGTGCGGTTTGGTGATCGTAGGTAGGCCTGTCATGGTGTTTGGAATATTGCTCTGTTTTTGATCAGCCTGGAATGTTCTGAGAGCGAATTTGTGTAGCTCGCCTCTGATAATTCCACTTCCATCTTCCGGAGACCATTTTGCAGAGTCTGTTCAGTTGTCTCGAATCTAGACTGGTTGGAAGTAGTGGGATGCTGCTGCTGTGTGTTTATTCCAATGTCGATCGATTCCGTGAAGCACAACACACGGCTCTTGGTACTGTAAAGACCAACTCGTAGAGTGAGTATGCTGCTATCTGCAGAAGATATCTCTGCTGCTCAATGCGTGAAGGAGCAAAGAAGTGGTAATATCGAATCGGAGAAGGAAGGAGGCCTTTGATACTCTTTCCCTCCTAGAAACTGTATATTGCACAACAGTAGGACTTATGAAATTGAAATTAAAATAATACTTGGTACAATCCTTTGTGATGATTCTTACTGCCTGGTGTCCAGACGTTCTCCTGTCTGCGGGGGGAAGCTAGCAACACAGAGCTATCCCAGGTACTAACCAGAGAATCTTTACTAGATGATGATGATTCAGGTGTCTTCCATTGTCTTCTCTGTGAGTTTAAGACAGCAGAGTTTCAACGATGGCCTGGGAGGGCAGTGTTTCGAGGATATCAGGCTGATGCTGCTTAGGTCACGTCAACACAGATCACTGCCACCGCCACGAACGACCATCAACGCCTTCCAAAGACGACTCCCACGATATCGCTGGTCACATATACAAGGCACAAATGCTATGGGAAAGAAGCAGAGGGGCTACGATTAGTAGTAGGGCGTGAGGTGAAGCATAGCAGCCATCAACACAGGTTCACCATCACCCACGAATTCCCACTCAGCTTGGCTCCAAGGTACTCAATGAAATCTATACGTGCTCCTTCGATCTTCTCTATACATACTCTACTACTAAACCCTACCATCGCCGTCGTCGTCGTCCGTCCTAGTCTTCGACTCATCGCACAACCAAACGGCGTACCCACGCAGCACTGCGCAACCCCTCAACACCGATTTCAATCGATTATCAACACTTCAGAGGGCATTTCTACGACGTTTGCGATCATCACAGTTTATCTAATGGCCCGTCTATAGCGTATGCGCGATTATCCCAATATTGTGTAGGGGGGAAGAAGTTTCAGTGCGCCGGTGGTTTTGTTGCACGCTAAAAGTTGGTGATTGCCGAGACATTTGTTTGAGTACCCAATCAGAACCCTGCCAGCCCATGTTTCAAGCATTCCCCGCAGCTTGGCCTTCCGGGTGTGGCGCAGATCTCATGCAGCCAGTGAAATAAGCTTAAATAAATGCAGGGGATATGCTCCGATCGATATGTGATTGATATCTGTGATATTTGTTGCGATATCTTCAAGTTCTGTCGCGATGCGACAACTTTTGGTGTTCTCCCTCTCGTCCTGCGCACGCCTCCCATTGGCCCAATCTTTCGACGCTAAGTGTGTGATCTAGAATTAGCTCCAACTTCTGAACGTCTATATAATCTTCCCTCCCTCCCTCCAAAAAAATTTTTTTCTTCAGATTTCTTGTTCTCTCCTAGCAGAGGCGCTACCCCACACCACTTTTGTTTCACGGGGCGTTCTCCCTCACGATAGCACGGGCGCCCTGGCTGAGCGAGATCGCCCGTCGGGCTGCAACGAGATGGCAGCTCGCCCTCTGCAGCGTATGCAGAGCGATGCTCTGCAGCGATATAGCAGAGCGCATGGATACCGCGAAAGAGTATCCCGCCGCTCGGCAGCGAAATGCCGAGCGACCGCGATTGTCGAAAAACTAGTGATTCGTCTGCGAAGACGTTAAACATCTTGACAGGTAGGCTCTTCTCTCTTCTTCTTCTCTCTTCTTCTTCTCTCTTCTTCTTCTCTCTCCTTCTTCTTCTTCTTCTTGTTCTTCTTCTTCCTCATTCCCTCTGGTAAGTCAAGGTAAGTTGTCGAGTCCGACAGGCGATGAAGACTTAAAACTATGGCTGGTCCGAAATGACCAAAAACTACGACCGTCCTCCTAAGACGTTAAACTGGGGGTCCGACAGGCGATGAAGACTCAAAACTATGGCCCGTCTTCCCTCGACGATAAATTGGGGGTCTAACTGTTCCAAATCAGGGTTATTCTTCATGTCAACCAAGCTGTTGAGGAACCGTAAGTCAGTTTCAATCTTGTACAAATCATCATGCGCTCTATGCTAGTAAGTCTCCAATTTTCATGGTAGAAATTTGCATCATGAATTCAATCAATTCATTCCACAATCAATTTCTTCGTCCCTGATAATTTTCGTGATTGTCCCTGGTAGAAGTATCGCCCACTGCCAACCTAGGTACTCTACATGAAATCTCAAGCATTCCCACTCTTTGCACTTCACATCTCGACTTTTCGCTTTCAGATCGCAAAGTCCTGCCTAAAAACTCGGGTCGCGACGAATCTTGAGAGTCGCCCGCTTGAGTTTTCTCATGCTCTGATGACCGCGTCTGTGTCGCAAGCGATGCGTGCATCGGATTAGAGCTAGGAAAAGATAGTCGGAGAGCGAGCAACTTTGAGGATATACTTCGGTTACTAGCGTCAAGCTATGATAGTAGTCTTATCTCGACCAGATGATATTCCTGACTGCAATTGACTTAGGGGTGTTTCCAGCTGAAGGGGTTTGTTCAAGGGGCAGTATTGCAAAGGTGAAAATTCGGCATCGCCTCCAATCAACCTTGCTGACTCCATCAGAGTCCTGAATTTTTTTTCGGGACGCTGCAGCCTACTGTCAGCCAGCGCCGCATCAAGAATGCCTTGCCAGTCAAGCAGAAAAAGCTTCGATGACCGCTTTTCATTTTTCGCCCTTTCTTGTCTTCTAACCTCCAATACTTGCTCTGAAATCATTCATTACTGTCAACGAAATGGTCAGTCATTCTGTGATTTGGGGCATTGATTGGAGATGCACTTTTCATACTCATCCAAGATGAAGTTTTGAATTAACTGGATTGTTCGTCCATGTAGGGAAACTCACTCACCGTCGATCAAATGGCTAAGATCAAGGCATTCACGAGAGAACAAGTCGAGGAGTTCAAGAGGGTGTTTACTCTTGTTGTAAGCACGCTTCTTACTTATCTCGTCACCGTCGAGGCACAATAATGACTAACTGTTTATACCAGGACAAAAACAATGATGGTCTGTGTCACTCAGTTTTCTTTCGAAGAAGTCCATTTGCCGCCTGTGATGCTCGAATTCCTACCCTGCCTTTGGCTTCAGAGATTTCCCAAGATAGAAAGAATTGATGCACTTTCGAATCTCACCTCTCAGCTTTAACATCCTGTACCCACCTAGGCAACATCACAACCACCTCACTCGGCTCAGTAATGCGCTCCCTCGGCCAAACCCCCACCGACGCCGAACTCCTCGACATCATCAACGAAGCCGACACCGACCACGACGGCACCATCGACTTCCCCGGTAAGCACCCCGATTCCTCTCCCCACCACCATCCCCTCGCTAACCACAACCCAGAATTCCTCGCCATGATGGCCACGAAATCCAAAGCCGTCGACACGGAAGCCGAGATCCGCGCCGCCTTCACCGTCTTCGACCGCAACGGCGACGGCGTGATCTCGGCGGCGGAGTTGCGCGAGGTGATGGCGTCTATCGGGGAGAAGCTGACGGATGCGGAGGTGGAGGAGATTGTTAGGGAGGTTGATCGGGATGGGGACGGGGGGATTGATTGTGAGTACTTAACTATTTATTTGGAAGTTTTGAAATGGAAGTGGGAGCTAACTTTCTTTTTAGTTGAGGAGTTTCTTCAAGTGCTTAATCGTACTTAGCAGAAGGAAGGAACGGACTCTGACTAACTGCTTGAGCTTGGAGAAAGTCGAGATGTGGGGGTTGGAAGCTTGGGTTTGAGGGTATTGTGACACTTGGTGTCTTTTCAATTTGTGATACTTCATTGAATTTGATTATTGATTGTTGAAATTATATTGAGATCTAAGACGTGCTTAACCCTCAGACTGCCTACCACAACGATTTCAACCAACCAAAAAAGGGAAAAGATAATAAAAATACGTAGGACTATAGATTCGGAGACACCTCAGACTATCAAAAAGAAGAAAAGAAAAGAAAATTTGACAAAAAGACAAAACGTCTAGGCACACAGATTTCTCTGCGTGCCTAAACGCCCAAGCGCGAAGCATTGTTCGAAGTCGAAATTGGCGTTGGAGGAGGCGATATGGCGATTTTACAGGGGAGGGGACACCAACCCGGTCATGGGGGCCCGCGGCCCAACCGAATTGGATGGCAAGGAATTGCTTATTTAGATCTATGTTGTGCGTTTGGCGAGACGAGGCTGACGAGGCTGGGCTACGCAGCGAGGGATTGGTAAACGTGAAGGTGGGTGTCAATCTATGATGCAAATTAAGCTAGGTTCTTTACTATGTGACACGTCTCTTTCACCTTCATCGAAGAATTGACTTCAAGTACACATTTCAATCGCGATTCAAAGTACACACTTGAGGCTCGTGGTATACCACGATAGCTACACAATGTACAGCAAGTCTGATTAGGACCGCCTCCAGGACTCCCAAGTACCAGACCGCCGACGTTTGATTACCCCAAAATCAAAACTCCGCCCACACAGAGCTCCCACGAATCTCCCCACCAGGCTTTTGTATACCAAAACTCGCGAGGTCTGTCAATGCAATACACTATCCTAAGACCCAAGAGGCACACCTAATTCACGAAGAATCCCTCATTGCCATACCGCTGCATCAGAGGGGAGCAAATCGCACCTTTCTTAAAGGTTCACCTTCTGCCTGCTCGACCTGAATCTTCTTCGACCTCAGCGCCCGACCTTTTGCTGCCGTATCCGGCTCGCTTTCAACCTCCACAGTGATACATTCCTCGTTCTCTGGCTGCTGCACAGTCCTAGATTGCCCAATCTTCGCATTGGCATCCTTCGGGGCCAAAAAACCGGCAATGGCACTAGAACTCAAACCAGGAATTCCGAGGTCGGTGAGATTTTTCGGCCGCGGAGCTGTCGGCGTCGTGGATAAATTGTTGAAGATTCCGCGACGAGGGGCTGCTTTTATTCCGGGAGGTGGTGGAGATACGGGGACCGTGTCGAAGATTGAGAAGTTGTGGACTCCTGCTGCGATCTCTTTGAGCTTGGTGGTGTCTTGACAGGTTTCGGTGGGAGTTGGAGAGGTAGCGGTATGCTGGTGAAGCATTTCGGTTCTGAGTTGTGTTGAGGCAGTCGCGGATTCGAGAAGGGACTGTTGGATGATTTTGGGTGCGGAGGCTTCGACCTGGTCGTCGACACTGCTTCCATCCGTTGTGATACGTCGAGGACAAGAGCCAATCTCATATAACGTTGTGAGATCCACAGGAGACTGAAGCAAAGGCATCGAGGACAACTGCTTTTCTCCTGGCTTGAAGAACTGTACACAATACTCCGCTTTCTCGCCGTGGAGCAGTTGGACGAAGATTTTGTATTTGATGAAATGGCCACCGCCTTTTATCTTCTCTCTCGGCACTTGACTCTTCTCCGTGAAGTACGGGGACAGATCAACCAAGAGTTTTATTCTTTCAGCTGCTTTGAGGTTAGGCTCGACACAAGCAAAGAGCGGATTCGTGGTGAGCTTACCGGGACCACTTTTCAGCTTCATATCAGATGGCAATGTGCTCTTATCTAGTCCGGGGTGTGGAGGCCAGACTTCAACGATATCGGTCCACTGAAGATCATTCAAACTCGACAGCCGCCGCTTTCTCAAGCCGTCGGCATCCGCACTCAGTGTTTGACCGGGGATGCTTTCGTCGCCCTTGAAGGGTTAGCTCGGAAACAAAAACAAGTGTAGGTCAGAACTTACAAGTTTTGCAAGCCATTCATTCGTCATGAATTTGCTACATCTATCTGCTTTGTCGTAGTACGGCCGAAAGTCGGCTCCGGGATTTTGATCTTGGCAGAATTTGGTGTACTCGTACTCGGTCAGAATCGAGTAGCTGTGTCGAAAGATTTTAAACAAAGAGAGTTGGGATCCCAAACACTGAACACTATGTCAGCACTGGTTGCCAGAACAGGACAATAAATATTAGGGGCAGCCTTACCATATCAACGCCTCCTGTGGCAAGTCATGGGTTTTCTATCCAGCATCAGTAAATTCTATTGGGACATGGACGGGTGTGTTACGGATTGGCTGGGAAGTAGCAAATGATTCTGGGATCAAATTCTTGAAAGTGGGACTTCAACCGATGTTGCAGATATCTGGGAGAACCATATCCACCTCCAATGAGGAAAACCTGTATGAGGTCAGAGAATTCTCACGAATTACCCTCAAAGACATACCCTAAGCTTTTGTTGACAGCTCTTAATGAAACACGTCAGGCTTTCAATAATTGTATCGATGGATTCATCATAGAATCTCTTGAAAGTGGAACTAGAGCAACAGTCAATCAGCGGCTACTCAACGCAAAGTCAGAAAGGGAACTTGCCTACTGACGCCGAGACGGTCTTTCGACCACATTAATCCAACGCTTTGCCCTCGTTCCCAAACTCCAGCTACTCGGAGGTGGTAGTATCGGCTCTCGTCTTTCCAATCAAACATAGGTTGCACACTTTTAAATGCTTTTCCGGCAGAATGAAGAATTGCCTCCATCTGGTCAACCCCGTATTCACCTATAGACTCCAATTCTAGCCTTAAGAACTCTTGGGAGCGGGAAACCGTCGTTTCAGAGCCGCATATCATAGCTAAGCGACCAACTGTTAGTTTTCTGTTGATAACGATTACAAGAGTGAGTGGAGAGTGGATTATCGGTAACAACTTACTCCGCGGCATTGGTTTCACTGACTTGATGCCAGTTTTGGAGGGGTTATTTATGTCGAATTCATTTATGACATAGCCATCAATATCCTTAGAGTAGTTAGAATGGATCGTCTGGGAAACTTTAGGCATGAGATAAGACTTACGACTGTCCACCCACCACAATCTACACTACACAGGAGGTCGCCAACCTAGTCAAATTAAAACAGCTTCTTGTTTTTGAAAGGGGCAAACTTGGAGCAGTTTAGAAATCTCTGATTCTGTCACCTTCGTTGAAAAGAACGCTCGCATCAGTGCTTCAGTCTCCGAAATGAACTTGATCTGTTCGTTGCTGAAACCAAGAGACAAAGCAGCAAGTCTGAAGGAATCATAGGTTGATATTGCCCAGCCTGGAGGCTTCGCAAATACGAGAGTGATGTCCTCTATCTTCAGACCTCCTTGAAGATACTCACAAAAGAAAGGTTGGTCATCGAAGAATAGATAGTTCAAAAGGAGGTCTGTGAAAGTATGAGCAAAGTTCTCAACACTTGTGCCGATGTATCGAGCTGTTGCATTGAGAACCTCGTAGGAAGGACCGTTCTTGATGTCGAGACCGGATTTGAAATTGACGACTTTTCTTCTCAGATCGAAGTCTTCTGAGGTGTCCTCTTCCATATCAACTTCTCTTTGCCATGGTGGTTCTCTTCCATGTGGAAAGTACAGTATTGTGGGTGGGGCTGATCCGCTCATGTCTCTTGATTGTGGAACGTATCCGGGCCATTCGTTCACTAGATATGTGACTGTTTTGCCGCTCCATCGGTATGCTACCGTGAAGGTTGTACTGCCGGTATCAATAGCGACTATCAGCTTGGAGGGAGTGCTGAGAGCCATCGAAAAGAGTGGGGAAAGAATGCGCAGGAGCAAGGGTGCTGGAAGTATAGCTGGGCCTGGCTTGGAGATTCAAAAGCTCGAAACGAAGGGGTAGAAGTTTGGAGAGAACGTTAAGAGACAATGAGGAGCAAAGCTGTAGGATTTTATAAACGCATCTGAAAACTGCAAAACAAAGCGAACAATGCATCAAAACAATACTCAAGGCGCAGTGGCTTATGGATGTTTGAGTGGCTTTTGCTTGCTCAGCTCGTGATGCAACCCAATAAATCAACAGAAGGCGAGAATCGATCGAAGATCGGCATTCGTGGCCACCCTCGGACCTTGATAATTCAGACACTGAGCCCGGTGCATGGTATTACTCGTAAGATGTGCGGATGTTGCTATTGCAACGGTATTGAAAGGCTTCATAATATCAGATATCAGGAAGCCGCAAGAATGCATGACGAAGACCAAAGACCAAAGCCGACGACACGGGATGCAGAACTTCCACCAAAGATAAGGTTCTTTCAGTCAACAGCCAGACAACCAGCGCCACAACTGACATACGAAACAGGAGTGCATATTTCCAATATGAGGCGGTACGATCATGGGATGGATTCTGCAAAGGAGCAAAATGATCTGAAGCGCGCCAGGCTTGCGCTAACCGCATGTGGAGTCCCCACATCCGCTCAAAAATCTGACATATCATTCTACCCGACTTGTTGGTATCTTCAGCTTTGGTATCGTTTGGTTCTCATTTTCGTGGCGCTCAATGAGTGTAAATTGAAGGCGTCTTATCAACTTTGCATCAGTGTGATCCTCGGCCACTCGAAACAGCCACCAAGTCACAACTATGTTCTAGAACCAGATGGGTGAAGCCTGTTTGTTATGATGCCTATTGAGACCTCCGATCGTCGATTGTTGCCTGTTGCCTGTTGGTTGTTGTCGTTGGGTCATTGTGTTCGATGGTCGTTGGATGTTTTGATTTTCGAATGTTTATTGTTGACAGTTCATTATTATCTTCCTTTGCAAAGTTCTGTACATTTATCAACGTCGAGCTGGGACGCAGCATAATCATATGTACCCATTTGAGAACAGGGAATGCATACTACACTCTTTCCCGTCTCCATTTTGTTCTTTCGCCCTCGCACTCACACCACACGTTCGGGTACTCCCATTCAGCTCTTTTCTCAACACTCGTCATCAAAGCCTCGTCTTTAACGTACGTAAATCGCGCTGCACGTCCAGATCAGAGTTATCACTCACGACCTTACCATGACCATGCCTCGGCAACTCAGATCTGAGGCAAACAATATCGTTCTCGAAGAGCTTTCAGCGCAATACCGCAGCTCAGATAGATCTGGACACTCCAACAATGTTTCAAAAGCTGTCCATGAGCGCTAAAACATTACGAATGTTTTTAACAATCGGAGAGCGCGAGATAAGGCGGAGAAAAGGGCTGCCAAGGATGCTGAGAAGGAGGCTTTAGAGCTTCGCATCAGGAAACTCAACGAGATTGGCATAAATCGACCTGAGGGGAAATGCCAGGAATGCGAAGATAAGGGCAAAGACTGCGTTGTGTTTCCAAGCGGCTACATTCATGTCACAAAACACCGCTCCAGACGTTGTCTGCCATGTGCAACCAACAAGCTGGACTGTGTGAGAATTGGCAACCAGTCCAATTGCAAAAGATGTAGAAACGATGGGACCAAGTGCACAGAACAGCCACCGAGAAACAACAAATTTGCTTCGAAAGGCCCAAGACCGAGAACCTGCCTCGAGTGTTCTCGGGGACGTCGCAGATGTGTGCCACCAGCAACCATGACTGTTGAGTCATCCGAGCCCGAGACAACAAGACGAATCTTGACAAAGAGAGTGTTTCCAGCCCATACGAAAGAGTGGTTCCAACAGCTTCCACGGGAAATGCAGAGGAAATACGCATCGGAACAGATTCAGGCAGATGGTATGCCCAGAGTAGGTGGGGTTTGTTCTCGACATGCAGTTCTGGGCCGTCCGTGCAAGCAGATAAGACCTGGATCGCTGATATTTGAGTTCACGAAGCCGAAAGTGTGTGCATGCTGCATCACGTCGAATTGAGTTCTTGGTTCCTCAGTCGGACGACAATGTGTTGATAGTGGCATCAGCCACCAAGAACATGAGTCTCGACTTGATCCAGGAAGTTATACGAAGCCTCCGACGAGGTGGGAACTTGAAGGGAGTATCTCAGAAGCTATGTTGGATATTGAAGGTCTAGCACTTGAAGACCCTGAAACAGGTATAATGCATATGGTATCACGGGGATCGATAGGCCCGAGAGCTTCGACGAGACTTCCAAACAATCTGCTTACTTTCCCTCTTGAATGTGGAAGAGTTCTGCGAGAAGTCAGCAAGTTGGATCTCTTGGTAGATCAATTCGCCCAATCTCTCGTGTGTGCATCGGGAATTACTGTCTCACCCCTCGAGCAGAGGACGCTTGCAAGACTTGAAGCCTTGGACAGCGAATCTTACGATGGCCATCTAAGCCTCATGTCTGCATTGAGATATTTATGCAAGGCCACACCAACGACAGATCTTCGAGCCAGAATCCGGCAATGCGCAATTGAAAGCCTTACTTTCGAGGATGTCTTCCGCGCCTGCACTTCGATAATTCTCATGGATCTGATCTTTCAAGGGAGCCCACCAGAAATGCTCGCTCTTCGAGACACATTGGAGAGAGCTCATCCAGCAAGTTCCAGTGAGCCACATCTTATGCAGTTTAGACCAAGACCAGCACTAACAGTTGATGACAGATCCCAGACCTCTCTTGATAGAGCAATGCATTGAAGACTATTTCGGCCCTCTGCTCAGCTTGCCATCTTTCCAACACTCCATCACAAGCTCAGCGCCAGCCTTGGGCCTTAGCTTGTATTCAAAATTGAAGCCTTTAATTGTGCTCCTCGGAGACGAGATCGACCCAGATATCGAGCGACTCTGCCATCGCGACTGCTTCGAAATCTGCAAGGCTGCATGCTTATTGAACGCAGAATTCAAGGTGAAGCCAACTTCTCCGGTCGAGCTTTACACCGTACTCAGTGGTGATGAGGTCAAGGGATACTATGTCGACAATTCAGCAGAAGATGACAAAGTGGGGATCATGCTTATGTTTGGCGTCAAAGCTGCTGGCAACTCTGATATGCCACTGATCTACAGCAAAGCGAAGGTAGCCACATCTAGTACGGAGAAGTGATTGTTAGCTGGGAAAAAAGAAACTCGCGAATTAGCATTGCTCTTTCCTTTCTTATCTTTCTTTTCTCCTCTACCACACAATTTCTGGCCTGATTTCTCGACCTTTGTTTTCATCTACCCTTGCTTTGTAATCGGTATCTACTTGTTCACTCGTGTGTCTTGTTTGGTTCAGGTTGCCTGTACGTCATCACCAAAAATTTCCTCTTTGGACTCTCATGTAATTCAGTCTGCCAGGAGATTAATAAAGTATCCCTTGCTTTCGGTTCTCGACTTTTCGCATAATTGTGATGATCCTCTTGCGATGCTCGGAGAGAGACACTGCTTGCTTTCCAAAGTTCTCATGTTGCTCCTTCTAAGATTGAGTACTCAGTGCACGTGACATTAAAATGCAGCAAGATGAACTTCTCGGGATTGTGTGATTTCTGTTTAGTTTTGCATCAATCATCAATATAGAAATCAATGTATATAGTAGTAAGGGTCTTTGAGTTTGCCAATTCTGTAATCGAAATCTTGGCAACACGGCGAGGGGACGTATCCGACAAATTTCGGGTACGGCCTATGTCGACCGACACTCTTCCCTGAATCGGTCCGAGGCTTCCTGCTCGATGTGCCAGAGTAAATTCATATGAATATATGACTCCAAGCAGTCAAGTTCTTTCCCACTCTTAAGCTCCCTCAATCCAGCTCTACTCAAAGTGCAGTCGCAAGCGAGGTCTTGAGGCCGCAGAGTGACTTGTGAGTACGCTACACACCCAGCCTTGGGTTTGCCCAGGGGCACCTTTTTCAGGACTTCGAACTCAAATGGGGGTTTTCGGTTGAAAGTGCATAGCACTATTTCTATACGGTACATGCCCTGGCGTCAGAAGGCGTGCAACACGTGACTATATCCCCCTTGTCCGAGCTTGCCTGCAGATTCTGAAAGATATCTTTGTGTCAATGATACTTGGGTAATAAGCAAGGCTTTGATAGGTCTACCACACTCTATGAAGGCGTACTTTACAAAGAATCTGGATAAAGCCCAACCGTTCGGCTGTCCCGGGAAGTTCGCTCTGATCGTGAACCGTACACCTCACCTTATACAACGATTTAAGTCTGATCATAAGATTGTAAGCTGAAGTGCCTGGGTAAATCCTTTGGCTGCAGCTGACAAGGACTCTATAACAATGATACTGTAACATTTCTCGCACGTCTACCTTCTTATTGAAGTTACCAGAAAAGATGGAGCTGGGCTTGAGAAAATACTACAGGGTGCACAATCTTCAACTAGCATTTCTGCCTGCTAATTGACTTTTAGCGCCCAACTATTGAACAAGGCAATCCTCCTAGGGCGGCGCGAGTAGTCCTTCTGGCCGAATTGCCTCGATGAAAACTTTGGCCGGGCCGGCTTGGATCTATTTTGAGCTCCATTCTCCCTCCGAAGCTTCTTTGTGCTGAAGAAGTCTATAAATAGCTTTTCCTTTGTCACAATATCAGCTTTTCAAATTTAATTTGCACTCGGATTTCTTTGTCAATTCTTTCTACTCTTTATCAAGATATCAAGGTTTTTCATGACTATCAACTTCTATTCACTTTTACTTCATGTCGCCCTTTTTCTTCTAAATCCTCCTTTACGGCTCCTTTCGCGAGCAACATTTTCATAGTGCTAAATGGAAATTTAGAATTATATAAACTGCCAAGATTTCCCACAATTACAATGTTTCACACCATTCAATTCAACGATTCATACTTGACACTTGATTTGTTTTTTTGTTCAATTTAACAACACTCTCTATTATACAATTTTTTCATCTTGAATATGCGTACCTCAATCCTTTACACTATTGCTGGCCTACTGGCTGCTGCGACTGCCTTACCTACAGCCCCAACCGCCTCTTCCACCGCTCAGCCTAATCTAAGTGCAATCAAATCCGTTAAGAATAGTACTTTCCACACATACAAACAGGGAGGCTTAGTGAGAGCTCCTTTAATAAGCGGAGGTTTGAAGACCAGATCATCACTGGCAGCACGAACTTCCTGTGCTACATCTTCCCAATTCACCTGGGGCGACAATGATCATGGTGGTCCTGGGCTTGTCATTACCAATGGAGGTAATGCGTGGGACGGCTACTATATGTACGAGAATAGCTGCGATTCTGTTCCCTTCAAATACTTCTGGCTTGCACCAGGTTCCACCCAATTCATCAGTCTGCCAGCTGGATTCCAAGGGCGTGTTAGTCGAGGAACTGATGCCATGAATCTTGCGGGACAGCCGCAGTTACTTGGTACTTGGCTGGAACTTTCGTTCGATCCTTACAACGTGAATGAGCTCTGGGGAGATATTTCTCTCATTCGAGGCTGTGATGGCGGTATGTTGATGTGGGCGCTGGATGGCAGTGGTTCCTGGAAAGGATTCACTCAGGACGTTCTTGCCAACGCGCCTGTTGGAGCTTGGGCCGAGAAGCCAGACGGAACATGGGTCCTTGCACCAGGTGAGGGACCTACGACTGATGCCGAGACAACGCAATATCTGTTGGGTGCCGTGGGAGCAGATAACGCCTTCCTCAATGATGCGTATGGAGATCCCGTCATCAGCTCGCAGAATAGAAGGTATGGAGTCTGGATGGACGGAGGAAGGATCTAAAGAGAATTTGGTTCTTCCCAATCTGAATTTGAGCGTTTGCATATAGACATAGAACGCGACTGCATTGGTATTAGACTTTAGACTATAGATATTATTATACTTGTTTCTGAATATATATTCGTAACAGAATTCTTTCATTCATATTTATTTTACGACCTGATCGGCAGTCTGCACCCCTCACTTTGCGTCACCGATGCTCCTTCCGGGAGCACAATCTCGATTTTAAACGTTAGAACAATAATCAGCAAACATAGCATCTTGAAGTAGAGCAGGACACTGAAGCAAGTTTGCAGGCCTTGGGAAGTCATATGAAGGGGGCGCATAAGGCTCAATTAGCCTGCATAACGAATTAAATCTGAGTTTGAAATACTAAGCTAAATTGAGACATCTGAGGGACTTTGTGTTGTAACTTTTGTGGGTGAGGTCCAGTACGAAATACTCGCTAGCCAATCTCGCTTATCGATTCAGCGTTAAGGGGGACGAAGAATGTGGATCGACCGCGAAGTGCTTTTCCTGTATCTCATCAACTGTTTTAGTTTGATAAGATAATATGAAGATAGCTGTTGCGAGAAGCTCTCGCGGAGCGCTTGTATTGTCATTAATTCAGCATCAATAGTATTTCGTTATTCGCAATCTGAGTAGCGACAAGCAACACCAAGGTCTTGACTTTCAACGCTACACTCACAGTCGATTGCACCCATGAGACCACTAGGAACTGTCTCTGAAGGTGTACGTACGTTCAGCCATGACATTCACACTAGCCGTGCCTCTCTTCAGCATGCAATGACATATATTGTCACGTGCACACGAGAAGGTGGCCGGTGGCGTTCGAAATAACCAATAACTTACATCAAGCCTCTTCCTTTTGGCCTTAGCCAATGCAAAAGAATGCTAGAGTGGCACAGTGGCGTGGCTTTAGCCCGTCCTACTTCAGAAAACTCCTCGCACCCGTTACCCCGCTTCAGCTCGAGATAAACAAGCTGAGAGCCTCCTCCGGAATTTCGTTCTTCCAAACCGCAGACAATAATTCAGGGAATAAACTTCTCACAATCACCCACCATGTCTCCTCGACTTTCGGGCCGTGTTGCTATCGTGACTGGAGCAAGCTCGGGTATCGGTCGAGCAATTGCTCTGACATATGCAAGAGAAGGAGCTTCTGTGATGTGCGCCGACATCGAACTGAACGCACGCGAGGATGAAGGGGGCAGATCAACACATGAAATGATCGTTGAAAACAATGGCAAAGCATTCTTCATGAAAACTGATGTCACAGATGAAGCTCAGGTTAAATCGCTCATCGCCGAAACTGTGAAAGCTTTTGGGCGACTGGACATGTAAGCTTCGTCTCTGTGAAGAAATTGTTCGCTGATATGTATGGCAAAGCATGGTAAACAATGCTGGAGTGTGTAGCGAAATCCTCGGTATTGCCTCGCAAGTTGGTGGAGTACGGGTACACGAAACGAGCCTGGAGACATTTGACAAAACGATGAACGTCAATACACGAGCAGTTTTCATTGGCTGCAAGTATGCACTTGAGCAGTTCCTGGCCCAGGAACCGCTACCTAGCAATAGCAGAGGAGATGCAACTCGTGGATGGATTGTTAATGTTGCCTCACTAGCTGGAATTGTCGGATTTCAGGTACATATTTTCGCCGACTGCAGTGAACAAACATTGCTAACCGATTACAGGGAGCGCCAGCTTATACAACGAGCAAACATGCCGTGGTTGGCTTAACTAAAGAGATCGGACTAAGCTATGCCAAAGATCGAGTGCATTGCAATGCACTGTGCCCTGCTTGTTCGCAAAGCATTTCATGTCACAATGTTGGGAGCACAATCTGACTGCAAAATAGTTATCAAGACATCAATGCTAGATCCAATAATGGATGACAAAGAGAACCCAATTGCTGTTGGAACAGCGCAAGCTGTAACAGCTGCTCATCCATGGGGCGCTCTTGGTAAGACAGAAGATGTTGCACGGGCAGCAGTCTTTCTCGTCAGCGAGGACTCCCAGGTACAAAATTTGGATTCTTACCACGCCTTCCACTGTCCAATAAATTTTCCAACACCCCTCATATGTCTTGTCTATTGAAATAATCACCATATGCTGTTGATTGATAGGTCTTGAACATACGATCACTGACTTACCATTGCTTTAGTGGATCACTGCTCAACCGCTCGTGATTGATGGAGGATACATGGCACAGTGATCTTGTCAATTAGATCTGTAGCTACTTGAATCATGCCACGCAAGCTGGCTGCTTTGATTCGAGATCAGGAAGAACAAGAAGTTGATTTGAAAGGTTGTCGAACATGAGTTCATGCTTATAAGTGACAGAGCAGACTTCGTTGTGATGACTATGGATCCACAGTAAAATGACCGCTGTTCTTGGTTTCGATTCTCTCTCAAATACGTACTGAACATCATCGGTATCTCAGAAAAGAATCGCCCATTTCAGTGTCAAAGAGAAGGTATAGATGAACCAAAATAAAGTGTAAATGGAAAACCCTCCCAGATCACTATCACCGCTGTCAAGATACTTTAGTTTGCAGCTATCATGACTTTTTAGAATTTAAAGATAAGGTGTACACCCACAAAGCCTGGACATTACCCACATTAGCATCCTTCGACAACAGGCACGCACACAGATTCGCTTGGACGAGCTACCAAATATTACGAAAGCAAAAACGCCATAGTCCGAACTCATCAATCTACGAAGAGACCCTCTTCTGACTTGATCTCATCCACATCCATTGGATCATCAACCTCTTCAGCTCTCGCGGCAACTTCAAAGTCCATATCCCTAACCAATCTCCCACTGAGAAGCTTGCCCATATGCGAACTCGCAAAGGTTTGTCCTAGTCTACGGAACGTTGTCACAAGACGTAGGAAGTCGATGGGATTACTAGTAAATCTACAAATGGCGGCCGTCTCGTCGTCTTGAAGATGGCGTGTTTCGATAGAGATAAAGCCATTTGTATTGATATCAACTCCTTGGCGTGAGTGTTGGGAGCGGACACCCAGGAATCGACAGAGTGTGCGGTACTCTTCTGGGTCGCGAAGATATAGTTGGCCAGCAAAGAGGTTGAGGGTTGTGGAAATTGTCGGAACGGACCAATCATCCGGAACAGGTGGGACGGCACAAAAGGATAAATCTTCGAGACTGCGGTTTGAGAGGCTCAAACGAGGAGAGTAGACATGCAGACGAACTCGATTCTGACCTCTCATCTGGGGCAACAACTCTTGGACTTCGAAGGGACTCAAGATCATGTATCTAGGCTCGCGGTTTGGGCCCTTGAAAGATAAGATCCAGTGAACGGGACGCAAGAATGAGTCGGTGTTTCCTTCGTTGGTGATTTGTACAGTAGTTGCAAAATCTTGGGACATGAGTAGATTTCCGGGCCAATCGTTTACATCAAGCCCTTCTCTAGCACGGGTGAGACGAAAGACGTTAAAAGCTTGTTCGAAACCCTCCTCAGACTTCAGCTCTCCCGTGAGGATTAGCTGTCGAATGCTTGCATGTAAATTGTGCTTGTAAGGCCTCGTAGGAGGAGGAGGCTCAATTTGTTGCTCGCGTTCGTTCTCTGAATGTAGCTCTCCTGCTGTAAGTAAACATCAAGCTCTCTCGCGGCATGGAAGAAGGAAATGAACTGTTCTTAGTACTACGAATTGGACAGCAAGCAACGACGAAGTGAGAAGAAATTGCAACTTACTTTCTTGTTCCTCATGAAGGTCCGAATCTCCTAGCTAATGAATTAGCATTGTAAGATATGGTGGATAAACAATTTGGTGGCCTGAAGAACTTAGGATTTAATCTAGCCAATGCCAGCGGATGGCTCTTGTTTGCCTTTCTGTCTTGACTCCCAGAATAGCTCCTAGCTCTAGAGTACATACACCCAAAACTTGCAATTGAGTATGCGAATGAGCTTACCGAAAGTATTCAGACCGAACTCCCGACACTTTGAACGGATAGAAGCAAGCTCGGCTCTCGTGAGATCACTATCAACCTTCAATCGATTGCGGCATACAATTCCTTCGTCTATTGAGGTTCTGTCAAGGCCGTAACGTTCGTCCAACGTTAGAGCTTCTGGCTCTAAAACACCGATTGGTATTCGAGGAATTGCCCCGGATAGGTCGCATGCAGCCCGTCGGCGATAATGTCTCATACCTTGAGTTGCCCAAAGAGGCATACCTTTTTTAGCTGCCCAGATAATAAGCACACGAAGAAGCTGATAAATATCCAGGTGGATTTTTCTCTCAACTCCGTAGCCCTTTGAAGCAATATAACGAATTAACAGAGAGATAAGCTTACTAAATTCCCAGGAATTGTGTATCGTCCAGAAGAGCACATCTTCAACCTCGATAAGTCTTGCGTCATTCTTGCCACTACACTCAAGAATCTTTAGCTGCACTTCCAGCGGGCCACAGAAGACAACTGATTGCCCAGATCCAAGACGTCGCAGGCGTTTACAAGCTGCAGAGACATATTAAATCATGTTCCTTGCAACTTTGATACAAGACATACCTTGGGCAAGTCTATCTTTATTGAGGTCAGGTCCAAGCTATTTAGAGTTAGTATCAATCTCAACAGATTCTGGAAGCGAAATATGGTGCCCGAAGAATTTCAAGGATTCTGCTCCAAGGTTGAACAAGGAAATTATAACATACGGTTACGATGGCACGATAGTCAGCAGGTAACTTCAGATCGGTTCCACGCTATGACCAAATTAGCACTCAAAACATCTCTCGCAAGCTAAGAAATCGGGGAATAGAATGAAACGTACAATATGAGCCTCATCGAGATACACTAAACATCGGTCTATCTGCTTCGCAAAGGGTGAAACCAGTAGAGGTTCCTTCATGCCGTCTCGATTCAAGACAAAGAGGTCATTGTCGTGAAAGAAAATGACCGCCTGAGCATCATCGGCAGAGACGAGTCCAAGCCAATCTGTCGCAATTTTTTCATTGTCTTCAAGAAGTTGAGCACCTACATCCAGAAGCACACAAATTGATGGTACCATGTTGATTGCTATGTCAAGAAGGGCTTTCGCATCAAGTGTCTCCAGTTTGAGGGTGTATTCTGTGTCGAAGCTGTTCTCAGGCTGCAAGAGACAATTGAGAACTTCAGCATTGGTCGACAGTTGCTCAGCGAGCTCACACTGTTTGATCGGAGTAGGGAGCATATATTTGCTGTCGTTAGTACCGCTAAAGCCTGTCGTAGGGTGCTTTTTCTCTCGAGCAATTTCCTGAGGATGTACTGTCAGTACTTGCGCATATTAGAAGAGGGGTTTCGAGTGATTCACCCATCCGGAGCTGGACAACTTGCTACTGAATTCTTTCAGTTCCTTTGGAAACACGAGGCGTTCCAGATAATAGTCTATGAGAGCTTTTGACCATCGAAGGGCAGGAAAAAGTTTGCTCGAACATTGGACTTTGTCCTTGAGATTCACTCCAGTTAATTGCGTGAAAGATTCCGGCAGATTCTTGCAATATTGGATCCATTGTACATAGTCTTCCTGGGGATGATCAGAGAGAAGTAGTTCTTCGAAACTGTCATGGATCTGTTCGTCTGACAGGCCACCGTAGTAATAAGAAAGGCATGTTAGTGCTATAGCTGTATCAGGATGACTGAACTCAGATCTGGCACTTGGCTAGACAGTTTAGTGGTTAGCACCTGACTCCTGGTTCTGTAAAACATGATACTGGGACTAACATACATTATCCTTGGCGTGGTAAGGGACCGCGAGCTTAGATCAAGCCCGTAATTGACTCGCCATCTCTTCTTGGCAAAGACATACTCTAGGACACCGGCCGCAAATAACCCTCGGAGCAGAAGCAGGGTCATCTTGGTGAATCTCGACTCAAACACCCTCGACTCAAGGATTGCTGCCCGATGGCTAGGCATGTGAGGATCCGTGAGATACTCAAAGACAGTGTTCCGTTCTTTTTCCGAAAACGTCCACGTCGCTAAGGAAGACATTCCGTCTCTGCAAATTAATCGTGCGGTATTGATGAGTAGATTTTCTCCAGCAGCCTCTTGTAATATACGAATCCGTGGAAACGCCCTGGCCGATCTTTCTATGACTTCAAGACCTTGAGGCTTCTCTCGAGCTTGTTCAGAAAGTATACCTAGAACGTCTTGAATGATTGACCAACGATCTGGGCTGAATTCAAGATTCTGTTGATTACCGAGCGTATAGATAAGCTCAAATCTGACACTCAAGATCTCATCTGACTCATCGAGAATATCTCTGGAGTTTTGGTATAGCCACTGTTGCGTGTCAATCATCGATCTACCAATATCATACATCGAGGGATCCAGGGACTTCTCAGGAAAATAGTTGCTTGAAGCAAGATTCACGTCGGAAGTTAAGTCTCGAGACAGCAAATAATCGATCCCCAGCAGCTCAAACGACAGAAGATTTTCCGGTTGAACCAGAAGTATACCTCCAGTTGCCATGCACTCGACCAAGGTAGTTTTGATCATTTTTGCGATATGCAAGGAAGGTTTCAACGCTCGCGAAATTGGTAGTCGATAAATGCGTCTATTTATCAAGCCACCCAACTTGCTCACAAGTAACTGAACATCTGCTCAGACAGCGATTCTGTCGTAATATTAGTTCGTGCTTTAAAAGGATGTTATTAGGCGTAGGAGCCGATAGCTTTCGAGAATGTCTCGAGAGTAAGTTGCTCAAATTGTGGTCGAGATGAAGTGAATTCTGACGTACTTAGAACAATCACTCTGGAGAGCTTCTTTCGATCTGCCAAAGTTGCAGCAACGATTGGCACGATGATAGAGGACTTCCCAAGTCCCATGTTCAACTGCATGATAGAATTCGATCCCGACTGTGGTGCAATCATCTCACGAGCAATCTGAGCTATTGTCTTGAGGTCAGCATCTGCCAATTGGTTGGTAAATTCAAGAACTGCGATCTGAATATTGCCTAGAGTATATGAAGCACGTATGAAAGCTTTGGTATAATCATCTCTGTTTTCCCGAAGACCAAAAAGTTGAGAATACAGCCGTTTTATTCACCGTGTAGCTAGACTGAAAGAGAAGAACTGGCCATGGAGATTTTACCTTGTTCAGGGCGGATGAGAATATTACTCTCCAGTTCCAGAAGTAGCCACTCAGGCAAATCCATCGGATCCCAATTGGTGTGACCACTGTTTGTCAGCTCGTTTAATATGTCGATGTCCGAATCACTTTCGCTGCACGCTACCAATCGTTCAGCTCTTTGCATAGATGTTATAGCAAGAGCATAACGAGTCAGAGCAAGTTTCCACTCAGCGCTCACGGGTTCGAAGCGAGCAAGTAATTGAAGGAGAACGCTTGGTGACAGGCGTGGAAGCATTGCTTGTCGAGCATTGTCGATTTGTGTACCTGAAACAACCAGTTTCGAACAGACTTTCCTATACAAAGTTTCAACGATCTTCTTGCATTGGTCCAAAGGCGTTGTTAGCTCGGAGTAAGGGACGCCAGACATTAGTTGAGGCTTGGCTGACGTGTTGGCGAGGAAAGCATTGTGAGACTTCTGCAAGTCTTTCACGTACACTACTGAGTAGTTAGCATACACTATACTAACACTATACAGTATATAGAAATATTGATTTCTCAACAACTCGGGGATTCGACACCTGACTTCTCTCCGAAACAGAAGAATGATCATACTCCTCTGATAATGCCCGTTGGCAGACTTAGACAGCTTGTTCAGCAGAGACTTCAATTTTGAAGATCCTGACTCCACTGCTGGCTGGTCGCGCATAGTCACAAACTGCTCCTCAAGCTCATCTTGAGAAAGTGGTAAATCAGGCGCTGGATTTTGCAATAGGTCGTCGATCATCAGATAGGCGCGTACATTCTTGTACGTGTCTTCTTGAGGTGGGATGGAGTAGTATTCGGGTTGCTGTAGCGGCTGGGGTAACGAATCGAGCACAATCTGGACGTCTTCTATATACTGACGAAATTCGAAATTCTTGTGACAAGTCTCGAACAAAGATCGAATGTTTCCCATGGAATTACTCAAGAGAGGCAAATATGTTTCAGTGTCCAGCGTTCGGGGTGGGATAACATCTTTAGAAGGCCATTGGCGCATCAAAGCATTCAAACACTTGCTAACCTGAAGTTTTGTCGCGGCTTGATAAGCAGCTTGGCGTCTATCCAAGAAATAGAAATCACTTTCCTCGGGAAGTCGATCTATCCGGCTTTCCGGACTGTTCTCGAATGATACTTTGCACCCTTCGATAATCGCACTCACTTTAGATTTTTCAGGCTCGAAGCCGCGTGAAAAATCAAAATGGGCATACGGAGGTGGTTGTATGTGGCGCAAGGCTGGTGCTGTTGCAAGAGCGAGAAGTGTATGAATTAGAGGGGCATTATCATGTCTCGAGCTTGCTAGGTTTGCTAGAAAGATCGTGATTTGAAGTTTGTCTCTAGTAGCATCAGACTTTGATAATAATGACTGTATGCTGCACCAATATTGGGGCATGAAGCTGCTGGGAGTCTCCATCCATCGCTTGCTGAAATCGAGTCGGAAATCGGACTGTGGACCGTGGAAAAAAGAGCCCCACATTTGAATTTGGTGGAAGAGATCGTTGTATGGATCGAGACGACAACTCCATTTGTCTACCATTGTGGCAATGTAGCATGCTTCACGTTCACGAGAGCTGTTGGGTATTGCATCTCTTGTTGAATTGTATGTTGCATCATAGCTTGCGTCGAAGCATTCAGCTCCGAAGGGATGAACCCTTTCATTAGAAGTTAATAAGCATTCTAACAAAATTGGAGAGGTGTAGAAATTTGGTCCTCTCGATTCTAGAAATAGCGTCTCAAAAGCTCCGTCCTAATTGCCACAGAAACAAAGAGACGATGTGACTTACCGGTAGCATGCACTGCGTATTGCTGCCCGCTGCCTGAGCTCACGAGGTCCTCGTTCTATCTTGTACTTCGTGTCTAAGCTAGGTTGGAACACTTGAAACGATTCTGCTTGAAGCAACATAGAATGTGCCTCAGTGACAAAGCCTTCGTGATGAGATAATGGGGATAAGTCCTCCCAGTTCACAGTCTGCATGAACTTGGATCCCTTGGGGTAGAAAGTACGAGATGGCGTAAGCTTCGCGAAACATCTGAGAAGCTCAACGTGTTCTGGATCCAAGGAAAGAAAAGATCGAGTGCTGGCCAGTCTCAGTCCATGAAGTGCCTCTTCAGATCCTGTTCTGGATGTCAGAGGATCAGGAAGACAATGGGAAGTCAGAGCGTGAAGATAAAGTTTGAACAATCGACTGCGTAAATTGCCATTGTCGATAAGTAGCCCAAGATCCTTGTCAATAACGAATTGATGGTACGGAATTTTGTCACTGAGCCCTGTATAAATAGAAACCTGGACATGGTGTTTTCTCCGATGGTATGACACAGTTCCGTGTGGAACTATTGTGATGCGCGATGGTCCTTGAATATCTCTCAAAACCAGCTTGTGTTCTGTTGACGAGTAATCAGCATTCATTTTAAGTAGATTCTTGAGAAGAATAAAAATTGAGCTCTGTTCAGAAGGTTCCCAGTGCAGGGATGTTCCAAGGGGAAGCGATATCTTGACTTACGCAGACCATGTAAAGTCCCTATATATTGATTAGTGTCCACAATCATGCCTCGAAACTGCTTAGACTCTAGCTCAGTATCCCGCAAGATGAAGTCTAGGTTCATCCTAGGAAGACAAACTTCGGTTTCCTCGATCTCATCATTGTAATAGATATTGATATTCGGAGGGTTTTCGAGAGGCTTGAGCCATCGCTGAATGACTACCGCGGTAGGACTTCCAGGTTCCACGAGACACCTGCTCTTCAATGCCAGTCTGCTTGAGCTAGCGTCTTCGGGTGCGGAAATGCGCCAATTCTCGGTAGACGGAAGCCATTTGCTGTGCAGTGGCCTCCATTCAATGACCATTGAGCCTAGATGTATCCAGTGTACGTAATTCTGAACAAGGGTACGAGGAAAATCTTTCTCGAGGGCATGAGTAGGGATGACTTCGTATAACTCGCGATCTTTGCTAGCTCTGACAATCAGATCTTTATCGTGCAAGGCAAAATGAACCTGAACTCCTATCAGCGCTGGATGAAACACGTTTTCAACATCAGACCAGTATCATTTGCCGCTTCGTGAACGAGATGTCCGAGTTTAAGCTTACCTGAAAGCCATGAACCGAATTCCGCGTCTCAAAGTGCAAACCTTTACTTGACGGGACGACCTCAAGGATCTTACTTCCAAACAATCGCTTGTACATTGAGTGAGATTCATACTCGGGGAGCAATCGATTTAGTGGGCGAGACGCGATGAGCAGAGAGCCAGTCAATAGATTGTAGTGAAGTGTCATTGGGGAGACGTTGTCTGAATTAGAAGTCCTAGTTGTTAACCACCGATCCTCTGGAGCCTCAACTACGGCCCAGGGCGTTCCAGGTTCATACCCAGGCCATAGTCGTTTCACGGCTTTGTTGATTCCGTCTGAAGAGGCAACAATTCGCTCCCGCAGTACTGACTCAACAGTGTGAGCTGTTCTAGAAAATCGATGCAAAAGCTCTCGAGTCAGTGTTGACAATATCTCTTGTGAGACTGGACAACGTTCCTTAATAGTGGTGGCAGTTTCGATGACAATGGAGACATTTTCGGTCGTAGACAGAAGGGCGAGCAGCTGGCGTGGGTCAACGTCGAAGGTTGAATGACAGATCAGGGCTAAGTCAAGAGCTCGAAGGGTGAGATAAAGCATCTCTTCTTCGCTGGAGCTTTCGTGCAGAATCTCTACAACCATTCGTAACCATCCTATCGTAATATTCCGCGCTTTTTGGAGAAATCTGAGACACCTATTTCGAACAGACTCATGTAACGATACGGACAGCAGGCGAATGGTTAATGAGATCAATGTGAGTGCCGCCACGGAACCTTGCCAATTGCTTCCGACAGATGCCAGAGCTGCTTCCATGGCAGACAAGAGATTTTGACCAAAGCTTTCCTCTTCAAGTTCGATATGCGAGTCTCTCGATACTTGTTGTAGAGCTGAAGGGCCTGCTTGGCAAGAAGCCTGAAGTAGTAGGAGGTACACTTCTTCTTTCTTGAGATCTAGTGTTTGGGAGACAAGTTCTCGAGCGATGTTAAGCCACTGAAGTCTATGACCACTGCGTAAAGCCGCGAAAGCACGGACTTCATGCACAGTGAGACCGTCAGGGCAGATCGCATGCTTCGATAAGACCTCATTCGAGGTATGTTTAGTGCTAGCGACGGCGTATTGAAGGCTATGATAACAGCCTTTTGGGAGCCTCAAGGTACACCTTTCATGAATATCGGACTTGTTGAGACGTTCGCGTGTACTACGCTGGGACTTCAAATCTTGCATGGCGAAGTTTAAGTTATTGGGGACACAAACATCGTTCTCTGTTGCGTCGGAAACTGCCCGAGAAGCGTATTGCGTTTGTGCGAAAGGCTTGGTGGACGAGGCCAGTTGCAATCTGTCTGCTTTTGACTTAAGGTAGTTCTTAAGACCTGGATACTCGGTAAGACTGACGTTCTTTGGTTTGACGAGAGGAAGAGGAGAAGGATTCAATATGTCGGCCAAAATTCGGTAAGTTGTAGATCGCCAGCTGCAGATTAGGCTTGGAATATCCAGCTCAAAGACAACAGACTTCGCTGCAGGCTCTGATTCCGGAAGAGGCCACTCGTAACAGGTGATCCTGAGAGATTGAGCTTGCCTGCGAAGATCACATTTGGTACAATTCGGATCGTGAACTTCCTGCGACACCGGATTTCTCCTGCTCCTGTGCATGATAGTCGTACAGCTCAGAAGCTCCGATCTTTGCGTCAGCTTCGAAAATTCCTTTTTTTTCTCTTTCAACTCATCCTTTTTCGCCTTCGACTCGTCTTTAGCTTCCCTTTCAATACTTCTTTTCAGTTTCTGGTGGTCGAATGACTGCTCGAAATACTGAGCTCCGAAACTCGAGGAAGATGTGACGTCTGTGAATATAGATGGATTATCACGGTCCGAGTTTGTTTTCCGTTTCAAAAGATACTGCTCGATATCGCGCAGATGGATCATCTGATTTCTCTTTGGCAAAAGAAGAGCATCAAACAAAGTGGTTGGGAAGCCAGGGTCGAAGTTCTTCAAGAGTGGATAGTGGAATATGGTGGCTTTATCAAGCGCAACCCAGAGAAGCATCATAGTCAAGATCATGACTGAGAAGCCTTCTGCGGAGCCAGCATATACCGTAGGAGAAGTCGAAATGTACCAAATGATGACATTGGATAGCTTGACAAAGCGACTCTCGGATTTGATGTTTCGGTCGAGCCAGGTATCGAGCGATTTTGACACCCACACTTCCAGATCTAGCAAGCTCAAGGATACTTCAAAAGGTGATTTTGGCTCAGCAGATTCTGGTTCCGGAAGAGAATTCCTCTTTCCATTGATGCGTCGGCTACATTTCTCATCGAATGTGCTTTTGTTGTATCGTTTGATCTCGATATTGTGAACTTGTTTGAGATATGGACGGAGGTTGGCAAGATGCAATATTGTGTCCGATTGAGGCTTGAGTTTTTCGAGCTCAGCAACATGGAAAGTGCCTGCTGAGTCGGCAGCCTTTTGAATGATGTTCCACCTCTTGGCGATGAGGTTACGAGCAGATTCCATACTTTCCGTGACGAATTCTTGTGATCGTTGAGCCCAGATAGGATTATTGCCAGGACTGGTGATGTCCAATTTACGAATGCGTCGGCTGAGCTTTGCTAGCATTACGTGGAGAATATCGCTGCTGCATTTATGATCCACTGCTTTTTCGAGTATAGTGGCCATGAAGTATACCATGAAGATCTTGTAGCGTGTGTGATCTCCTATCCGATTCACGATACTGGTCTGCAAAGCGACTTTCAGTAGAGTCCATCGTGGAGAGCGACGCCACGGTTCCAAGCCATCTCCCCACAGGACATCATCGCGTGTCCGTTTGTAAACTCGAGAGACGTCGAGCGGTGAGCCAATACCTCGTAATATGCCAGGTAGCCATTCTGTGGCAAATCGGGGGTGTATAGTATCTCTGCTGTAGAGAAATCAGTACGCATTTCGGACTAGATGATAGAACACATGAACCGACGACATCCGAAACCATATCTCGAAAGCGCGGCTTCCTGATTGTCCTTGAAACTGAGAGAGATGACGTACTGTGCTCCGCAACCTTTGCCGATCGCATCCTTGGGAGTCTCGCTTTCCAGAGACGTAAAACACTGTGTAAATGCCTTTCGAAAATTGTGGTCTACTCGCGCCTCGGGGACAACGATCACTGGACCAGGGAACCTGTGTACCAATCTTCCAGTTGTACCCGTCACTGCTTGTGAAGTTGCTGACAGTTCGAAGATCTCGATTGAGTAAGTTTGGAGTTGCCTTCGAAGCACAAGCCCGGCATTTTGGTGAGTGATATGAAGAGCCAATACATCTGTTGCAGAGTTCAATACGACCAGTTTCTTCAAAGACCGATACACTCACCTCCTTCCCTCATGTTGCCCAACTTCTCATCAAGATTTCTGAACGGACTTTCGATGTTGTTATTGTTCAGAAGTATGTTTAGCATTGCAGGAAGTCTCATCCAATTCCCTTGCTCTTCTTCTGGAAGATCATCTAAGAACAAGCTCAAAGTATTATGAAACAGCTCTGTCAGGCCAACTTCGACCTCTGGTGTCGTATCATTTAGCTGGGGCAGCTTTGGGGGTAGGAAAACATGATTGAAGATGTACTGGTATACCACAGGGAGCTCCAATGGAACGTTGTCGTGTTAGTCTTTGGCCTCGTCCATGGTGACTTGATTCGCTGTAGTGTCGTCCTTCACAACAAAACTGCTCCACAATCTTTGTTTAAAATTCTCCAAGAATGTTGCCTTTCAAAACATCATGGCAATGGAGATAGCGGGGAACCAGTGTGGACTTTGCTTGCTTCTGGAAAAAGAAAAAGGAGATCACCAACTCCAACAAACGCGACAACTTTGCACGTCTCTATACGTGCCTAGATTTCACACATCTTCACAACTTTTAGCTCACCGAGGACATGGGAGGCGTCCTGCAAACGACTCATTTCAGTGCTTCTTAAAAGTGATATGTGAGCGATCCCTAGAATCGTGGCTCAAGAAATGACTTATCGCATTCTGCAGCACGGAACACATCTATAGGTATGGCTTCATTGTCACAGTCTTCCGAATAATGCATGATCAGTGGTTGTGACTTCAGCGCCAATATTTGATTATTTTGTGAAAAGTACAGAGCCAATGGCTGCAAATGATCACACAATGCTTGGTGGCACAAATCTGCCTACACATTCTCAATCGACAAAAAGAAACACGATAAGTCAAGCCAATAAGTAACGTTGGGCTTGATCGAGGTGCAAGCATTCTCCGCCTGTTTCAAGGATATACTTGAAACACAAACCCAGAATTGATGATGCACAAGCAGACCCATTCAGCTTAGCGTCTAGGCAGCAGCACGGCTTCTTGTTCTTTCTTTTTTAACACCACTACTAGGAGAAGAACGGGAGTAGGATTACGACATACGAGAATGGCTTACGTATCCAGAAAGACAACCTAGTTGTTACTTAATCATAATCCCGTTCTCGAGTTAGGAGGGCATAAACCCCACACTCATGTCGCCTCGGTGGCGATATTTCTGGATGTGGTCGCGATGCTTTTGCTCCACATGATAAGATTGTGGAATGGTTCTGTCGAGCTTCTCTGCCCTACTCTTGTGCTTTTTAAACTTCCATTCGACGATCAACGTCATTGTGAGGAACAAAGACTTCGCTTCTCGAGTGAAGGATTAATAAGCGGCCATGTGCATAAGTCTTGGCGTGTCAGCGTTATTATTTGACAAGAGCACTATTGACTCGTTGAGTTTTATATGGAAAGACACAAAGAAAAATCTACATGCGAACTGTTTATCGACGAGGAAATCTTTAAGGTTAATGCAACAGAACAATTTTCGGCTGCCTGGGTTGTCCAAGCCTCTTCTTTGTGCTAGCACAAGCCTTCCCAGACCAGACACCTGGTGCACCATTTATGCAACAAATCCAATAATATGTTCAACTAGTTGCCGCAATTCAATTGTGTACATTCTCAAGATTACAAATTCTCTCTTGATATTTGCAAATTTCTGTTCGAATTCTGCATGCTAAGGACGTGTCGGTGGTACTGCGGGGTAGATAGAGCGGTACACAGCAATTTGTGAAAATCTCTAGGGTACGCGACAATTTCGCCCTCTTTCGTATTCTTCCAAACCTTGATTGATATCATAGCAAAATTGTTTGTCTCTTTCTTACAATTTCATGCCTCAGCATTTGGAAGAAAATTCTTGCAGGTACCTGAGGGCTTTATGAAAGCGTGATACTTTGTGATTCAGTCCTGAGGCAGAGCTTTCATTGCAATGCTTGAAAGTCGTCTTTGAGATGTGCCAGAGCTCAAGAAGGTTTGGTTCATCACCAATCTTCTCAGATTTGACATTGGAAAGTCCACAATCATTCCTCCTTTCAAGCATGTTTGGAAGCAGTTTTGTGTTGTGAAGACCTTTATGTGATGAAAGTTCCACGCATTGAAGAACGATGAAAGCTTCGTTGTGATGCAGGTTGAAAGAGAATATCTTTAAAGAGACTAAAGAAAAGTTTTACTCAAGCAGAAGCTGAATGCAACCCAATCACTTATATAATGACCTCATGTGCTGACCTTGTGGACCCAGAAGTCAATCTCTTCAGAGGAGACATGGCAACTCCCAGACCCACACCACCAAGATTTTACGAACCACTAGAAAATGCGACATGGGGCGATCGATTCTCTCACATGGTCATGAATTACATCAACCACCCTTCTCTTCTCCAAGAAACCCCAACCGGCCAGCTATGGAACTGTCAACCAAGCTCTGTATTGAATCCTGATCTCGGACATTTCATTGCGCACTTGTCCAAGACCATCCTCGTTACAGATCCCGCTTATCCCGAGCTCTTCCACGAAACTGGATTGGACGGTCTGCCCAACTTGCACCATGTTACCATCACCATTGCTACTCGAATCGTAGATAGAACGGAAGATCCACCAGGTCGATGCCACGAGATTCTGGTGGTTGCCAAAGGTTACGACTCAGCGGACAACGTGTTTGGGAATACAGATGAGGACATTGACTTTATGGGATGTTATGGCCCCGGTTTTCGTTTCTGTATGGACGCGGGTGGCTGGGCGGATGCACCTGTGAACCTACTGCTACCCATCTTGAGAGATATCTTCGGAGATTGGAGATGTGTCGTGGAGTACCTGAAGTACATGATTCGTCAAATAATGGCAAGAGCTGGAACAGAAGCGCATCCTTTGGTTCATATGCATATTCTCGGAGACGGGTTGAATTTCAGAAGAGAAATGTTGCGGATCGCTGGTACCATAGAAATCGGTTTTGACATCGTCGACGGGGCTCCAACGGACATCTCCAAGAATAACATGGTATGGCAAGTCCTTCAGAACGGGAGATGGGAAGACCTTTGATCGAGGCGACTTGAGGCTCACTAATGTTTGCTACGAATTTCTTCTGGCAGTTTTTTGGCGGATAAGAGGAGGTAAGAGAGTTTAAGCGCGGAGGTGTCGCGGTTAGCCAATGCAATCAAGTCCTAACACTTGCTGCTCGACATCTGTGATAGGCGAAATAGGTAAAAGTGTTCATGGGATTGCTTTTAGTTGTTTCCAAATGGTTGGAAGCGATTTCGAGGCATTGATAAAGCAAGTCTTTGAAGTTAATTGAGGATGGTAAAATCAGACTTTCTACTGCTCAATCCAAGGCTCAATTACAATCTTCCTTGCACTTACCCCTTTATGCAATCTTTCAATCCCCTCAGCTACAGCTCCCAAACCCCCAATAGTCTCAGCAGGGACGCCTTTAATCCATCCTTCTGTCAAGCCTTGCTCTAGGTACCCACCCTTCCCTAGCATCCACTGTACAAGGTCCTGGTTTTCCTCGGCCTTGTTCCTAAAAAGGAGCATCTTCGTTTTCACATTCTCTGGGAAAACAACTTCACCACCACTCATACTCGGCGGCAGGAGCGTTATAATCTCCACCTGTTCCTTGACACCATCCAAGATATCACGAATAGGGGTTAGAGATGAGCTGAGAGAGATCGTATCAAACCAATAGTCGATGGGGAACAGTTCCTTGATTTTCGACACCGTAGAGTTGTCACTACGGTCGAAAATGTAATCCGCACCTAGATCTTTAAGTAAAGGAAAGTTGTGAGGTGAGGATGTCGAGATGACTGTGTAGCCAGCCAATTTAGCATAGCAAATGGAAAGTGCTCCCATGGCAGATGAACCGCCCCAAATTAGGATCTTCTTTCCATTTGCAGGTGCTGGGTTTGGAGATGGATTTGGACGGCTCATGTTGAGTGCTCCAGGAGCATAGAGTGCAGCTAATGGAGTCTGAGACGCAGTTGCGATGGCAGTGGGAAAGGCGGTATTGCCAATCTAGATATTTTCAGCATCCTCTTAAATTACTTCTTCGTGGTCCTTTCTCCCCACGACATTCAATGGTGGATGAATGCGACATACAGGAACGACTTCTCTCGCATCAACAATCACGAATCGCTGCGAAGCGCCAAATTTTGCAACACCACCACTGGTGAAAATCATTGTTCCGCTTACAACTCTCTCACCAACCTTGACTTTATCGACGTCCTCTCCGACAGCTTCAACAAATCCTGCCACGGGAGAGCCAAGAATGGTGGGATATTTCAAATTCATGATGCCCAATTTGGCTACTTTTGCATCTGCAGGTTGCAGACCGGATGCTTGTACCTGTACTCACCCAATTCCTCATTAGTGACTGGGATACAATGCAGTGTCTAATGTGGAGGGACATACCCTAATCAACACTTCTCCTTTCTCGGGCATGAAAAACTCCGATGGTCTAACTTCAATCCTGCCCTTCGCCTCTACTATCCAAGCAGCTAGATTATCTCTCGAGGAAGCCATGCTATTCGATTTCAACGACACAAACTTTCGCGATACAAAATTCTGAAATGCGAATATATTTTTTGTTGCTCTTATTGAATTTTTGGAGAATGGAGACTTTTGAAAACTTCTCATCATGCGATTCTGAGAAGACAAAGAGTTGGATTTCTAAAAGACAACCGCAGTTCCGAGCTATAATCTTACAAAGCGGGACCTCATTGGAATGATGCTAGAGCGGATGTACAGGCGGATGATCATCGTGCGGCGGGAGTGGTCTGTGCTTACCGAAAGACCACAATGAAAATGTTAGGTGCACAGTCAGATTGTGCAGTCTCACAAGTTCACAAGTGTCTAAATTGAATTTTGGAGGGTATATACATACAGTATCGGGGTAGAATAATCAAAATCTTCGCTAACGCGACTACAGTATCTGAATCTGTTCCGACCCCTCCAAAGTCTGCGAGGTGAAAACTTCGATATGGTGTACTTGGAGGATATAAATCTCAACAAGTCAATTGCTGTCACATACGACCATAGACTGAGGAAAACAGGGCATCCCGTCCGCTCTGCCGTACTTAAACCTCAGATCGGCAGATTAGTAGTTGAGTGGGTGACCATCAGCGAATACCAGCTGTTGTATGTTTTTTTTTTTTTTTCGTTTATAATTTTATCTTTGCGTTGTGGGGTTTTGGTGGAGAATTGAAATTCTCGGCAAATTCAGGGGGTTTGAAATTAAGCGAGTGAACATTACCCCGCCCCCTTTCCTGTCGAGTTGAAGTCGCAACATTGTCCTCTCCTCTAGTGGTAATTGACCCGCAGAGTCTGTCGTGCCCTTTCTTTGTTGATCTTGCTTTCAGCAATTAACATACTAATACGTTATGTTATCTCCTAAGCTGTCGTTTGAAGCACATTCCAAGCACACCTTTTCAGGGCCTGTGCAGCATCCCCAAAATTATTCCAGGCACGGATTATAGCGCATATATAGCGCATTTGGTGCAGCCAGCGCACCCAGCGCACCCAGCGCAGTCAGCGCAGTTAGCGTTCCAGGAGCGCCGGACTTTAGCCTAGCTCAGTATTTGCTACTCAAATAATAAGACATTTTCAGAACTACGTCGATTCTAATTGCGCATGATCACGGAAACAGGTTGAATGTGGCTTCGACGGCAGAGCGCTCGATGTCCATTCGGTAGGTTCGTCAACCTCCAAGTATGCGAAACGATTCTGAAGATCTGCAATGACCTGGTCGACTGCGGTATCCTCACTTTGTACTTCGGCACCATTTGTGCCCTTGGAAGGTCGGCTTAGTGGCTTTAACAATTGAAGGGCTTCGTGGAGGACTCCTATGAAATATTGATGATGCTGGTTTGAGGCTTTGGTCGACTTATCATTATCTCCTTGTTGCCTGTCCGAATCTTAGTATTAGTGGATAGATTAACAGAATAGGAGTGAAAAGGGATAACGTACTCGATGATTGCTACAAGGGCTACGGGCCGAAATGACCTCCTCCAGCGTTTGGATGATAACTTCGGGTACTAACATTGCTGTGCTTGCAATTGACTTGGCCATTGAAAGGATACCAGCAATAGGACAATATGTTTTTTGACATTCGGCTTTTGCGACGCTCTTTCCTTTCCCTTCAGTCTACCTTTGATGTTGGGTTGAGGAGTCGTTGGGAAGAGGGCGTCCACCAAAGCTAATTCTTGCGCCTTGCTGGCCAACCATGTCGTCACTTTCGTTGTACCGGATTTGTATTGCTTGTAGGTAGCGAAGAAATCCGGATCCAATGCCATCGTGGAAGAACGATCGAAGACGTTCGCGTAGACCAAAGACGTCCGTGTAGATCAAAGACGTTCGTGAAGAACGAAGAGGTAGAAAAGTGGCTGGTGAAAGGTGACATGTTAGTTCAATGCCAGGAAAAGATTGTCGGGTATCTTTTGGAGCGAGATGGAAGTTAAGGGAATTAAGGAAATTTCAATTGCCTGGCTCTGTAAGTGACTTTCTGGCGAAGTGATTAACGCGTATTAAAGAGGGCGGTAGTAACGAAGGTGTATTGCGCTGCGTTCAAGCTTGATACGAAGAGAGAACGCCTGTTTCTGCCATAAGTCGAGTTGTGAGATAAAGGCAAGCAAGCTAGGTAACAGAGTTCAAGTCTCCGAAAGTAACTAGCGCTAGTACTCGTATGGATTGTCAACAGACCGTTAGTATCGTGGCGAATGGTAAGTACTTCCAGTTCTCCGCAATGTATATTTTCAATTCCCATAAACCACGGCTCTAACTACTTTATATTTCAGGGCTTAAAGTATAACAAATAAGATATGCACTCAGAGACTCTAGATTAAGTATCGCTTGAGAGAAGACACAGCTCTCAGATAAACCATGTATCCGAACACCGCTCATGGTCAGGTAGAGATCGAATTTCCGAGCAACGTGGCAATATTTAGTTCTCGGGCATTCGAGAGAATAAAGCTGCAATCGCGGCAATCCAATACTCCAAAACTCTCAATACTCTCAGCTAATACGGCGCCCGATATCAGAGAGAGCCCCAATGCCAACGCAAAGGCAAAAGCTCCCGAAATCCTCGACTCTCCTCCACCAGACTACGAAGACCCTCTCCAAACCACAAATTCCAACATACCAATTCGCTCCTGGTCCTTCGAACTCGTCTCCCACGATCCTTATATCTGCTACCCCTAGCACACTCCACTTGCCCGCAGGTTGAAGGACACGCACTCCAACAGCAAGAATATCCGCTTACATCTCTGGAGAAGCAGATGTTACGCAAGCTCATGGTAAGTGGGCTCAGAAAAGGACTATTAAGCAGATGGTGTCGGTAGCGAAGGCAACCCCTGGTTTCTCTCGTCTCTCTACCGCATGCAAAGCTTACTCGCTTGACTTGGTTTCCCTGGGTTTAAAGAGCTTGTTTCGACAAGATAATACCAGACAATATTACTGTTTCTAATTTCTCGAGAATACATAAAGTTGGGTTCTATCTTCCCAGGCTTGTATTGAGTCACTAAGTCATATCAGATGAGAGAAAATGGAGCTCAGAGATAATAACAACAGCTTAATACTTCACTTCCCAAACTCACTCTCAATCGAGCCAAACACTCTCCCCACTGCCTGTACAACACCACTCGCTCTATACCCTTCCTTCTCCCTATCCGGACCGGGATCATTAACATTCTCGACCTTCCTCCTCGCCCCTTTCCCAACCTCTAACACCGTTCCCCCTACATACTCCTCCTTCTCCACCATATCCAACATCGCACTCGCAACCTCCTCAGTCGTAACCCACTCGTCACCAGCAGCCTCCTCAAACCACTTCAACTTATCCTCCGTCCACAGCGGCGTCTTAACCAATCCCGGTGCAACGGCACTGACTCGAATATTGAGCTTCGGCTCTAGGAGCCCCAGAGAACGGGTAAAGGACGAGATCCCGGCTTTGCTGGCTCCGTAGAGTGGAACTGGGAAGGCGATGCTTTGTGCCGCCACAGAGGATACCAAGATCACGACTCCGTGGCCATGGTTCTGGTGTTTGAAATAATCGAGTGCTAGTTGGGTGACTCGGATGGGGTGGGTGAGGTTTAGTTCTAGGGTTTTGTATGAATTGGTGTCGATTGTATCGACAGTGTTTTGCAGGTGCCAGAAGTTGGACCATGGCTGTGTCGAGAATTAGTCGTGTTTTTTGAGATTTGACAGAGTGAGATGAATAGAAATAGACGAAGAGGAAAAATGGAAAGGGTAATAGAGAGAAGGCCGTGGAGACAAACAGGTTCAAAAATCCCAGCACCAGGACAAACAATATCCAAATTCCCGAACTGGCTCATGCACTCATCGAATGCGGCTTGCAACTGAGTCCAGTCCGCCACATCTGTCTGTTTGAACAAAGCTCTGGCTTTCTTCTTATCCCCTTCTCCTTCTTTTCCAGTTGAAGACACAATTGCCTCGGCATCAGGAGTTAATTTAAGATCCGCGATCAGGACGTTACATCCTTTCTCCAGGAGAAGCTTAGTGAACTCGAGACAAATGCCACTTCCTCCTCCAGTTACGAGCGCTGTCTTGCCGTTGACTTGGAGCGCCATTTTTGCTATGCGCGATAATAATGCTTTGAATGAATAGAAGCAAGATACTTATCGGATGAGGTTTATCTTCAGTATTTCCTTCAGATAACAATACTGGCTCGGTCCGGCAGGAACCTAAAAATCCGGCCATCTTGGGAACGAATCATACCCTGCTGATCGTGTTGGTTGGTAGGAACTTGCAGCACTCTGGTTCTCGCTAAATCATGCCTAAATCTGAAAAGGGGCCCAGTACGGCACCTAAAAATGAGGGGCGATCCTTACCCCGCATTCGCATTCGATCAATCATGTCGTAACGGTTATACCAATAATGATGGCTACACATATGTCCAAGCAAGTGCTGATATAAGCTTACACGACATGATAGGAAGGAGGCAGATAGTAATACCGACATTGTACAGTACATAGCACTTGTAGGACCACTTTGTGTCCCTCAAGACCGTCTCACCCGAACAGACAATAGAAAAGAGTTCTGACCCCTATACTTGCTCGTAACCAAAATCATTCTCTAGTCCATAACCAAGAAAAGTCTCAACCAAGATGCCCAGAGAAGATATCTCATTCCAGACCAGCGACAATGTCACTTTACGTGGGTGGTTCTATTCCCCTGAAACAACAATCTCCACGCCACTCCCGTGCCTCGTAATGTCCCACGGCTTCACCGCAACCAAGGAAATCCACCTCGACAGCTTCGCCGCACACATCACCTCCTCGCTACCAATTTCCTGCCTCATATACGATAACCGTGGCTTCGGAGCTTCGGACAATCACCCTTCTGCGCCCCGGCAAGAAATAATTCCTTCTCTGCAATGCAGCGATATTTCTGACGCAATCACCTATGCCCAAAGTAGGGACGATGTGAATAAAGACAAGATTGGAATCTGGGGAAGTAGTTATAGTGGCGGACATGTGCTTTGGGTCGGGGCTGTTGATAAGAGGGTCAAGGTTGTGTTGAGCCAGATGCCTATGGTGAATGGGTGGGAAAACTTCCATCGGTTGATACGTTCGGATTTTGTTGGTGGGTTGAATCAAATGTTCCAAGAAGGTTAGTCGAGATGAGCATGCCCAGCCGTCGATTATGGCTAAAAAGTCTAAAAGATCGACTGGCAAGAGCTTCGGGAAAAGCTGCTGGAACGATTCCGGTCGTCGACCCCAATCCAATGGCGACATCTGCGCTGCCTACACCTGATTCATACACATTCTTTTCTAATTGGGAAAAGAAGGGTGATTTCTGGAAGAATGAAGTGACTGTCAAAAGGTAATATCCTTTTCCCGATTTCTGTCATCGGATGCCCGAACGTTCTCTGACACAGAACAGCATGGAGGAGCTTAGAGCTTACAATCCCTCTTCTCACATCCATCATATATCACCTGCCCCATTGCTGATGACGGTGGCTTCGAGTGACATTCTTACTCCGGCAGACCTGGCTTTGACAGCGTACTCTAAGGCTCTAGAGCCTAAGGAGCTGCACTTGATTCCAGGTGGTCATTTCGATGGATACGCTGGTCCAATTTTTGAGACGAATGTCAAACGACAAGTCGAGTTCTTGAAAAAGACCCTCTGTGCATGATATTATTCATGTCCAATACAGATGGCTGCTAGGAACAGGTGGGAATTTCAGCGACAAGTCTTTCTTCGCTTCTTTGCCTTTTGCTGCTTTGTTGGATTAGCAAGCAAGATCTTGAGAACGTCGTCGTATTGCAGTGACAATTTCTTGTTGCCTAAAGCAGTAGTTAGTTTCAGCTACAAAGAGTAGCAATATGAGACACTCACAGAATTCACGAAAGGCAGGCTGTAGCTTCAGGTAAACATCTTTGAGCCCGTCCGGCCCGTTAGATCCAAGGTAATCCTCATCTTCCCACTGCATGGTCAATGGAGTATCATACTCGCGGCAAAGAGCACCATAAGTGACTGTCAATCTTCTGTACATGAAAGATGCCTTCTCTAGTCGATATTGATGCCCTGGCAGATGTCAAATTCGAATTTCCCAAGCTGGGTCGGACAATCTTACATTTCTTTTGTTTTGGTAAACTCAGCCTGATCTCGTCTCTCACCAGCCGATCTCTATACAGCAGCATTAATCTCAAGAGGCAAATCCCGATGATCATTCTAGCATGTTCGTGACCACAGATGTACTTATTAATATCGTCTAGCGCATGAAAAACTATCTTTTCAGCCGGTTCAAGTCCTTCAGCTGCAAGCAGGCGAATTTGATCGTGGACTGTCTCGGATATGTACCTTTGGCTGGGATGATTCTCTGAAGGAAGCTGTTCAAGCAGATCATAGCTGCCATCTCGAAGATTCAGAAAACCATAAGCCACTAGGTTGTTGAGACTTGCGATTCTTGAGGTCAGATTTGCTATGGCACGCTGAGACTGTCAGACTTGAGAACAAGTAAATTCGGAATATACTTACTACTTCAGTATTGTGCTGCCTTGCACAATAAGCTGTCAAGAATTGATCGAGTAATAAAGTAAGGTTTCCAGAATGTCCTCCATCAGATGCCAAGAGAATCTTCCGCCCGAATCGATCGAATTCATCGATGCTAGGTAAAGACGAAGGTACAATGACATATCGTTGACCATCGAAGATGTCAGATGTGATGTAGATCCCCCGAACCTTGGTCAATCGCTTCCAGCGGCATAAAGACGGTGCACTGCATTGCATTACCTTGATATCTAAGCTAGCCAAGGTTCGAATATGATGATCATTATTCCTGAAAGGTACAGAATCGTGGTCATCATACCTTTCGACTGAGAATTGGATTGGTCTGGGCTGCCCAGTGAGTGACGACAGCAGTGGCGTAAGTCTAGCTCTGCGATTATCGAAGCTGCTACCATGAAGGGCTAAGTAAAGATATGTCAGCTGATCTACCTGAGACATTGAAAAATAGCTTTCACTAAAGCGTCAAGGTTTGCAAGACTTGGAGATCATGCTGATTAGTAGAACACCATTGATCGTTCCTGACCGCTGTTGAAGCAGTGACATACCTCTAACGCCAACGAATGTATCCCTTAACTTCGTACGTACACAGATGTGGTCTGCTAACGGATTTCCAGAGGCCAGTTTGACACATGCAGTGCATGCTCCGGTTGGTGTACACTACATCCCATCAGAAAAACTAGCATAGACCTTGTCAAGCTACTCACTGGGACTTTCCGCGCTCTACAGAATGCACACGCTCCACTAACCCTGACTTGTTTGACTTTTGTCTTCCCAATCTCGGTAAACGGTCTTCTCGAACGTTTCGGAAGAGGAGAAGACGGGTTGGATTCGAAGTTGGATATGAGATCATTCAGAGGTGGTGGCGTAATAGTAGATCCTTGGCCAGCCCTCGACACCTCTATGTCAACTTTTACAAGAACGAAGGACGATTCTTCTGCTGAAGAATGCTGCTTTGTTTGGGAAGGAATACAACTTTCGTTGATAGAAGGCGAGGTCAGAGGCTGCCATATGGTATTGCTGGTATGCGAAGGTTGTCCGTAGTCCTGGTTCGTAATGATGTGCTGCGAGCTCGAAGATAGAGTCTGATTGCACAGTGTTTCCAACCCCAGAGAACCTTGAAAAATATTGAGGTTAAGAGTCTCCGCCGTGCTATCGAGCTCTTCATCGATTGTGTTGAGGCCTGTCCTTGATTCGTAAACATCTGGAGAATCTATGTTGGATGGGTGAAAGAATGGAGCTGTTCTGTCGGTTTCCCTAGTGGTCCAAAGCTCTGCTGGAGAATCCAATGTCGAGCCCAAGTCGACGTGACTATCAATAAGCGAAAGGGGCCACAAAGTCGAGGAAAAGTCCTGTTGTGGGTCTTCGGCCAACGGTGCAGCATCCCAGAAAACCTCTTTATTGTTGGTGTCAAGTTGCAATGGATCAGTTCCTAGCTCTTCTGCATATTGTACGGGTGTGGCATGAGATCCTGCAAGAGGTATCTCAGTCTGAGTAGGATCTGGTAGGTACGCGAAGCATGGATTCGAAGCAAGTTGCCTCAGAGCGTCCTCGAACATAGATGGCACATCGAGAAAGTCCATTGTCTGATTGTAATATCCAGAATTGTAGTCCAGATCAGTAGACGCATACTGACTTTGAATTTCCCCAAGCATGTCCTTCTTCGTTGGCCCAGTCCATGAGAATGATCTGTCTAGCCTGCATGGTCGGCTGGGATAGGAAAAGGATGGACGACAAGGATCAAACTCCATGGCTATAACAATAACCTAGAATTGCGGAGCAGATGTGAACGAATAGACTTGTCGAGTCGCAGTCTTGGAATGAGGCTGTGATTGTCTGATGGATTAAACAGTTGACAATTCCTTGGTGGAAAGACGAATATAACAGCTCATGTGAAGGCTGCTCTGCTGCCAATGACGTTCCACAGCACGTGCTGGATTTCTGAGAATCTCGAAATGGCCTTCGGTGAATGAGTGAAGGCAGGGTATGCATTGGCTAGGTTTGCTGACAGCGCTCTCAAACCCTGTCTTTAAGGGTCCAACGTGGGGTTTCTGAGATATGGAATGCCCCAAGAGGAGGCGAGTCTGCCTTGCAGATTCAGCCGCTCCACTGAACCGTGCCGCCACATGAGGATGCATTGAACGATGGGCCGTTTATGACGCCGACAGGTCACTCTCGGTGAGCTAAATAGAGAGTTTCGGGGCGATCCTGGCTAGATATGCTCGTCGTCGTTCCCAATGCCCGGTTCGCGGGGAAGATAATGACTATTCCGCGTAGAAGTAATAATGGAGATGGGACTTGGATAACGGAAACGTGGGGGAAGGAGCTGCATGAAGAGGAATGCTGAGGAATTCGCATCAAATCTCAGATCAGCGTATTTGCCAGCATGCAGGATGTACATCAGTAAGCGAGACGTCAGCTCAGGAGGCCTCCTGGATCTCGAAGTATATGATTGGATCCTCAAGCAACCTGCAAGGCTGTGCGTAACCTTCTCTTCATAATTCAATTTGTCTTTCCTCTGTCCTAAATTCAATGTCGGGCTTCTCATGCCTTGATACATTTTCAGATTGCTCTGCATAGAACAAGGGGCTTCTGAATATCATACTTTGGAGGCATTCGACTCATCATGCGTCGCGGCATTTTCAGCCCATTGGCATTGATCTGGCTTCTTCAATGCGATGGAGTCGTTGCCTTAAGCTCGAACTCAACAGCGGAGTATCCCCATGGAGGAAGTGCTATACAGCATACTGTTGGCCTCAAGTAAGTATTTGGTTTAGTGGTCAAAGAGACGTCCAGCTAAGTTTGGCTAGTACACCGAGGTCAAACCTGTTGGTCTCGAGCCCAACGCTCAATATCACCAGTCCCTAAAACGAAAATGCCCCTCTTATTGGCGGACCAGAGCCCCAACTTCATTATACGACTCCACTAGCTGCAGTCCCAGAAGAGGAAGATGTTGCAAATACCCAGCCTAGGCCTCCTAATCCAAGCGTTGGTTCAACCGAAGATATAGACTTCGATGAATGGCTCAACACGGATATGTTTGAAAATGAAGATGTTCCATCACGCTCTATGTTGTGGGAGCAACCAGACAATGAACCACCTGGCGAACTTGACAATGAAGAAGCTGTACCAACAACGCGCAGCCACACTAGCACACCATTGCCGTACCCAACGACTCAATCTGTCTGGGTACCCGATGGAAACGAACTTGACACAAACACAGCATTGAGCAACAGTCATCACAGAGAATCAAATGACGATGGACCTGGGTCACGTCTAGCTGGAGGAGATTTGTGTAGAAAACGTCCAAGGAGCGAGGAACGCAATGAGGGGTATCTGTCGCGAACTGGAAATTGCTCGGAAATGAACGACCTCCCCCAGGAACAGCACATGGGACCTTTTAAGAGACATTGCAAATCAGATGAGCACTCAAGCTCTGAGAACACGCCTCCTATCAACGATAGAGCTAGTCTACTGTCTGATTTCGTACTTGGTGCTCTTACTTTGTCTATAAGTCTCAGCAAGGACGACAAGAAAAGGAGACGGCAGAATTGCGGTGGACGCGCAGCCGACTCTACGCGAGAAATTGAGAGCGAGGACAAAAAGGAGTTCTCGAAAAGTAAAAACTTTTTCAGTCCAGGAGCAACATACCTCCTTGATTTTGCAGGTGAAGAATCGAAAAAGGAGTTCTCCAATCTTTTGGAGAATCAGATACCGAGAGCGATAAGGAATCTCATGGAACAAGGCTACAGGATAGCTATTACTAACAATCCTTGGATTACGAACGATCTTCTTCCGTCTGCGCACTTGCTCGAAATATTAAACCCGACGAAGACCGACCCTGAAGTTCAAACCGGCCTTGCTGCATTACGGACACGAAACGTCGAGGAATCTGGAACTTGTACTAGCTATTCCTCTGGACATGAGAGTGACCAAACCGTGCTTTCGGAGACTTTTGAGAGCACCTCATCGCAATTTGCTACACCACCGTCGTTATTCAAAAGCACGGGCTCATGCTCTTCGAGTCATATCTGTTCGACATGCAATGCTCCCTTCAGTCGACTTTTTGAACTGAGAAAGCATGCCAAATATCATGACAAGCCGATTTCCTGTTCCGGTAAGTGTACGCCCCTAAACTGCCACTTCGTGGCGAGCGAGCACTTTTGGGAGCTTAGCTACTATGGCTCTTAAGGGGATCGTGTAATCTTTCTTACATTTCTATAATGCTAATGTGCGACATAGACTGTTCGCGTAGATTTGGGCGACGGCGCGACTTGATACGACATCAGAAGACCACCCATAGAGATACGCATGAGCCAGAGCGATGGTTCTGCCCTTACAAGATGTGTCGTTATCATAGCTCGCCATTCGGGAGAAGGGATAATCTGTTGCGACATGTGAGAAACATGCACCTTGCAGACGAGAAATAACTGGGAGAGGCCTGCATAGCGGGCCCGCTTTGCAAGTCAAATGGACTCATCATGGAAATCTCAAGCCTCATAGCCCTCTAGGTCTGGCGATCTGAGAAGAATAGATTCCATTAGACAATAATCCATTATAGAAGTGCAAGACACGTTGCAACTGTGTCGGTGCATTTGTGTAGGCGCAAGTTGTCTGGGCGCAATTTGCGACTTTAACCCCCGGCTTTTGAAACCACAAGACAACGCCCTTGTTTGTGCATACTTTGTAGCTTAGTAAGCTTTTAGTATAATTTACATCGTAATTATGTTGGTGAAATTGTGTGGAGTGACTAAATAGGCGCAAGTTGTTTTGGCGCAATTGTGTGGTTGAATTTGGCGACTTCAGACCACCACGTTAACACCACAAGGCAACTCCCTTATTTGTGCATACTTTACTGCCTTGTAAACCTTGCAAAGTTGAATAGATTTCGTTGCTGTGAAGTAGAACTCGCTTTCTCGAGAGCTTAGAAACTCGATCTTTATGCATCCACCGCTGAAGCAGCAACATTACAATATTGGGCCGCTTGGAGAGATCGTTTTGATGATACTCTCACGGACATGCGTAAACAGAAGTTGAGAATCAGAGAAGCGAAGATGAAGCTTTTCAGAGGACAGGGGTGGCACAGATGTCGGATGCGATATTGACATGAGTGGTTCAGGATGAGAGGTAGAAATCGAATAGTCTCATAAGGAGCGCGGCAAATGAGCCAGCAGTAAAGCAGGAAGAAGTCACTCACACCAGGGGCAGGACCAGGATGGACTTGTTTGTACTTGTAGTAGAACTTGCCAAAACAAATGAGACGTATCAAGTGGTCGTGCCCTGTCATTGTCCCAAGTGCTATGCCTCATAGATCATGAAAGATCCAAGTCTTCCATCAGATACTCAAACGTACCATCAACCTTCCTCCTCTTAGCCCCGACCTTCCCAGATCTCGTAGCACGATCAAAGTCAAAATGGACATCCCGCAATCGTTTCTCATCAGGTATGGACCCCTCATCTACTTCTTGCTCCCCTTCAGTCCTAACCACCCACTCCGCTACTTTCGCTACAGTCTTCCCTGTGTAGACTCCTTTGCTGCCTACTCTCTTCATCTCTTCTATTGCTTTCGTTCTTAGGTTTATGTCTCGACATTTCCTTGCCACGAAGTAGAGCGGTTGAGCCATTGCTATGTCGAGGGTGAAGCATGGCCCTATTGAGTTGGGTAGATTAATTTGGTGGGTGACAATTGTAGAAGACAGATCGATAATCATTTCCCACTGAGGTGTGTATTCGTCGTAGATGAGCTCATTGGAGTAGAAGTAGGTTGAGATTTTGATTGAGGCCACATAGTAGTGAATGAGCAAGATATTGGCGAGTGGATCCGAGATATTTGCGCAAGACAAAAATGTGTTGAAAAGGCAGTGCCATTGCTGGAGTGTTTGATTTATACTGGAGAATTCTGCTACGATCGCATTGGGTATTGGTGTAAGTGGTAATGTTTTAAGGATATTGTCTCCGTTTCGGCGGAGAAATGCGAAAGTGGCTGACATAATGGAGTTGACAGAAAGTTTGGCATCAGTCATACTCTCGAATTCTGTTGGAAGAGCAGGAAGATCTGTAGAGTTTAGGGTAGAGACCCCTAAGAACAACTCTTCATCCACGCTTAATCGAGTGAAAGCTGTGATAATATCGTCTGAAATAGTATCTTTACTATAACCTGCCGGAGGCGACATAGAGTGAAACGAGTTAGCATTGTGATTGGGTGGAAATATATTACTGAGACTCCTGATGATTGTTTCCCCACTTTGGTAATGAATGATGGCACCTTGCTCGTAGCCCTGCAGGACTTCGATCGCCAAGAAAACAAGACTGCCAAGAGCAGCAAGCCTCCAATCTATCGTTCGGTCTCGGAGTCTCTGACGAAGAGTCTGAAGGGCTATAGCATATTTCTTCGTGATGTATTCTGCAACTTCCGGCTTGTGCCATTCCAAAGACGGGGTGGTACCGTGAACCTGGAGTCGGCGGAGAGAGCCGATCGCTAGAAGAGCATGAAGAATGAATGGCTCAGAATGTGCTGCCTGTATGACTGAGCGCTGCCAAAAAAATCCGTTGACGTGTCCGGCAAATTCTGTTGTGCATTCAGAAACGAAATAATCGAAATGGTCAGCTTCGGTTTTGCTGCTTAATTGAAATAAACTTAGAGTGGCTCCTAGATTATGTGGCCAGTAGAGAGTTTCATGGAGCTTTAGTGATTGTTGGTCATGCGATGCTGCCGTGCTTCTTGGGGAAGATAGGAAGTCACAAGTGCGGCCCGTTGAAGAGCATCTGAGGCAGGCTGGTCTGGTTTGATCACATCTTTTCCGACGAATCCTGATCCTTGTTAGTATTCATATATGGTACCAGCTCGAGTACTCACTTGCATGTATCACATCCTGCCTTTGTGTTGGGTCCTCGACGACGTGCCTTCTTCGGTTGAGGTGACGAATCAGGCATGCCTAGCTACATCATCCGTACACTTTCTCTCATGCAAGCACAGATGTTCTATCATCGAAATGTCCGTCAAGGGTTCAAGATGGAGGTTTTGATGCGTGAGGGGCAATACGTCTTTATTGATCAGCAACGAGAAGGTAGATTTTGGACGGAGCACTCAAGTGAATTATGATTGGTCAGGGCGTAAAGGACTAAACGCTAACCCCTTTTCGGCTCTTAGTCAACTCCCTTTTTACTCTCGCTTTGTGGTTCACAATTATCAGATACCTGTTACTCTTCTTAGGTATATAAGGAACAGTATGTTCGAGCAAGTGCTCTCCTTCTTTTCGTCATCGTTCTCTCTCAAGCAAATTCCATTCAATTTCTTCCAATATGAGCAAACTTCTTACTGTATTCGGAGCCACGGGCATGCAAGGTGGATCACTTATACATCATATCCTCAACAGACCTGAGCTCTCCAAACTCTTCCAATTACGTGGCATCACTCGTGATGCGTCAAAGCAAGCTGCTGTGTCTCTCCGCGAAAGAGGTGTTGAGATTGTCCAGGCCGACCTCAGTGACCCGGTTTCACTCGAGCCAGCCGTGGCAGGATCCTATGCTGTATTTGCTGTCACAAACTGTATGAGTCTTCACCTCCAAGTCTCTTCAGATGCTTACTTTACCGTTTACAGACTGGGACAACGGCTCTTGCTCTGCTGCTATCGAAATTGCCCAGGGTAAAGCCGTCGCTGATGCTGCTGTCCAGGCAGGCGTCGCCCTTTTGATCTGGTCTTCACTCCCGAATATCACTGAGATAACCAATGGTGCGGTGACAACTATACATCATTTCGATAGCAAGGCAGAGGTCGAGACCTACATCCGGGGTTTGCCGATCACTGCCGCTTTCTTCATGGCTGGTTGGTATATGCAGAATCATAAATTTTTGATGCCTCCTAAGAAGGTATTCAACAACCTCGATACTCCAAGGCACACAAAGCTGACACAGTAATACAGAATGACGATGGGACAGTAGTCTTCTCGCAAACTTGGTCGCCCACTACCGTCGTTCCAATGATTGACATCACCGACACCGGCAAGTTCGTGACTCCAATCCTTCTGAACCCAGACAAGTATAATGGCAAAAGCTTCACTTGCGCTACAGCCTTTTATACTCCAATTCAACTTGTCGATGGTTGGACGACGGTGACTGGGAGGACGGTGACATATGAGCAGATCGGCTCTGACAAAAAGCAAGGAAACTTGACAGCTGAAATGCAGAAGCAGCTCAAGGATAGTACAGAAGGGATCAATACCTGGAGCTATTTCGGGCCAAATGGGGAGAAAGATCTAGAGTGGACACTTGCACAACTTGAGGAGAAGCTGACTAGCTGGGAGGAGTTCTTGAGAAACAACGAGCCCTGGTTCCCCGAAGCATGACCTAAATGTACTGTACCCATGATTGTGGGAGAATGACCCCGAATTATACATATATTTTTGTTTCTCTTCTCAATCCTCTTGACCAGCGGCCATGCCAAGTCCAAGTGATAAATGCCAGCTGCTGGATGTCAGTAGTGAAGTACTGTATTGTGCAGATAGTCTAAATCTGGGGAATGAGCACCTATTGTCATTGAGAACCGGAAGTAGTGCTATCCTCAAGCTGCTGCAAGAGAGCAGCTTCAGCTACCGCTTCTGCTCAAGCTCACATCTTTGGCCTAATCCTCAATGGGCTGCGATTCTGTCTTCAAAATGTACAACAAGCTCTTGGCTTATGCGAAGACATTTGGAAGGAGCGAAACCATCAAGGACGGCATAGCTACGAGCCTTTGGACGTTTCGCCACAGCGTTCGTGAGGAGCCTGTCAATGCCAATTTCTGTAGGGTTACGAGAGTTCTGTCGGATATGAACTTGTTCAAGACCGTAAAACCTCATCCCGTGGAGAAAGCCCTTGAACTTGCGAAGTATGCAAGTGATGACAATGACGTGGAAGAGTTCAAAAGACAGCGAAACATTGTCCTTGCCTTTCTGGAGCTTAAATGTCAGCGCATCGTGACAGCACGAAAGCCCTTGGCCGACCTCATCGAGGAGCAATCGAAAGTCTCGGGATTTATCAATAGGCAGATGATGACGACTGTCTATGATAGTGAGCAGGAGAAGACCGAGTAAATGACGACCATGTTACGTGGCACAATGCTCTTGGAGGAATATAGCAAAGCATTCGACCGGGATCCTACACAAGAAATCAAGATTCTTGTCAAGCTCCATGAGAGATTGTTCGACTCATATTATAAGCGTGAGAAGGAGACAAGAGAACACAAGCTTGAGGACTGCTACAAAATTATGAGAAGCTCTCAGATCTTGGACGATTGGCGCAGCTCGTTCGAGGAAGCCACGCAAGACATGAAAGAGCGACATCTGCAAATCCAGGCGACGAGAAAAGCATTACTCCTGTCTGACCTAGAAAGCGCGGATACCGGATTTGATATTGTGACTGAAAAGCGGTGGAAGAATGTACTCATACGCTGGACGGAAGAATCGGAAGATGACTCGGATGACTCAGCATGGAATTTCCTTACACGGCAGGAGTCCTGGGTTGGAGAATGGTATTCCATTTTTCAGACATGTCATGAAGTTGCGGCATTGGTAAAGGCTTACCTGGAGATGTAGCACCAACACCATGGCGTGCTCTAGCTGTAGCGTAAGCTCATTGAATCACATCTTGACCACATACTGCCTTACACTCCGTGAAATTGTATGTTCTCCGTAGCTCGTGCTCTCATTGTGAGTCCTTGTTTCCTTCTTAAGATCCCCATCGAGGCAAGTAGTACCTCACGTTCTCATACACCAAGAACGTCACCCAAGTAGCAGGTAAGACTCTCACAACATTCGTGCCCAAACCTCTGTAGAACCCCTTCCAGCCCTCTTCCCTCCAGATCTTAGCAGCAACTCCTCTAATGCCTCTCCCAAACCTCTCTTCCGAATGGTATGTCTGCAGTCTACTTCTTAAGACCTGATATGGGTATGTAACAGTCCCAGCAACAATCTTCGCAGAGCCACTAATCACCAACGTCGCCGTATTACCCAGTTTCTCCTCTTTCTGGCCTAAAGGTTGATCACGAGCTAGGTATTTCCGCCAGAGGTTCTTCAAAGGTTCGTAGACAGCGAATTGTACCGCACCATGGCTGTTGCCCAAAAGACTGACTCCGGCGCCTCTGTAGAAGCCTCTAACACCTTCGGTCTTCAGTACCTGTTTTGCACCATGCCACATGCTTTCATATGCTCCTTCTGTCCCCTTATCCGAGCTCAGCATGCGGGTTTTGAGCACCCATATCGGATTCGTGGAGAGAGTTATCACTGTCCCCGCAATGCCGGAAGCTATGAAGTAATCGGCAGGCGAAAGGACATTCCTGCTTTCTTGTGCTGTGGGGAGATGTCCAGGTGAGGTCAAGACATTCGATCGACGTTCGTGGAACAGGACAAGCTGTTTCTCAGCCAGAGATTTAAAATAGAAGAACAAAGCCCAACTACTTGCATTCCCCACCAGATTCGGCGTCAATCCTCGATATAAGCTTTGTATTGGTCGTTCGTTCGCTATCAAGGATCTGAGGATACCGAAGCCATTCCCGAGTGTAGCAGCTTCTCTTTGTACTGGCGGATGTAAGTCAGAGTCACAGAAGTTTTGGTACAAGGGAAGCTACTTTGCAGACGAGTCTTAATCACATCTAAGGGATGGACAGCGAGCGTGGAGATTGTACCAGCGGATAGGCCGGCGATCGTCTCGACCAGCGCGGGGGAGAGGCGCGCATGGTTTTCGGTCATAAGGGAGACTGTGTGGTTATCATGTTGTGGCGATTGTAGAGGGAGAAGAGAAGGTTGATTGAAGCTCGTCAAAATATTTTGGACTAGTGCCGAGGCTGACCGAGAAATACAGCATTTCTTGTGTCCAATCTCAGGAAGCTCTTGGGAGTTGAATCAATGGAGAGAGAGAGAGTCTTTATCAAGTGGTGATTGCACTGATATGTGCTATGGTACAATTATGCGTTGTTTCAATCCTCCATCCAGCTTAAGAAGCCCCATGCATTCATATTGATCCCAGGAACACCTTCTATGCTACAACATGATATGTGCTTTCCCCATACAACCATAGACATTCATTCCTCGATTATGTATCGAGGCAATCTGGAGTAGTCCGTTTCGTGATAGGTTCGATGAACTGGTGAGTGACGGTCTTATGCGAGAGGAGAGAAGAGTCTTCGACAGCATCTATTAGTATTCTATTATCAACAAAAAAGACAAGCATTGGCATACCTGATGAGAGATGGACGAGGCTCGCTGTAGGTGTATCCTGCTTGTATTAGTCCCTATGAACCCTAGATTGTGCAGAGATGCGAGCTATACCAAGGTAGATGATCAGGGGAAGGTAGCCACTGTAGCAATTAGCAAAAGCTCTAACAAATCTAGACAACAAGAAGCGTACTAATGAATAGCGACACGAGAGAAGTCAATGACCTTTCCGATGCGCTCCTACAACACAGTCAACAATAGCCCTTTCATCGACTGGCAGATGCCCAACCTTGGATTCCTCTGAAAGCTGCATGTTGACGAATATGATTATCTGAAGCTATAGATCGTTAGAACCAGATTCAAATCGAAATTGGACACCAAAGGATGACATACAGATTGGTAGAGAAGGAGCTGTGAATTCGTTGTCTTGATCTTTACTATCAGACGAAAAAGTTCAAGAACGACAATCGCAGATGCCCCTTGCTAGCTCAAAATTTTCCAAAGCTTCAACGCGCCTCGCGACCACTGCCCACCACGAACCCTCCCAACCTCCAAACCACCACCAAGATGTCTGGCGCACGGCACTGGTGAGTTCCCTTCCCTCTATCAAATTCTCAAGAGTCTAACAATGGTGCCCAGGGAGCAAGACAAGGAGGCCACGGTCTATATTGGCAACATCGACGAACGAGTTACAGACAGCCTGATATGGGAGCTCATGCTCCAAGCTGGCCGAATAGTGAACGTCCATTTACCTAAAGACCGAGTCACGCAGACGCATCAAGGATATGGGTTCGTGGAGTTCATTTCGGAGGAGGATGCTGAGTACGCTGCGCGGATCATGAATCAGGTGCGGTTATATGGGAAGCCGATTCGAGTTAATAAGGTATGCTGCACTCCCTTCCTGTCATCTGCCGGTACATGTGAAGGGGACAGTAAACTAATGAAGAAATTAGGCCTCAGCAGACAAGCAAAAACCCCTCGAAGTAGGCGCCGAACTCTTCATCGGCAACCTCGACAGCATGGTCGACGAAAAGACTCTCTACGACACCTTCTCCCGCTTCGGCACCCTCCAATCACCCCCCAAGATCGCGCGCGACGAATCTGGACTTTCCAAAGGCTATGGATTCGTCTCTTATCAATCCTTCGAAGCCTCTGACGACGCTATTGCGAATATGAATGGGCAGTATTTGATGAACAAGGATATCAGTGTCCAATACGCATATAAGAAGGATGGCAAAGGAGAGAGACACGGCGACGAAGCAGAAAGAATGCTAGCATCACAAGGAAAGAAACACAACGTCGTCCCCGAAATCCAACAAATGCCCGCACAGCTACTCCTCAACGGCAACGTCCCCGCGGCCCCAGCAGCAATGATGGATCCCTCAATGGGCATGGGCATGGGCATGGGAATGGGGATGCCGATGGCACCCAGTCCCGTCATGGGAGGACCACCCATGCCGCCCGGATTCGGAGGGCGTCCGGGAGGCTACAATTCTGTTCCTCCGCCTCAACAGCAGAGATCGAATGCTCCTCTTCCTCCGCCGCCTTCGGGGCTGCCGCAACGACCGCCTCCGTCGCAGGTTGGGTATGGGGCTCCGCAAGAGTTCCATCCTCAGGGTTTTGCTCCACCGCCGGGATTCCCGCAGGCGATGCCACCTGGATTTGGGGGACCGCCTCCGGGTCAGATGCCGCCGGGTTTCATGCCTCCTGGATTTGTACCACAGCAGCAAGCTGCTCCGGGTTATCAACGGAGGTAAGGAAGAAAGTTTAGTAGAGATATGAACAGAAGCAAGAGCGAGAGGACTCTCATCAAAGTCTGAGTCGCAAAAACTAGGATCTAGGCGTTCAGGAGTTAGTCAATTTGGGTGAGTGTCAGACATGCAAGCCATGGATCTCCCAATAACACTCCACAGCATACCACCATCACAGTACTCGTACATGAATACAAAAGCCAGAACGAAGTGAGTGAGGCACAGATGCGAAAATGCTTTTTGTCACATGTAATGTACAATAAACTCCCCTAATACAAAAGGTGGAAATCAGATCCACCACCATGCAATGCCTATGCACTTTCCCTTACCATTTCAGTGACTTTTCCTCCTCGCATCTTTCTTTTTTATGTGATCAGAATTTACGAAATCTCCCCACCATCAACAGCCATAGCGCCATTCGTCTCCCCAGCCGTGCCTTGAGCCTGGACTTGCTGAGACATGATCTCCATCGCCTTCTCAACCTCCAGATACCAAGCCTCTTCAACGGCAAACTTCCGCCTGAAGACTCTCAACCACCTCTCTCCCCACTGTCTGACCATCTTCTCGTCACCACTCGTCCCATCCCCGCTCTGGATCGTCTGGTCTTTACTTCCGCTCGCCCAGCCCGTAAGAGAATCTTCCATCAAGGCGAAAAGCTCCTTCATGCTCGCTCGCTCCCTCTCTGCTGTTTCTCTCAACATCTCCTTCTCAGGGGAAGGGCCAAGGACATGATGGGCCTGGACAACTCGTCGGACGTTGCGCGTGACTTTGTTCATTGTTGCGCTGACCATCTCGTAAACATGCGGCTCGCCCAATCTTGGACCTTCTTTCGCAAGGGCCCATTCCACCACAGTATTTGGGCTCAGGATGGTGTAGTTGAGGAGCTTATCCACAATGCTGACTCCGACTCCGGGTTGGTCTCTCCAGTAATTCATTACAGAGTCGACGATTTGCTTGCGTGCTGCTGGAGACACGGGGCCGAGTGCAAGAAGACGTTCTCTGCAGCGCTCGATAAAGTTGAGGATGTGGGACATTGATTTGCAGCCAAGATAGCAGATTGCTGTCATGTATGCATCAGTGGACAGGACGAGAGGATCAGGGATATGCATCTCGACCGCCTGGGCGTGGATGCGGTCAATCACTGGTTGGATTTCGTCTTCTGGGGACTTCTTGCGAAGGAGTGCCAGGATTTCTTGACCTTCGGCGCTGAAAGGTGTATCTAGCTTTATTAGAAATTGCTCTTGAACAGCGAATGGAAATCTTACCTGGATTCGTATACTTGAAGTCAGGAGTATCCTTCTCCTTCTCTGGTGTGATAAGCCGTTGATAAGGAGCAGGTAGAGTACCCTTGATTCGCTGAGCAAAACTCAACCGAATCTCCTTGTCCAAAGAACCTTGAATGAAAGCCTTCTTAGGATCCAAATTCGGCAGCTCAACATCATCAATCCACTCAGTCCACTTCCAGGTAAAGCCAAAGTTACTCAAATGATGAGCAAACCAATCCATGAATCTGTAGCTGAGCTCCAAATCCATGGAATCGACACTTCGGTACAGGTAGCGGATGGCTCTGCCCAAACTGGGTGCGATCGCAGCCGGTGCAATCTTGCAAGACTCGGTTAGGACGGAATGATAGTACACCAGCTTGTGCTCTGGGGTAGGAAGCTGGAAGAGTTGAGAGAATACAGCATCAACAGCAACGTCCTCGGGCTTCCATGTTGACCTGTCACCCTCAATATCTCGTACTCTATCAAAGGGGGTAGCCCGCTTGACGAAGGTACCAGGTGAAAAGTAGCAATCGATATCAATAAGAAATCGAGCGGTTGCTGTACGGTTGTAGTCCAGAATGTTGATAGTATCAACAATGGCATCACGCAATAAGCAAGACGCAATATCTGAAGTTGGTGGAACCGTCTCCACATCCTGGTTTGCGTACACCGAGAAGTACAATTCCGGGAAGAGTGGTCTTGGCCCAGCATTAACGACATCCGGGAGGACGATAGAAGGTAAAGCATGCATGGGCGCAGGCTCCTGGCTAGTTTCTTCTAGGACTCTCCATGGTCTCGGAAGACAAGCCAACTCCCAGCCATTGGCTGCCTCGTTCTGTAGTTGCTTCTGGAGCAGGTTGAGGACTCCATTCGGGGATTCTGGCTCCTCCTTTCCGTTTCCAGGATATGGGTCGACTAAGGCTTGTAAGACGTGAGGCTCTAAAGCGATGATAGCCGTATTATCCACCATAGCGGTCGCTTTGTCCTGATTGTCCCTTGCCGAAGAAGACATAATGTATGGAATCGTGAAGAGAACGATCTTGACCAGTTCTGGACCAATCGTCTACACCCTAAATTAGCATGGCCTTGCCAACACAACTTCGAGAAACTCACCTCCTCATTATTGTCCGTCTGCAGATCAACCGCCTTCGTCAAGAACTCCTCCAACACAGCCCACACACCATCAGCCTCAAGCAAGCCCTGCAGCCCACCCAAAAACTTCATTAAAAGCTTAACCTCTCTCCACTCTCCCCTCGCAATCGCCTCATTGACCTTGATCCCCGTCCTCTTCAACACCTCCTCGACCATCTCACTCTTCAAGGTATTAACGACCACCACCACCGCCGCCACAAATGGGATCTTGAACGGCTGCTCAATCACCAACTGTATAACCAGATCATAGAACCCACTCTTGACATCCTCATCCTCAGAGTTCTCTGTAACCATCTTCGCAATAGCCATGACCTCATCCTCCACGCGCTTCAGCGGAGATTCCGCTATGGCCAAGAACTGCTTGCGGACCCGCGAGGACAACGGCTCTTCGTAGCGGCGGCGTTGCGGTCGGCGGTCGTAATCATCTTCATCTATAATTCAAGCTGTCAGCCAACAACGACAGCAGCAGAGGGCTTGTCGCAGGAATAAGGCTTTACCTCTGTATCTCCTCTTGCGGTTATTGTAGCCTCCGCGACCACCGCGGGGGCGTTGATCGTAGTCTGCCATTGAGGTTCAATGGTTTGCGGTATGGCGGTTGCGAAATATTGTTGGTGTTGATGTCTGGAAAATAAATAGGGTGCTTGCGCAACGCGAAGCTTAACGCCAGAGTCGCTAGCCGCGTATCTGCTTGTACGCTTAGTCAGCCGTGCCCCCCCGAATGAGCATTTTCACCAAGAGTTGGCTTTGCCGCAGTTCTGGACCTGGATCTATTTTAGGAACATGATATCAGATTTTACAGGTCGATCTTAAGGAGCATTCACGCTTGTGGGGAATGTAGGTCATTGGTGTTTCAACAAGGCTCCGAACGAGGCTCCGCAGGGAGCTTCCGTGAGGCTCATCTGGTTGGTTGCACATCAAAGAAAGTCTCACGGTAATCAGAAAGGAGGAGGGGAATGTCAATTTGAATCTCAATCCCGAGTATGGAAATCTTTGATGATCTCTGCCAGCCCAACCCCTTTTGATAGCCACTATTGGCACAATTGACCAGGTAAAAGGAAAACGAATCTTTTGACCATGCCAGCCCAGGCGATAGACACCCCATCGCGGAATATTAACCCATTCCATGCAATCATTGAACACAAGCGTGCCATCAAATGTAAAGTACGCCTGAATCTTTGGGATGTAGAGAAAAAGGAAGTCCAGCCACCCATCCATCTGTTCGCTATCGAAAGGGGCGCCAAGTAGTGGAACACAAGAAGAATAGAAAGCAAAGGCCGAATCCTGGCATGCAGAAAAAAAGTCTAAAAGAGGTCGAATGGGAATAGGCTCATCAAAACCATGATCCGTGGCCAGTCGGTGGACTCCTGTTCACAGGGAATTTCGCCATTGGAGACCAGGAAATGCCGTTGCAGAACAGAAAGCTCGTCTTCAACGAAAATTTCATCTCGCGGGTATTCTTCCAAACCACAATAACGCATAACCATCATGATCCCATAATCTCGCTGTATTCTTCCGTACTTCCACAATGATTCCCAGCCGCATCCATTAGAAACGACTTTTGCGGGATCGGGTAATATGCTGCGGCGGATGTCGGATGCGAGACGCTCAGAAACATATCACTCCTCGTAGAGCTATTTTCCGAACGACAGGAAAAGCATTTCTTCGTGAATCGTCTGCGTGAGAGAATCTCAATCCAGTCTCGCCATCATCTCATCCTTCGACATGGGCGTCAAATTGTCAATGTCCAGACCTTGAGCCGCCAAGTTTGCTCGAACGTGTTGCGGAACCAGCCGATGATTGAGCTGTGGGGCTATCGAGAGTTCTACGAAAGTTAGCGGAGTCTTACTCTGTTGGAATCAGTATACATACCATGGCGGGTGAAATTGAACAACGTTGGCATATCCTTGACCGGACCGTTGGGATGACGAGAATCGGGGAATCTGGTTGATGGATCTCGCAACTCATCAAAGAAAGGGTGCACCATGGCTTCAATGGCCGAAAGTCGCTCAGTGGGAGTATACTCTAGAAGCCTCGAAATGAGCTCAATCGCATTCGCATCAGCCTTGCGGAACACCTTGTTAAACGGGTGCGGCTTGATTTGCGGGAATTTATGCTCCATGTAATTAGGGTTCATCGTACGGATTTGATCGCGCGTTGGCGTACCCAGAACTTTAATGATCTCAACGAGCTGATCAATACCTGACTCTCCAGGGAACAGTGGTTGGCCAAGCATCAATTCTGCCATGACACATCCAGTTGACCAGACATCTGTGCTCAGGTCAGAAAAATGAGGGGTAGAAAAGTGGGGACTACTCACCGATCTTGGTGGTATAGTTGGTAGCACCGAAAATCAGCTCTGGGGCTCTGTAGTATCTCGAGCAGATATAAGAGACGTTTGGCTCATTCTCCACCAATATCTTTGCGCTGCCGAAGTCACAGAGCTTCAGAACACCAGTGCTTGGATCCAGTAACAAGTTTTGAGGCTTGATATCACGATGGCAGATGCCTTGAGAGTGGATGTAGGCGAGGGCGCGGAAGAGTTGATAGATATAGAGCTTGACTTCGAGGATTGGCATGGTCGTCTTCATCTTGTTGAAGTATCTCGAGGCACGGTACACAGTCTCTGGGACGTACTCTTGAACAAGATTGAGGTAGACCTCGTCCTTCTGCCGCAGCATTGTCAGTTATCATTAGGTACAGAAGTGGTCGGGGGACGTACTCGTTCACCATTGGAGTAGTAGAAGGCCTTGAGCTCGACGATGTTGGGATGACGAACAATGCGCATGATCTGGAGCTCACGATTCTGGAGATTGTAAGTCAGTAACTCTCATTCGCACCAGAGATAATTCATTGCGCACCTTGAATCGCTTGTCCTGGAGCACGCGCTTGATGGCAGCATCCTCGCCCGAAGGTGAGAGCTTGGTCTGGAACACGACGCCGAACGAGCCATTTCCTACGATCTTGCATTGTGTATATTGCATATCTCGAGTCTCTCCCGTAACTCCATCCTGGACCTTTTCGCGAATCACCTCTGTTGAGCAGGATTAGCAATGATCATACGTCAGGGGAGCTCGAATCATCGTACCTCCCATCCTCAGACTCGAGAAGGCTGCAGGCCGATTTTGCGACATTCTGGAGCCCAAAACAACTTCGCTATCGCGAGTGCGGAGGACTAAATGCTAGAAGGAATGAAAGGGGAACTGGTTGAGTCTTCGTGAGGTCCGTGTTGGGCAATTGAGTGCAGTGTTGATCAATGCCAACGACTCTGCGATTACTGGGTGAAGAGGAGCGTAACGTGACGGCGGTCCCACCAAGATTGATTCACTGTATTTGCTTCTGTAGCGGATCAGTAGCCGAAGTGAAACTGAGGCTGAGGAGAGAACCAGTCAGAAGATGCGATGCAGAGAGGGTTGTCGAGGCAGTGGAATGTCGACCTGGATTGCGGGCGTCAGAGGAGAGCAGTCTGGATGGATTGTGTTGGTGTGAGGTTGAAAGTGTGTGGAGGTGCTGCTGTTTGATGAAGTAAAGGTCAGAGTAGTGAGCGAGTGCGTAGTTTAGGTAAGGTGCAGAGTTCCTTGGCCCGAAAGACTGGCTATGCTCACGCGCTCGATTTTTTGAGATGAGCAGTTGGGACTAAACACTGACTAGGACTAGGGACTGGGGGGGTTTTCGCGGGCGCTGGTTGGGCCACGGTTTGGGCTCGTCACTGGTCTCTGGTCTCTCGCAGCGCAGAGCTTCGGCGGACTGCAGGCGTACGAAGGAAGGCTCACACGCTGGCACTGGGTCGTCCGTCAGGAGGCGAGCAGAGGAGGAGCAAGAAGGAGTTGTGGTTTGTGGTTTGGGTTTCGCGGTGTCGTGGTTGGAGGGAAGGGGGGGAATTCGATTTGGGTACGGCGGACTACAACTACCGTCAACTGGAATTCAATACCGTGCAGCGTCGTGCAGTGGTGTAGCGTGTAGCGTGTGCGTCGAGCAGAGTGGATACTGGTCAGGTCAGGTCAGGTCAGGTAGGCTGTCCTGTATGCTGGTCTGGGAGCTGGCGGGCCTGGTCTTGGTACCGGTAGCAGCGCAGCGCAGCGCAGAGCAGTGCAGTCAGTATTGAGTCTCGCAGTCGCTGGCAAGGCAAGCAGGAGCCTTAGTTAGCAGATCGAGCAACGGCGTCTGGGCCGGTTCGGTTGGGGTTGGCAGATACCGGCGAGGGGTTGCTTCTGTCCCTGGGGGCTGGTATTTCGAGATGTGGAGTCGGGATTTCGAGGCAGTCTGATTGTCGGGAGCAGTTGCCGTCGAGAAGGCAGGAATATTGTGGGTTTGGGTTTGTTTGGGTTTGGGTTTAGGAGCAGAAGGGACTAGATTTTAGGAGGTGCGGTGGTGGATGACGAGAAGACGGTGCGTGAATATTTTTGATCATTCACGAGCCCGCGAAATGGGTCCTGTAAATCATCGACTGGATCACTCTTGTTGCTGCTGCTGCTGCTGCTTGCGGGTTCGCTTAAGAGCGTTAGCGCTGCTCGACTGACTGAATTAACATCCTCATCCATTCCATCCTGTCTGCCTGCACCACTCCGCGAACAGGGTCGCGCAGGGGATCATGAGCGAAGGCAAAGATCCCCCTCTCCTCTCCAACGCCTGTTGAGGAGGCATGGCATGCAGCAGGGGGGGTCGTTGCAAGCGCAAGTGCAAGGAGCACCGACGACCAAAATACGTGTTGACTGTGTCTTGCGTGTCTCGAGCTGCGTCGATGGGAATGCAGGAGGATCAACGGAATCATAATCATAATCTTTAATCGAACTTCGCACAGCACTCACTTACTCCCTCAACTCCAGGAATGGTTTACACTACGCGGGCTGCACTGGGACTGGGACTGGGACTGGACTGGCCTGGCCTGAAGCTGTTGCGGGAGCAGATCGCCGGCCGTTGCAGGACGAGGCGTTTAGTACAGCACTTGGGAGATGTTGTTGGGTCACCAACTGCAAAGCACAGAAACAAAAACCAGGCCGGCACGGTATGAATAGCAGCTCTGCCATACTACCATACTGTCATGCCAGACACACAGCACAACTTTTAAGTTTGGTGTTGACGACCGTGCAGGGTTTACGATGATGACTTCCACGAAGGGATCGAGCAGAATTGGCTGTGGATGGCTGGGGTGAGAGGTGGTTGGCTGGAGCTTGGGATGACCAGTTTGACTTTGAGGAGGGGCAACGGACCCGGAAAAAGGCTTTTGATGAAGCAATCGATTATGGAATATAAAGAACTCAGGGACGAGGTATACCAATTCACCTCGACTAATCACGACTCTCATGCCACTCTCTCCTTGGAGCAGGTCGACGACAGGCAAATCTCAGAGCCGGCGACAGTCAGAGCAACGAACAGTATTGTGGTCTCTTCCTTCTGTGCATCCCCAAACAGGAGCGCAGTCAGGAGTAGTCAGAGTCATCAACAGCATCAAAAGCCAAAAGCGTCGGTAGGTATCAAAAGCATCATGGCGTCGCATCCTTTCTGCTGGATCCGTCCTCACTCACGTATCCTGGCATCTCAATGCCATGCCATGCCATGCATCCGTTTTGCCTCTGCCTTTGCCTTGCGGCGGAGCCACAGGTATGTATCAGCGATCATGGGACCATATCTGATGCTGGACCAGCACACGCCACAGCAAAAATCGATAGGGTCGCTCATCTACGCCAACACTGCATCTCTCTTCCACCCCCCCAAAGCAGACATAAATGCATAAGCGCATCATCCACCAGGACCAGCGTCCTGCAAATGCACTTCAAGATCGAGCCAGCTGGCTATAATTGGCTCATGGAACGCTGTTGGATCTGCAAAGAGCTGAAGCTGATTACCGCATCAAGTGAGAAATGCATTACACTCATGGCGACCTCCAGGAACAGTACAGAACAGACAGGCTAGGGAAGTCGAGAGCCGTGATGGGATCAGAGAACACAACATCATGCAGTGATGCGTCTAAACATCAACAATCGTGTACGAGTCAACACAAATGTCCATATTGAGGATTCGACAATCGGAGCCTGTAAGCACGGAGATTTCTCGATATTCGAGTGTGATTTGTATACCCACCGGCCTGGTCGAGTCTGAACACGAGGGAGGTACATGTACAGCAAGTACATGCACGTTACACAGTAAGTGATATTTGTACTCACCACATGTGAACAGCTTGAATTTTCGCTGGGCCCCGTTGCTGGGCCTTGAGACATAACGTTGCCCGTTCCACAGATGCAATCACGACGGCGCTCATGTACGATAAGTATCTCAATCTCGAGTCATCTACGGTACCTGATGAGTACCGGTGGACTAGCAGCTTCATGTTTGCTGGGTCTCCTCATTCATCTTCAAGTCCCGGGTCAAGTGCTCGAGTGCTCCAAGACAATGGATATCCGCCGACAGCCACAGCCTCCAATGTCTTGGATCGTGGTCAGTCAAGTTGCATATCGAATAACACTGAGTAACAGCACTCCATGATCTACTGGTGATGCCCTTGATGGAGGCTCACAGCATTCGGATAGATCATTGAGCACAGGCCAATTCTCGTTGTCGACCCGCAGCCTCGTCCGCCTCATTCGCCTAGTATTCTATCTGAAGCTCCTATCCGTTCGGCGTTGTGCCTTGTGGGCTGGCGGCAGCATCTCACCCTGAAATAATTTTGACAAGCTCGTGGTCTGTGGATCCAGAGGCAAGACAAGGACCAGGAACCAGCGAACAAACCTCCGGCTGGCACCCGCGGATACCGGACCTCAAAGACAGAAGGATGCAAATATCTGCTGGGCTCGAACTGCGAAGCTTGACTCCTTGAGGACTGAGGAAGTGTGTGAATACGAATCACTCTCCAAGTCTGATTCAGACAGGTCCACGCAAGTAGTTTGCCAAGCGCCATGAAGCGCAGTTTGATGTCTCAGGACTCTGCTGATCACCAGCACGGACTCCCTCCTCCTTGACCTCACCTCTTGAACCCGGGAACGAAGACAGAGACTGCGGCAGCCACTACGGCCAATAGGGACACTTACCAGCAACATGGGAATCTCCAACTTCAGCATTAACCTCAAGGATTCCTCTCTCTTCTTGGGAATCTGGAAATATCTTCGTCTCCTGCGTCTCTCATAGCCAAAACTCGTACAATTTCCTCACTCTGCTGGCCATGATCCACTTGCAATTTTCAGTAGTCACGGGTCGTCAAGCGCTCATGCTCGTATGGTAAGGTTCTCGCGATGGGCAATGAGCAGTGATCTGAGGATTATGACATGGATTTCCTTTCACGCGCTGACATGATGGGTTCAGCCACAAGCAAGCCATGAAGACCAGGGTCAGTAAATAGCTGCGCACTTGTGGCCAACGGTGAGGCCAAATGGAGGCCGGGTTTGCGGGCGGAGGTCCACTATTCATACACATTTAACGCTCCAGAACGGCTCGTGACCGTCCCCCTGTCTGGATGTCGAAACGCATCTTAGAGCCACGCCGCCATTATTATTCATGAATATTGCCTTCTGGCTCTGGACACTTTAATCATCTGCTAGACATCCTGGGCCGTTTGTGCCGAGACCATCGCTCTGCGAAGCCTCTCCTGCACGTCTGCAAGCCACCGCCGTCGACGAGAGTTCTGATAAGGAGAGGGCTGGTAATCGTCTCAATCCAGGCCCACGCCCGCAAATAATTGAGCCTCGGACAGGTAAGGCAAGACTCGGGAACTGAGACAAGCCTTCCGATCGAGTTCACGGCATCACAGCGTGTTCCAGCCTCAGCAGATGACTATGAAGTGAGGTCGTACATACATCTGATAGCAAGCAGCCTTCCAGAGTCACCACCTGCAGGCCGCCAAGCGGAGTGACGAACTGCAGTGGCACCGATGGCACCGAAGCAGCCATTCAACGTTCAATGGAATCTGGTAATCTGGCACGAGTTAGGGTAAGACGGCTAGCTACTCATGCATTGCGTTGAGATTATAGACTCTCGGGTTCTCACAAATACACGTTACGTGCTGCAAGCACGCTGCACCTGAGGGAAAACGATCATAAAGCAATACATCTCCTCGCACAACCTCGAAGCGCACAGCAGCAGAAGAAAGCAAAAGACAGAGAGGCATGTGGACAACCTAGCTGGACAGTCCAGCTTGCTCATTACCAGCGACTTAGCGGGTGAACTTGCCTGACGTCTAATTTGAGCTTTCGTTTGCCATTCTGGCCCTCTGATTCGAGGTCAAGGATTAACCAATCACAGCACTCAATTGAGATATATTCGAAGTCTTATATGAAGGCGACACCAGATGCGCGCGAGTAATGGAGCGTGACGACACTCTGCAGACGTCTCTCTACTCCCGTGGCCTCTATCAGGTTCTGGTTCTTACCAAACAACGAAATAGCATCGATGGGAACCAGAGCGGCTCGATATACTATTATTTTGTGGGACTGAAGAGGGGTACAGGTATGGCCCGATTTTAACAAGGTGGGGTACGGATGCGTATTGTACAGTGTTTTGAAGGAGCTCGACAACACCACGATTAACCACAACCGCAATGCGACGATGCTCATCTCGCATTATCGTCGTCCTCATCCTCCTAACAGATTCGGCCACCTATCTCATCGCCGCAGATTTCAATCACATTTCAGAAAACGCAGTATTCAACCCGCAAACGACATGCACATCAGCAATTTCAAATGCTCCGCCTACTTAGCCGTCTTCCGCTTCTCCATCCAGCAGCAGTTCTCATCGAAGAAGATCATCATCGCCACCACTCACCACACCCCTTTTCAAGCTGCTCAATGGTAATCTTTTCAGACAAGCTTTCTCATACAATACACGTGAACTCTGACCAATCATAACATTGAGAATGATCCTCTTGGCTCGTCTCCGTGTCCATCCCGGCTGAAGTGTGTCCTTCTTTCAGCGACACGCATCCCACACGGCTTCCCGTACCCAGATCTTGCATTCAAGTAAGGCCGTGCCACCCTGAACGAGATCTGAACCTGGCGACACCATCTCATGAATTATCAATCATCATACTGAGGTTGAGGCATATTTTTGCTATACAGTACAGTAGCAGCAGGAAACTAAAGGCGACTAACAGGTAAGTTGCAGACTGCATCTCCAAGTCCAGCTCATGCTACTTCCTTGCTGCCTTCCGCCCCGTCCCACCACCGCGCATGTCATCTTAGGCTCGCTCACATACTGCAACGTACTCTATCAAATCTCACATCACCTCTCCTGTCCATCATTCCCGCCTTATCCTTCCAGAAAATACCCAACTCCACGAGCCTATCAGTAATAGACCGGGATCTTCTATCTCACTGCATCAAGCCCGAAACCATGGCTGGCTTCAAACACTGCCACCAAGCATTGCTTTTTTTGCTGCTCATTCCTGACATGTGCTTCTGCATCACACGTCCCATGACCGAAAACTCTAACGGGTCACGTGCGTGAGTCCTGCAGCGGAAGCTCCCAGATGGGCGGAACGGAACGGAGAGTACCTCCTTACCAATGTATATCTCCGAACCCTAGTCTATAATTCTCCACTGCATCCCTTTTCAGCAGAACACTTTTGCTCCGTGGCTGGTTCTTTATCGTCGTGCAGTAAGTATCTTGATCTGCTTATCAATGTTCATCTCTCATCAATTATACTTCGTTCCTCCATGAAACTCTGATCAATTACCGGCATATACTTGCTTGCCATTCAAATCCCTCACTCCATCAAAAACCTTCCTCTCCCTCCCTTCCAAAAAATTCCTCAGCTCTCTCTCTCCCACCGAAAAAACGAGACCATAAATCGAACCACCCCCACTAAAACACACCTACATACATACATACGTACATAAACATCGCGGGGTCCCACCTCCGTTCACATCTCCATCCCATCCCATTCCACCCCACTCGCAGTTTTCCCGGGAAATTTAGATACTCCTTCCTATATGCAAGCATGCAAGCAAGCAAACCCAGTCATTGGAAAATACGTGGTCGTACCTGACGCTTGCTTTGCTCTGCCCTATGGGTTATGCATTTCGCTAAGGGGCCAAGACATAGGTAGGTAGGTAAGGTATTTTGAGATGAAGTGGTTATTTATGATGAGACGAGACAATCTGTCTTATAATATTGAAGATGAGACGAGACATCATCCGGATTCCGAAATTTCTTCAGCGCCAGAGACAAGATCATGTTTCCGTTGCTGAGGTCTCGCTTTCGTGTTTTACTGATTTGTTCCTTGTCTTGGAGATTTTACTCACAAGACATCTCACGACGAATCCCGGGTTGTAAGACAGACAAAAGACCAGTCTTAATGGGAAAGAGGTACCCTTGTTAGAAGATACTCGGGAGTGGGATTTATTTTCAGCCCTATTTTATATGTATGTGGTCGGTTATGTGGTGGAAGATCGTGAGGGTGTGCATTTCGAGGAGTTGCGCATGGTACACTATTCAACAATTTCTCGGGACTTTTGACCGGAAGGGAAAAGAAGGACGGGCAAACTAGTGGAAGATGGTGTGGAATATAATATTGCCTTGGGCGGAAGATAAGTAGTGATGTTCATTTGCTCCGAAGGTCAACGGGTACAGGACTTCATAGACGAGAAATTGGTTGCAATGAAAGAGTGTATGAAGATTTTCCATTCATTGACTGAGGAGCCATACTTCCTTCCCTGTGATGCAAAAAGAAGTTACTCCCCTTACCTCTCTTCCCTCGCTTTCAAACCTTTGCTCCCAGATTCGCCCCTCAATCTCCATCGCCATCAATCCCTGATGTTTTCCAACTCATCATGAATCGATTCTTCGAGCTTGGACAGCATATCCAAGATGTCGTCACGCAGTCAAGCTGTCAAGTCTCCATCGGAAAAGATAAGAATTGTACTTACGTTGTAGTATATGATAGGCCTATCGGCTATCACAAAGGAAGATCTGCGCACTGATGGAGAGAAAATGGTCCTGCAAACTCGTTAGCAAAGGCTCACCAATAGTCATTTCTGCCCGGGAAACTCACCGAGAACTTCTCGGGAAGAGCAAATCGGTATGCTCATGAGATGCCGGATGCCAAGCATAGGGATGGAAACCTTGAAGAAGTTGCCGAAATCGTTGGCAAAACGTGCTTGGAGGCTAGTAGAAGAAGATGTTGTTGAGCCACCCAGTGAACTCGTAGAAGTCGTTGATGAGAGATCGAACTGAAATGTATCCAATCCAAGATCTGGACCGGACTGGTTTGGACGCTTGCGTTTGAAGTATCGTGCTTCCATTGGCAGTGTTATCGTAAGCGTGTACTTCATTTGCGCTATGTACAACGTCGCATATACCGTTGGTCGGAGATAGCCATGCCCGCTGAGGGGAGATGGGTCTTGGCCAGCAGCATATTCGGGCATCTGAGGGTTTGTGAAGGCTTGCGTTGAAGTGCCGTGCCTCCCTTGATAATGCTGCTGTAAACGTGTACTTCATTGGCGCTATATGCAACGTCGCAGGTTTTTTTAAAACAAGTGAGTCTATAAGAAATCAGGTCAGCTTCGGTGACCAACGATGTACAAGATGTCCAGGGTAGGGTAATTTACCAGAGAGACTATCCTGGAGGTTCTGTAGAAGTCTTGTATTCCACAGCTTCCTCTAGAACGTTGTCAGTGTATGGCCAGCTCAATTGGAGTTTAACTTACAGGACAATCTTGCTGATAACCCTTGCCATAAGTCAACCAACTCCTCCCCTAATACCGAAATATTGAGGCCAGATTGGTAACCGAGACTTGCTGCTGAGCTGACGATTCAATTAATCCTTTTCACCTGAGAGTTATGCACTCAAAGCTGCACTGTGCCGATCGGTTGCTGGATTTGCGTTGTTGGCTGTGTATGGGTCTGGCGATGAGTGAATTGTGTAAAACGGGGCGACCTAAAGAGGCCCGCCCCATGCCTGAGCACCAAGACTGGAATCTTCTGCTCAGGCCTGGAGCTGAGAGATTATCTTTGAATTTCGAAAGCTGGGCTGTGTCAGCATACTCGGCAGATTCGATCCGGCAAAGCTGAACTTACAAGAAGGGATATCCACGGTACTAAGCCAGCTTCCATTGTCAGTTTGCGTGTTAGCTAACAAACTTGGCGATGCGATCTGCTTGCATGGCCCTGATAACAAAAGTGACCGTATTTTAGGAGGCCCATCGGAGTGTAGAGGTATTGAATTGTAAATAGCAGCTAGCTATCTAGGGCTCAAAAGAGGACCTGATATTGGCATGACTATGTTTCGTTAGCATTTTCTGGAGCGGTATCTGAACGCCTCCTAAAAAGAGACTTGACAGCTTGACTGTGATGAGCTAGAACGGTTGGAGATCTGTTGCGTTAATCTGGAAGGTGTAAACACGTCAGCATGAAAGGTCTGCGATCCATTGTATCGCAGAAATCGCGTCTGGGGAGCCGGACTGTCAGCAGCGGAAGCAGTCTAAAGGTGAGCTGGCAACGCGACAATCTCGTCTGGAGAAGCTTAGGATCCTGCGCTTTAATATCTCAAATTGCCTTGAGATTCTCTTAGGTGCGTTGCTTCATTGGCGAAGTCGAGTCTGTCTAGGAAGTTGAAAGTCAGCGAGGTGTTGAAATAAGGTTGATGCCGAATCAAAGGAATGACAGGAAGCGCATTGAATAGTTCAACCTGGGGAATTGGAACGCGAGGATGATTGAATGGGAATAAAAAAGACTACAAGAAAAGTGCTGCGCTCACCATTCGAAAGATTTTGTGCCGCGACGCTGAACTTGATGTCATGATTAGTGGCTCAGATCGAGGAAGTGTAATCTTCCAGGAAGGGAGTAAGGAAATAAGTAGAGTGAACAGCTCAATCAACAATGAATGACGCGTTGCTCGTGTAGCGCTTTGAAGAAGGTGTAGTCGAAAGAAGAAGATGGTTGTTATGAAATATTGGAAGTGGGCGAGAAGCAGAAGGTGTAAATAATCCACGAAATGCGCTAGTCTCGCTTGGGAAATAAGGCAACGAAGTTGAAGGTGATCTGGATGCTAAGTGGAAGCTAACAACCCCCAGCAGGTTTCCTAGCAGTGTGAGTAAACTGTTTTGCGTTGGTTGGTTGCCAAAGGAGCGTCTTTACTGCCGTCTGGCCTGTGAAGAAGCTTGAATTTGCATTTAATTAACCTTAATTATAGTGGAACAGCAGCTTGCGAATATCTCTGTGAATGTCCCAGCAATTGAGGACTTTTAAATGCTCAGAGGCAGTAAGTAGAGTCACCATGAACTGGACGAAACATTAAACTTGGATGTTCATTTGGAACCATAGCAAGGTTCTGTGTAAAGCGACCTACTTCATGACAGCATAATAACGGCTTGTTCAAGATGAGCTGGGCATGGAACAGCAAGAGCAGGAAACATGCCAGCGCATCACAAACATGTAGTGTAGAAGGTAAATTTTCAACAAGATCTGCTGGCTTTGGACCAGACTGTTGCACAAGGTCTTGCTCACATCATTTGGGAATAGAGTCAAGTACGAGGCTAGGTGAAACGTAAACGTGGACACCAAGTCTTGTGAAGAGAGTCTCGACACAACAGATCAATCGAGATATGGTCTCAAGGTTCATGACCACAATAATAGAATGACGCTTTCATCAAACTCAGATCTTACGAGATTTTCGTTATACCTCTCAAACGACTTCATTAGAAACGTGATATCACGAAAAGCAAGCGAGTAATTCATACAACATTTCTTTTCCTTTTGTACACAGGTTTTTACAGTAGCATGTTATGCCAACCTGCCCACATAAGAGCAACTATAGTACAATTCATCCCTACCATATGACCAAAGTTCAGGGCCAATACGCTTGCATTTACCGCCCAGAGATGCACACAACAACAAAATGAAAGTCTATGATCATCAAATCTTTCAGCCGTCACCCAGTATGCAGAAGACCTTTCCAGGGATGACGATCAGACGACAAGGTGGATGGACTCCTAGAGAATATGCCAGACGATGTACCAGAATGAGGTCGTAATAAGACAAGTGGGGGTCGAAAAGGAGGTTTTGGTAGTCATCCGATATGTTCAAGGTAGTCGGTACAAGCGCTTCGTCGAGGCATTATGTTTCGATTAGGTAAGAGCGGAGGGGTGGGTTCGAATGGGAGGTTTGTTTAGAAGGGAATCTGAGCTGGAGCTGCGCCGCCTGCCATTTCTTGTTGCTCCTGGAGCTCTTCACTGCCAGCTTCGATAGAGACTGCTAGTCCAATTTTGGCTTGTTGCTAAAAGACATTAGAATGAATTACAACTTTTATGGGCATAAGACATACCTTGAAGTGATCCATATCAGCGGCAAAAGTCAACTGGACTGGGGGAGCAACTCTCTTCTCCAATAAACAGCTCAACTTGCCAGTAGAATCCACTTGTGCTCTGAAAGTTGACATTCTGAAGTCGTACTTGGCACCAACAGTCGTAACACCTTCCTTTCTCATTGGTCCTCCCATCATTCCACCAGCACCAGATAAGCCGGCGAATTGAAGATTTAGATCAACACCAGCCTCGACCTTGTCCGTCAATTTTCGCCAGTATGATGTGTTGACAGCTCCTCCAGCAGCCAATTGAGCGCTAGCAATCCAATCACTGCCCTTGTACTTTGCGCAATACGAGAGAGCGGTCTCTGGCCCTGTATTGAGAGCTGCTCTTTGCCAGATTGCTTCCAAGCCTAGGGCGAGATTGGGAGTAACGGATTGCAGGTAGCTACCAATGAATATCCCGGTAAGTCCGCCATCGATCATAGAAGGGTTCAATGTCTTCAGCGAGGCTGTGAAATCGTTCCCAGTATATTCATTGTCGAATTGTACCATGGTTTGAGGACCAGCCATCTGGATCTGAGTCTTGGTGACCAATGACGGTGTCCATCTGTAGTTGAATCTCGTTGAGAGCTGTCCTTCATTGTCGATATTGCCTTGCATGAAGATCTGTGAAGCTTGTCAGTACAGTTGCTTAGCTTTGCCGCAGAGAAGGCTGTATGCAGCAAGCCGTTGGGATACAAGATAACAAACCTTGTTGGTGCCAAAAAGAGCTGCAAATGTGTACGGCGGCAGGCCCTGTGATCCCATGGAGAATGCATGAGAGACTTGGAATAAAGGAGAGATGCTGAAAGCCTTTGTAAGATCTGCCCTCAGCCCCGAGAATGTATAATTGTTCAGGAACACATCGCGTTGAACCTCCCGCGCAATGTTCTCTACTGTGCCTGGATTAGACAACCCCAGAGCCGCCCTCCGCTCCGAGAAGGATGTGTATGTATCTGCCAGAGCCACTGCGACCGCGTTGTTGTACAGGAATCCCAAAGGAGAATCCTTCTCCAGCGCCATTGTCGACATGTTGATATCGTCAAGGTCGTATCTCAAAGGAAGGATTAAAGGGATTGACAAAGCGGAGAGGAAAGACTGGAGGGTGAAGGTTGGTGATGGGGTTGAGACTGGAACGGTGGTGACAAGTAGATGCACCTGGCTCATGCCTTTCTCAACTTGAACTTTTTTCGAAAAGGGAGCTGTCGGCGTCAGGCATTAACAGAGTACGCCAGGCATTACGGGTATACTTCGGAAAAATTGTTGATTGGCAGATTAGACGAACCGAAAAACTGGGTTTAATCGGACTTGAGATCCAAGATAGCGCTTGTCCTTCTTCACCAATACATCATCCTAGACGTTGAAGTGGAAATTGTCAAAATTGTTGGATTCTCGTTGTTGGAGAGTGTGTCCTGTTGTGGATTTAAGTTGCATTTCATCAATTGGCTCAAGACAGGGACGTTATATAACTTATCGGTTCGGAGCCTTGAAGCAGCTCGGCAGCTTCTGGTGTTGCTTCTGAGAGGTAGTCCCAGTGACGGGTGTTTGTAAGACAAGTTGTCTAAAGCGAGAAGAGTTTGTTTGCCCTGACATTTGTAGTCATTATCCCTTGTTTGCCGCTTTGGCTTTTGCGGGTCGCCAGACGTTTTAGCCTCGTAAGGATGGACACTCTTCTGTGAGTCGCTATCTCCATATTTCAACCATCTCGTTCTACCGCAAGCTTTTCAACTTCCGCTTCTCTATTTTGGACTGGCAACACTCAACAAACCCTTTCTTTCATAATATTTGAGATCTTCCAGCGAGGTTTCTTCGGGACTTGCAACCTACAATGCCCGCAGCCAACAGCCCAATCACTATGGCCGAAAAGGGCAAATCTCCAGCTGAGCCCTGCGAAGAGGCCGAGCAAGAAATTTGGATCTTGGGCGAACGTTTCGCTAACTTGGAAATCTCTGATAGCACGGCGGAGATCGCTGCGAACTCTCCTAGGTATCGACGTAGGTCGTCAACTTTCATCGATGGCGTCCACGATGTGAAGGATGAGCAGGCCCAGGCCATGGCTCCAGCGCAACTGTACAGCACCATGTCTGGAAGACTATTTCACTCTGGTCGAATCGTCATTGTACTTGTTGGCCTTCCAGCGCGTGGCAAGACGTGAGTAACTATCTATCTCGGGCACTGAAGTGGGGTCTAATATTCATGAATTCACAGTCACATCTCCGTCTCCCTCTCCAGATATCTGCAATGGTAGGTGGATCTCTCGCTAGTTAGACTATCTGCTAAGATACATAGGCTTGGTGTCAAGACACGTGTTTTCCACCTGGGAGACTATCGTCGTGCAACCATGGGTCCTGGCGTTGATGTCCCGGAAGATTATTTTTTCATTAATGCCTCGGCTAAATCAGTGATGATCCGTCAGAAGATCCTGAAGAAATGTCGTGAGGATATCTACGGTTGGCTTAATCATGAGAATGGCCAAGTCGCCATTTATGATGCTGTCAATCCTCTATCTGCAGGTCGAGAATCCCTAGCAAAGGAGTTTGCAAAGCACGATGTACAGGTTCGTCACAAATTCGAGCTTACGCATCATAATTTGGCTGCTAATTTTTGTACTAGACCCTCTTCCTAGAATCGTGGGTTGATGACCAAAAGATTCTTGAAGAGAACGCACGCAGCGTCAAGATTTCTTCCCCTGACGTAAGTTATAACATCCCATATCTATGTCTTTCCTATTGACTGGCTTCAGTTTAAGGATATGAATCCCGATGACGCAGCCAAGCTTTATCTGAAGCGAATCGATATGAAGATTCCTCACTTCGAGACGATGAAGGAACCGAATCTTAATTGGATTAAGATGATCAATGCAGGCGACCAACTTGAGTACAACAATCGCAGCTTCGGATACTTGGCCAACCGCATTGTCTTCTACTTGATGAATCTCCATATCAAGTCCCGTCAAACGTTCTTTGCCCGAGCTGGAACTTCAGACAAGACCGATTACTATCAAGCAGACGCACCTCTTGGAGAGGAAGGAAAGATATATGCAGAAAAGATGGCAACTACACTTATTGAACACCGAGAAGCTGAGCGTGCTGCTCTCATTGCGCAAGGCGGCTCCACTGCACCTTTAAAGCCTCTCACTGTTTGGACTTCCACCAGAAAGCGAACTGTCGAGACTGCAGATGCGTTCCTCGAGAGAGGTTATGCCGTTCGTCAGAGATCTCAAATGAGTCAGCTGCACCCCGGTGTCTGTGAGAAGCTGTCGGAGAATGCTATTCGAAAGCTTTACCCAGAGGAGGTTGAGAAGCACCAATCGGATCCTTACCATCATCGATACCCCCGAGCCGAGGTATGTGGATCGAAATTGTTCCTGATGAGATACTTACCTCTCTTTTAGTCTTACCATGATCTTGCAGTTCGCCTGGAGCCAATAATCCTTGAGCTAGAGAGAGAGCAGAACGATCTTCTCATTATCGCTCATGAGTCAGTCCTGCGCGTTCTGTACGGCTATCTGATGGCTTGCGACGCGATGAATATTCCAACTCTAAAGTTCCCCCGTAACAAGATCATCGAGGTAAGTACGGTCATATTCGTATCCGTGTGGTGCTAATGCAGATTTAGATCATTCCTGCCTCTTACCAGAATGAAGCCAAGCTAATCGAAATCCGCGACCTCAACCCCGACATGATCCCTGGATCTCCTGAAGATATTCGGCTTCCAGTCCCACCTAGCGGAATGGTCAGTCCGTTGTCCGGAATGGGAACTCCTGCTATGGGTATCAATACTCCTTCGGAACAGACCATGACCCCTCCAATGCTTCTCAAGCCAATCAGAATCGTCAAGGAGGAGCACCCACTGTCTAAGGACTAATATCCACGTGGACTACGGTTTCAAATGGGCTTTCTGATTTGATATTTCGAACGTTTCCTCGAATTCTCTTGCCTTGTGGTCAATCGTTCTTTGATTTGGTTCTTGCTGACACATGATTGGACGAATCGGTGCATAGGTATGGACGGTTGGATGGGATGGTGCATACAGACGAGAATCGCGGAGTCGAAAAGATGGGGCTGGGTTGCATTTGAATATGGAGCATGGTCAGGAGCCGATGAACATTACACGGCACCTTCGCGAGGCTTTTTCGTTGATTTGTAGAGTAGACTCTGGCGTAGCAACACATACACTCCAAATTGGCCTCACCGAGATGAGGGTGTGTCGACGATGTGACAAAGAGGCTCTTGTGTCACGGAAACCGTCGCCTTGATGCGTTGGCTATCGAGTGACAGCACTGCCTTTGTGCCTCGATCGGCATTTGACTGTCAATGTTCGCTCTTCTGAAAGCTGTGTCTCATGGTGTTCGTGGCAGGCATCTCCTGTTGTACAACTCGAGTTCGGTGAAGAAATGCATAGCGGGAAGCAGCATGGACAGGCTCCAAAGCAATTCATCGCCTCACTTCCGCCATGCTTAGAAGCACCTCTCTTTGGGCATTTGTCCTTCGTTCTTTTGAATATCGAGGCTCTTTTCCTCAACATCAATCAGCAACATATCAGAGAATGGCCGAATTCATTGCATTCGCAAGCGCTGCCGCAGCTGTAACTCAACTAACGGGTCAAATCCTCGATGCCGGCGCCAAAATCCGTTCGTTCTGGAATAATCTACAAGGAGCGCCGAAGCATGTGTCCGACTTGCTCGATGATATTACTGGGCTTGCAAGGGTGATCAACAACATGCCCGAGCAAGAGAATGAAATGGTTAGAGAGTGCTGTCTGAAGGTAAAGCGGATTATGGACGAGTTGCTGTACCAGTTGAATATCCTTAGGTCGGATATGGAGAAGAGTAGGAAGAAAGTGCGGGTTACGTGGGCAAAATTCAAGGTTGTGGAGAAGAAGAGGGTGCTGAGAGAATTGACAGAGCGCTTGGAGAAAGCCAAAAGTCAATTAATGATTGCTAATAGTTTCTATCAGACGTAAGTTGCCATAGCTATCTGTACTGTCTAGCTTCTAACTAAATTATTACAGATCGATGCAGGCAAACATGATGCAGGAGATTATTATGTTAAGAGTGACACTTTGTTCTAGCATTCAGACAGGAGGCGCACAAGCCCTTAACGTCAGCGATCTCCATGGCACCATTATTGAATCGACCACTCAAATCGAAGAAGACGCTGTTTCGAACTCCGGAGGATCTCCAGCCCCGAGAGCAGTGACCCGAAGGCACAGAAGGCGACCTCAAATCACGATCAAGACGTACTGGTGCGGGCTCGGTCGTGTGCAGAAAGTCTGTTCTCGATATGATATTGACCAAGAAGATGAAGGTCTTCCGGACATTGAAATCGAGAAAAGATTTCTACCAAATAGATTCGCTGCTCAAATGGGCTTGCACGGTCTTGGCAAGAAGTCCTCCAAAGTCTTCGGGATGTGGACACACTCTCTCACACCAATTCGGGTGGTTCCCGACGACGTCCCAATAATCCAAGCAGTTGTTCTTGGAGATCTAGAAGCTGTCATCTCGTTAACTGAGCAAAGAAAAGCCACTGTTTTCGACATGAGTGAGCGTGGTTACACATTATTGCATGTAAGGACGGACTTCAAAATACCTGAGGGTTACTGCTCAACTTAAACAGATTGCTGCAGCTCATTTTCGGCCTGAATTATGCAGATGGTTGATAGCTCATGGCCTCAAAGGGGACCTGGTTGACATCGAGTTGGGACGGTTAGGTGTTATCCTTCTTGACCTCGTATTGGCTCCTGACGATACTTAGAACACCGCTCCATATTGCAGCCTGGTACAGTGGATTTAAAAATACTTCCATCGAAGGAGAACCTTCTTTCATGCAACGAGTCGGTTGCGAAAGTGCGGACGAGAAAATAGAACAGACTATCAGAATTCTTGTAAGCGAGGGAGAATGCGACCCTCTCACACAAGCATGGGGGAACAACAAATTTCTATGGATGACGCCCTTGCACCGCTTCACAGGTAGTGCCAAAATATTCACCTATCTTCTTCACCAAGATTATTTCATGGTCGATACAGATTCTTCGCGCCATGAAATGAGGGACATTGCTTCAGTCTATGTACGCCATGGCGGTCCTAATAGTGCCGCACTTGCTATACAATGCCTAAGCAAGGGTGATGGTTTATATTACCTGGCTAGCAAGGTAGATCTTCTCAGAGGGAGCGTACTCCATGACATCGCGAGGAATATCTCCCAGAATCAGTATACGTCCAAAGACTGGGCTCGTGTCGGAGAATCATATCGTCTGCTGTTAAAGAATACACTGAGAGCTGGCGCGGACGTACACGCGTTAGACCATGAGCAACATACTCCTTTCGGAACCCTAGCATGTAGACACCGCACAGACATGCAACAACGCGTCATAAGCTGCCATCCTAGCAAAAGCATATTGACGTGGCTAGATTCAATACGGGCTGTAGGTCATGACCTGCAGCACTATGTCGAGAAAGAATGCGAAATCTACAAGGGCAGACCTCTATGGTGCTCGAAAGGGTGTTGTGAAAGACCGCCAGGTAGATTCACAAGGACGCTGATATTGGATCGAGAACCAACCACAGATAATCTAATATTAGTTGTGAAGGACAAAGGTTCCGGTGGGGATATGTGTGTCCAGCAATCGATGTTCCTTCCTCGAATCTGCAACAAGTTCTACTCTCAAGTACAACAAAAGAATATGATTATTACAGAAGAAACACGCTTCTTCATAACACCGAAAGTGGATGGAGTTCAAGAGTTTGGATTAATACCAAGGGAAACCTGTTCTCCAGTCGTTGATAGTTTGAGTTCGCCCGTAAAGGCAGTTGCAGACGATTACGGAGAGGATCATAGTGTATGAAGAACCAAGAGAGAGATTTCTGACGGCGCCAAAGAAATATCCTGGTATTGAAATCGCAAGTACAGGTGCTATTCGCCGTTTTCTCATCACTGAAGTGCTCAAGTTGTACTGTATGGCTTTTGGCATCGCTCAAGTCCACATCAATTTCATATGGCTAGGTCACGAGAGTTATTATGTGCTGGAGGTCTACTGCTTCATCCTTGTTCAAGTATGTTGTTGAGGCTCTACATGCCCCCGTGCCTCGATATGTTTTGCTATCAATGGCACCCAATGAAATCTTGAAGGCGTAGACATGACATTCACGAGACTCGAGAGTGAACTGGGATGACACTGTAAGCACAGAGAGTCCTTTCAATTCACTCTGTACAACCTCAGAATGTCTGAGTTCTAGCTCGGTAAAGCTATGACAACTCATTGGTCTGCGACGATTCTCGTTGAGAAAGGCAAACGGGTGAAGTACATAGCCCACATGCCGTCGCGTAACACTACAGACAAACATGATGAGCCACGGGAAGCGGTATCGACAGCCTCGTAGGCAGCATCCTCGCATTTCGAGTACCTCAGTGGTACTCAAGTCTCACCTGCTACCATGAACCTCTCTTTTACTCCTATTCTAGGCACATTTTCAAAGTCATAGACAGCCGTTGCATCATCAACATGACAGACCCTCTCACTGCTTTCGGAGCTGTAGCAGGAGCCACTCAGCTGGCAGATCAATTTCTCACCTGCTGCAACCAGCTCTACAAACTATGGACTCGCATCCACGGAGCTCAGAAATATCTCGAAGATCTGTATCGCTAGAGTTACTTACTAGCCAAGACACTGAAGAGCATCCCAAGTCATCTAGGACAACTGTTTGCTGACAGCTTGGAGTATGCCGAATCGGTGTTGAAGGAACTCATGTCTTTGATCGAGACATTGAATGGAGGCTTTAAGACGAATGTTGGACAAGTGAAGCTTCATTGGCAAGGTCTGAAAATTGTGGGAAAGGAGGAGAAATTGAAGGGATTGATAGATAAGGTCAAGGTAGCTAGAGATTAAATAATGCTTGAGATTGCGGTTTAGTTGATGTTAGTATATCTTCTCACGTTAAAAAGAAGAGGAGTTTGCTTGGAAGACGGATCGTACTTATTTCGTGAATAGGAAAGCCCAAGAGATGTCTAGACGAGAATCCGCTAGGCTTCGAGAAGTAATACGCAGCAAGTTCCAAATGGATGGCATCGATTCGGTCGACGAAGATAGCACTATTGGGAACATAATTGATATTTCTGATAGTCCAGCCACCGCTTGTTTCGATGGTACTGAAGTACAGACCTCAGTGGTCGGACAGAATGTGTTCTTGAATACTACCGAAATTGGAGTTGACGAAAATTCAAATCGGGCAGCTAGCCTTCCCGTCCATTCTCCTCGAGTCGCTTCAGAAGGGCAGGCATCAATGGTCCAGATGAAAACATACTGGTGCGGAATTGGACGAGTGCAGAAGGTGCGAACCTACAAGATAAACTCATCTCATCCGACCGAATCTGAAGTGCTGTATTGTGAGACAAATTTCTTGCCCTCAAAGTACGCAGCTTGGATTCGAGCAGGTTACTCTAAGAAAAAGAGACCACGGAACATTGGAGGTCTACGTACATTCGATCTTGCTCCTATATGCATCGTGCCAGAGACTGCAGCAATCTTTGAGGCTTGTATGAGCGGTAATCTAAAGCAAGTTATCGATCTTGTGAAGATGAAGAAGGCCTCTGTCCACGACACAACTGTAGATGGACTGACTCTCCTACATGTATGAATACGGAAGAAGGTTAAATTTCCGCTCTCTGACTGCTCAATAGGTTGCTGGAGCTTACATTAGACCAGAAGTATGCGAATGGCTCATTGATAATGGAATAAGGACGGATGCGATCGATATCAGAAACGGAAGGTCGGTCATTGTTCTCAGAATTGCTCCGACTATTCACTAATAATTCGGCTTCCTCTCCAGGACTGCGCTACACTTCGCAGCTATATATAGTGGATGGGGTAATGGGATGATAGACGAGGTATGGTACCGGCTTCTGCGGCCTGAAAAGAATTGGACTCGTCCTGTGGACGCTGTACAAACCATCAGACTGCTCGTGGGAAAAGGTAAATGTGACCCTATGACCACGACATCTAGTACCTTGAAGAGAATTGGTAAATTGGATTTCTTCAAGACCGATCAAACTCCACTTCACGACTTCAGTGGACCAGCAGAAGCGTTCCAATATCTGCTTCAACAGGACCAATTCTCGATTGATCTAGAAACACGAAACGGAGAAGGTCTCACTGTCGTTGATGCTCATATTAGGAACGGAATTCCAGAGAGAGCAGCAGCTGCAAGACTCCTCGTAAAACATTGGCGACCGTCGACCACTGTTGTAGATACGCAAACCAACCCTATAACGCCCGTTGGGACCGCCGTCGCCAAGTTCATGAGCACTCGTCAATTGAAGCGACAGCTGGCGGAAGAAGACTTTCTTCCCTGGGGCCATGAGGGAGCCAAGCTTGAACAAATTTGCGAAGCATCGATTCTGGAAGCGTCGTCTCTCGGGACCAATATCCACGCTTTAGATATCGGGGGGAGAACACCTTTCTCTGAGTTAACCATGTACTCTGGTTCTATACAGAACGAAATTTATGACGACCTTCCCAAGAGACTAATGGTCTGGTTTAAAATTTTAGTCGAAGCTGGGCATGAACTACAAGATTACATTCGAGCGGAACGAAAAGCCCTCTTGGATTACCACTCGGCTTCTTGGAGGAAGGACAAGGAATGTTGTAAACATCTGATTACAGCTTGTCCGACCTATAGCTGGGCTCTTTGCAGATCAATGATGATAGAGATGAACGCAATGACAGGTGAAATGATAATACACATCAAAGAGGAGTTTTCAATTCCGGCAAAGGTCAAAAATCTGGCAATACGTTGTTGGGGAAGGGAACTAGGATAGTCTTGCCCCCCTCGGCAGATAAGCTTGGCCATTGCGCCTCGCCGAAATGGCAAACAAGGAGTTCGCAGATTGACAGGAATCTCAAGATTTGCAGAGACAACTATAGGATCCCAACAAGCCAATGATTGGTGTCCTTTGGATCACACGAAACATATTGACCACCTTTCGGAATGAAGTCAAGAATATAGGGAGTTTGTAGTAACCAATTGAATTTTCGTCATCGATTTCACATAGCAAACAGCGAAACTTCGCCTCTTTGAAAGCACGTCACGCGTGACGAGAAAAGGTGAACCAAACAGCAGGGCATTGGAAATTCTCAGCAAATCCTGTATTTCGTACTGTCCATGGGATGATAATCCTCTCCCATATGCTTCTCACGCCGCAAATGCCCATGCCAGGTTCACCACCTGATGGCTGACTTTAAGTCTCCATCCTGAACACAATCCTGCCAACGCCCGCTGATGCCCCTTCTATCTACTATGCAGCACCCCCAATGCGATGATGCTCTGGTTCTCATATCCATATCAAACAACCAAGACCCATATCTATACATGCCCTGAACTCCAAATCTACATGATTGTACATTCCCTGTCCGGGACTTTGTTTTCGTCCTTTACCTTCCCTTTGCCTTTGTCCTTATGGTTGTGATGCTCATGCTCGAGCTTCTCGCTTGGGCCTTTGCTCTTATCTCGCTTCTTCTCCTTCTTGCTCTTCGATCGACTAATTCCGCCATTTCCAGCTGTCATCTGTAATCCTTCTGGAGCTGGTCTTAGAGCCGAATCTTCAATCGTGATCGACTTGCGGGGTTCAGCGACGCCATTGGGAACGGCGACATTCTGTTTTGTAGTATCCTTGACCATTTCGTTTTTAGATAGCTGCTCTTTGCTTTTCGTTCCCATCAAGTTCAGCCGCGAAAACGTAGCACTGATCCGATTTTCTCCGGATTGACTGCTTGGGCGACTCTTGCTGCCGAACTTTGTCATTGATGCAGCAGCACGTCCGAATCTCTGAGCGGTCGTCTCTTCGCTGGGTGTGACTGGCGCCGAAGTTGCTTGCACACTGCTGGCTGTACTCGCTAAGCTTGCCACACTAACCTCAGTGTGGGCTAGACTACCTCGTCGGTCGTCCGCCAAGGTCATACTCATTCTGGGGCTTGCGTGACGTTCGTACTCAGAAGATAATCGAATAGTGGGAGCTGACTCATCAGCAGGACCATCAAAGTAGCCCGAAGGGTTTTGACTTTGCATTTCAGCACTCGGGTTCGGGCTGCATTCCGTTATTGACATGCCAATTCCGGAGTCCGTGTACGAAGGAGGCTTCAAGTCGGTTGGTGGTGGTGCTGTTATGTCGTAAATGGGTTGAACTTGGTAGAAAAGGAGATAAGGCGTTTCTCCTTTCAGCGCTTTGCCGATATCAGCGTACTGTACGCGAGGAATACCATTATCGTCGAACATGATCCATCGTTCCTCGGAATAGCTAGGTGGTATGTCTGTATTGCTGAGCTGCCGTGTTGAATGCGAGTCGCCATCAGCTGCTTGTGTTGTCCCACGAATGAATGCTACATAATGCCCCGAATTGATCGCTTCTCCACGATGGCATATGACTGACTGGAGAGAAAGCTTGAATTGTCCTTCTAAAGGATGATCTCTGTCTTCTTCCTGGTCCTCGTTGACGAAGTGGGGTAGGCGGAGATCTAGAGGTATATCTATGTATGTTCTCTTTTTCGTAGGACGGCCTTCGGGTGTGAATGTATATCTTTTCAAGCACACCCCTAACACTGGACGGGTCGATTGGAAATGATCGGCAATCTTGTTCTCGTTTGGAGTCTCGCCTTTTTCCGTATGCCAAGCTATATCATCAATTAGCACTGCTGTTGGGGGACACGAACAAAGACATGGCTGTATATGATGCAAATAAATAGGAGACGGACGAATTAAATGATAAAATTGCCAAGCAGGCATCAGGACCTCTTTTCTTATTGACCCTTTCCGAGTCAGATGGGTCGGACTCGTACTGGACTCGCTAGTTGCCTCGCCTTCGCCAGTCTCAACCATTCTTCGTCTGATGATGCTTGTGGCACGAAGGCGGCCACTAAGACTAAGTGGAGTATTCGGAGTTTGCGGAGTTGTGGGTGTATTAGGAGTAGACCATGAGAGCTCGGAGATTTCTACATGCTCAGACGCTTCCTTAGACGTTGATGGTGAAGCTGCAGACGAGATTGATTGATTTGTCTGTGTCCGTTCCAGGAAGCGATTGACATCGACTCGACCATTGAAGTAACTCTCTAGGCAATCCTCCAACTTGATAGCAGCACCATTAGGATCTTCATCAGGTACAGCTACGTTGAGAAGGCGCTCTTGAATGAGTTTGTGGTCATCACTATCATCCTTCCCGCCGTGTACGAGATCTACTTTCAGAGTAAGAAGTGGTAAGTTGAGGATGTCGGTGATCGCTTGGAATGCTTCAGAAGTATCTTGCTGCTCGAGTCTTGTCGCTGCATCCCAGCCACAAGCTGCTAGAGCCTCCTGTAGATGTTTCGTCTATTCATTGTTTAGCTTCAGCTACGAGAAAAAGGTGGGCTACTCACGATGTCTGTCTGAATTAGTTTACCTGTTCTAAGCATATTGACCCATAGTCGGATGAGAGTGGAGAGACGTCGACGAGGCTCGTCGTCAAAGTTCGTGTATAGGAGTGGTTCAAAACTCGACAATCGGCCGAACATTGAGAACAAAAGTGTATCAAGATAGCAGGTAACAGCATCCTTGTTCTCTGCGCCCAACATATGCACTTTGGGATTGTATGGCTTGACAATTCCTTCCACAGATTCTTGGAAAAGAACCACCATGTCCAAGGCTCTGTCGGCGTCGCCATTGGCATATTTAGAGGCAAGTGCATAATGGATCTGTTCATCCTCAATATTCGAATATCCTATGCCCTGCAATCGTTGCTTTATAGAAGATATCTAGTAGATTGTCAGCACTACTCCAATGACATCCTGGCTAGCATTCTGACCTTGTTGTTTTGTTCCTGCTCTGACTTCTTCTGAGGGTCGGCTTTGAAGAGTGAAGATATGCCTTCGCCAGATCGTGGTCGATTCTGTGTGAAGAAAAGAGTTCTCGAGTCAGTAATGGTGGCTTGTACGTGGGAGAATGATGTCTCTAGCACTGGTGGGCTTTTGCCGTGAGGATTCGAATAGGCTGCGAACAGAGAGGAGACAGAACGAGAGAACAGTAACTTGTTCCCGTGTATGAGCAAGGAGGAAGATGAGCGAAAGTCACAAGGTAATACCTTTCTTTCCGCATTCTTGTCTCTAGATTTGTCCCTTCGATGGCCGCTTGGATCCTTCTCCCGGCGACTCAGGAATCGCTTAACGCCTTCGTTCATGATCGCCGAAGATTTGTGGATTATGTCGAATTCGAGTGCAGTCGGACAGCAATTGATTCTCTGTATGTAAGGTTCGGTGTATTGCGGGAGCCTTGGTGGGGTTGTTGTTGACAACCAAATACCGTACTGCTATCAACGTTGCCTGGAGCGAGTGACGACGACCATTGTCTCTCGTATTCTTGGCTATTGCGACACAAGGTATGCGCAGATATTCCGAGAGGCTGTCCGAGGCAGAAGTGGTAAGATGAAAGCAATGTGAAGTTGTGGTGATTATCCTGACGACGCTGGGAGCTTTGCGAACCCTTGTCAAATCCTTCGTCACATCCTTGTCACACGCCCAGACTAGATCTGTCGGGTCCGCCAATGAGGATAGAGAAGCTTGTACCGTTCAAAATATTCGGCTGAACCTCAATATCAGGAGACCGAGAGAATTTCGGGCGCCAGAGTTACTTCGAAGCAGCACAATGGCTCTCAGAGAGCTTCCATCAGCTCTTCGGAGGCTGGCGGTAAGAGACACACTATCGTCGACCTCATTTGCACGAAATTGCCGCCGATGTGTATCAACTGAAGCAGCCGCAAAAAATGCATCTGAAGACCTACAAGACCTCGAATCGCGATCATCTTACTCTCCCATATCTGTCGCTGCAAATGAGCAAATTGGGACATATGATCCAGTGAAGAGAGTGCAGCAGCGGAGGAGACAACTTCCTGCCAGTCGGTATGATCCCCGGATGATAGACGAAGCTATAGACTTATATACTTTGCAGATACCAATACAAATCACCAAGATACTTCCGCGGACAGTTTCATCCTCACCAACCTCCTCCGAAATCAGATCCTGCCTCAAGAGAATATGTTCCAGGCCCTTTCAACTATTCCAGATTAGAGCAAACCTACCAATCCATGATTGCTCCCGACCTGATGACAATGGCATATGTCCACAAACCACCAGGAACAGTGACTGTTCCCAAATCAGAGCGATTGCGCACTTGGGACGACAGCTCTCCATATCATAAAGGCAGACCGAAGCGTGGACCCAGAGGCCCAGGAGAAGTTCTCCGATTGGTTGAGAAAGACATCCATTGGAGGAACATCCCAAAGATTGAGGAGGTTACTGTGCACAGTATGGTCAAAGGGGCGATCGACGACTCAGCACATCTACACATAGCAGGAATGCTGCTTCAGGCTGTGACTGGAGTCAGACCAATAGTGCACAAGGCGAAACACAGCGTTGCTCAGTTCGGTATCCGAGAGAGCATGCCAATTTCTCTTACTTGCACCATGCGGGGAGATATGGCCTACGAATTCGTTGACAAGTGTATAAATCTGGTATTTCCCAGGATTAAAGATTGGCCTGGTATCAAGGGAACGACTGGTGATAGCAGTGGCAATATCAGCTTTGGTTTCAGCAGAGAAGGGGCTATTTTGTTCCCAGAGGTGGAAATCAACTACGATGTGAGTACATTGTTTCAATTTTGACAGAAATTGTGCTAATACGTGTCTAGATGTACCCACCAAAGATGATTCCAGGTTTCCATGTTACAGTCAAGACCTCCGCCTCATCAGATAGACATGCAAGACTATTGCTTAGTGCAATGGGTCTTCCTTTCTACGGAAAGTTGATAGACTAGACTAGGGGTGGCCTGCTACTATATCTTTAGAATTGTACAAGATATGTATACTATTTGTACACAACCATGTACAATCAAACCATTTGCAACAATTCCTCTTCAAGCAAAGTGAACAAAGATATGGGATCTTGGTGATTTACTGGTGTAGAGATCACCTGGTTGAGAAGTACTATGATGCAAATTCTGGATTGCTTAGGAGACGAATGCTCTATTCAAGTCTCATCCATGCTGCTGGCCATAACCACAAATCACGATTTGATTGATCACCTGAACCATAGCCGTAGATTCCATATCCCATATCCCATAACTCCCATGCAATGCAACATTTTCCAGAATGGCCTATGCTGCTTTAGCAGCCTCTTCCCTCAACCCTCCAATCAACACGTCACAAGCATCCATATTCGCAGCATCAACCTTCTCTCCACTCCTGCCCGTCTTGCCCAACTCCTCCGTCAGCACATCCATAGCAGGCTGATAATTCCTACACGCCGAACTCAGCGCATAAACCGCCTTCCTCCTAACCTGACTATCCTCCTTCTCCCCCGTGGCCAAATTAACCAACGGCGGAATGCCTCCCATCTCAAGACACTTCTCCTGACTCTTCTCATTATTCTGCACCGCCGTGCCCACGCACCAAGCCGCCATCTTCCTCAACTCGCTCTCCTCATGCTGCAAACAGCTCAACAGCGGAGTCCACAACTCCAATGGCGCCAGATTGTTCGCATTATCTAGGTTCTCGATCAATTGCTCGAAGTTGTCGAACGCGACGAGCTTGTCGTCGACGCTGATCTCCGGGTCGGTGGAGAGGATTGCGGCCATGGATGCGCGCATCAGGTCTGCGTCGCTGGGTCCGCCGAAGAGGGCATTGATGGCGTCGGGGTTGAGACCGCGGTTTTCGGGAGGAGCAGCGGATGGGTCATTGGCGGTCGTGGAGGAGTTTTCGACGCCCCATTTGAGGAGTTCGTTGAGTCCTGGGTCCATGGTCGGGAGGTTGTTTGTCTGTGTTGATGTGGGGTATATTTTTCTCGAGGTTGGAGGGGTATTTTGCGCTTTGCTTGATGGTGATTGGTATTCAAGGGATTTGAAATTTCTGGAAGATTTAGGGTGCGTTCTGAAGTCGGGGAAGACAGTTGAATTAGAATCGAGAATCAAAGTTGTCAAATAGTATCTTGGTTGCTTGGAAAAGTGACTCGTTTCTAGAGAAGCTTCGCGCTGCTTCTCGACTCGACCAAAACTTTTTGAAGATCGGCATTTGAATGACCGACATCACTATTATCACACCCGATATTCTGTATACACCCCATGTTGGTGATGACCTCAAATTTACCAAAAGCAGCATCAGAATAAGTAAGCACTAGGAGCCGAAGTTCAGCTTTTGTGTCAAACGGGAATAAGTCTTATCTTTCTACTTTTGAACTGTGTGTGGACGATCATCGTAGAGCTTTGATTCCTAAGGAGACCATCTCATTTCGCGCTTGCAGTCCCTTGCGTAGAGACTTGTAATACTTCTTTCCTCCTTCATATATGCAATAATACACTCATTACTTTCCTTCTTGAAAGGGCGACTCATTTTCTCAGTAGCCATCTCAATTAATCAGAATACGTTTGGAGTTTTTTAATCCAGACTATTCTCTCTAACTGTTCCAAGCAGCTCAACATTGGCTACCTGCAGTTTTGATCCTAAGTATTCCATGGTCACTTATTTATCTCAAGTGCTAAGCAAACTCGCAGAATTTCTCAATGTGGAAGAGGGGTGAATAGAGATACTGATGTGCAACAGACACTGGATCACATCGAAGAGATTGTGAGGCATAAAGCAGCGCATGGGAGCAGAACAAGCATATGAGGTAAAACTGAAGGATAATCCAAAATGTATTAAGAGCAAATTAGTAAATGATAGAAAAGTTAAACAATGTTTCTCGTTCCTATATGGCCTCTGGAGCCCAATTCCCTTAGCTTGACGACGGGCTGTCCTGAAAAGGGATCAGCCACGTGACTAAACTCCACCATGGCACTCTTCCCGTCAAGCCGCAATTGCCTTGAAGCTTAATTGAACAGCATAGACAACGATCATGGCCGTTCCCCGTCTCATGCAAACTTGTAATTCATGCATTATTGCTAAACGGCGCAAATCAAGTGATCTCATTTTACCCCACCATGAAACTGCCCCTCATAAATTGCACGTTATCGCATTCTGAGGCACCGTAGAGACACTTACTGTCCGAGAGGGCCGAGTCGAAGCTTCGTCGGTGGCTGGGGGTGAAGAACGATAGCGCTGCCCTTGCATACGCAAGCACTTACCCCAAATAGGTGACCGTGAACATCACAAACTCGCAAGAAAAGAGTGACCGGTGGCACCTGTACGATGACAAACTGTTCCCGCCTGCTTGGCTCGAGGATGAGATATGCTTAAACGTGGGTGACGGCCGCGGATGTCTTCCCTGACGCGCGTTTGGAGGCAAGTGAAGGTACACAAATGCTCATGGGATTTTGTGGCTGCCTTCAAGGCTTCAAAATTAAGGAGGAAATCATTGCGTGGGTTCTCAAGTAAGTGACCGTAAGTTGCGGTGTGATTGTGATATGAGCTTGCCTGGAATGGGATCTTGTTGAGTTGGCTCGTGCCAAATCCTTTCATAGCCACCTCAATTTTGATAGAAGAGACAGAAGAACTGCACCCTTTGGAATCATACCGAGACTGCAGATCAACTCAGCCTCTGTGTATTCATCAACGAACAGCTGTCTAGAATTGGGCTCTCTCTCCACTGCCATCGCCGCTCTCACCTGATGTGCCAAATAAGCCTTCATCGGCGCCTTCTTGATCCTGAATATTAAAGCGGCGCTCTTCTTTCTTCCAATCCTCGTCGCTTCGCCTCCCGAACAAGCAGTCGCGGCCCACACACTTTCTTGTGACATCGTTCTAGTCCTTCTTCAACTTCACCTCTCCACGAACTTTCCAACACTTCCGTCTTTGAAAAGTCTTTTATCGGCCACGAATCTCCTTCGTGACCTTCTGTATCCTCTGCCAATTCTCTCGATATTATCATCGCGAGAACCTCACACCGCCATATCCCACAAACACTTCCTTTTTATTGACGCCCAGTCGTAATCGCCAACCATGGAAGGTAAGCAGGATTGAAATCAAATTCCAGACGCACTGCGACCTTTGCGCGTCCGTCTCAGAAGTCAGAGTAACATGCTGACGATAATTCCTCTCTACAGAAGAAGTCGCAGCCCTCGTTATTGACAATGGGTAAGCTTTCGCTCCGCAATCCGCTGAGGCTGGAGATTAGCAGTGGGGTAGCTGTTGGACCGCACCAACATCGATCTTTCACGGCCGATAACACTAGAATATGAGGCTGGCGGTATACAAAGGATATGGCTGATATCTAGAACAGTTCTGGAATGTGCAAGGCCGGTTTCGCCGGTGATGATGCTCCTCGAGCTGTCTTCCGTAAGTCTTTATCCTACCTCTCAATACCGACCATCGCTGTCTGCGAATCTTTGTTGATTTGCGAGATGGAGTTCTTGGTAAGAATAATCGTTAACAACTCACATAGCATCCATTGTCGGTCGTCCTCGCCACCATGGGTAAGGCTCTCCTGACCCCGCTATTTCGCCGCTACCTGTAGCAATCGAATATAAAAACTGATAACAATGGTAGTATCATGATCGGTATGGGTCAAAAGGACTCCTACGTCGGTGATGAGGCACAGTCCAAGCGTGGTATTCTCACTCTGAGATATCCTATTGAGCACGGTGTTGTCACCAACTGGGATGACATGGAGAAGATCTGGCATCACACCTTCTACAACGAGCTTCGTGTTGCCCCTGAGGAGCACCCAGTTCTTCTCACCGAGGCCCCAATCAACCCCAAGTCGAACAGAGAGAAGATGACCCAAATCGTTTTCGAGACCTTCAACGCCCCCGCATTCTACGTCTCCATCCAGGCTGTCCTGTCCCTCTACGCTTCCGGTCGTACCACTGGTATCGTTCTTGATTCTGGTGACGGAGTTACCCACGTCGTCCCCATCTATGAAGGTTTCTCCCTCCCCCACGCTATTGCCCGTGTCGATATGGCTGGTCGTGATCTTACCGACTACCTGATGAAGATCTTGGCTGAGAGAGGTTACACTTTCTCTACCACTGCCGAGCGAGAAATCGTCCGTGATATCAAGGAGAAGCTCTGCTACGTCGCTCTTGACTTCGAGCAAGAGATCCAAACTGCAAGCCAATCTTCCAGCTTGGAGAAGTCCTATGAACTTCCTGATGGACAAGTTATCACCATTGGTAACGAGCGTTTCCGTGCTCCAGAGGCACTCTTCCAGCCATCTGTCTTGGGTCTTGAAAGCGGTGGTATCCACGTCACTACCTTCAACTCCATCATGAAGTGTGATGTCGATGTCCGTAAGGATCTCTATGGTAACATTGTCATGGTAAGATATAATATCACAGTGCAGGTGTGAAGTCTGCTAACTTGGAAAACAGTCCGGTGGAACGACCATGTACCCAGGTATCTCCGACCGTATGCAGAAGGAAATCACTGCTCTTGCACCATCCTCCATGAAGGTCAAGATCATTGCTCCTCCCGAGCGAAAGTACTCCGTCTGGATCGGTGGTTCCATTCTCGCCTCCCTGTCTACCTTCCAGCAAATGTGGATCTCAAAGCAAGAGTACGACGAGTCTGGACCTTCCATCGTCCACCGCAAGTGCTTCTAAGGTGTGCATTATCAGTATCTGCTCTTTGTGTGTTGAGACTGACAATCCTCCAAAGCATCCTGCAGACAATATGTGTGTACGTCACGAACTTCACGAATATGATCAAGACGAAGACTCGAGCAAAGCATCAATTCCCGTTTTGCTGTCCCACGACGTGTTTACATTCCGAAAAGTTCTGGTAGCGGTTGAGCGTCTGGGTGGTCTCTTTCAGAGAACGGATATCTGGCATGTTCTTAGCTGGCTGTTTTTCTTGGAGGAGTGGTCAACACATTGTCGTTTATCGATCACTTAATCGGTCGTCAATCATACAAAGCCTTTCTTCTACTTTATGGTTCCCCTTCGTCACATTACTCGCGCGTGGTCTTTCAGAAGTGTCTTCCTTTTCTCGTTGGAGAGCGAGGCAGACATCAAGCATGATTTTCTAGAAACCCCCAATGAATAGGCTGTCACTGACTTTACATGGTGAATGGATTATTGGTGAAGTCTGAATTCCAGGGATCCAGTATTCCGGGACTAGCAGCAATGGCCTTCCTCATCATCGAGATATATTGCAAGAATAACATGCAAGCCGTGAAGATCCATGAATTAATATGCTACAATACCCCAAAGAGGCCATCCCAGCGGGGGTAGACTGCATTTCAAGGAATAGCAGCCTCAAGTCTCCACTATGAATATGCATTAAAATGCTTCTGGAAGGTTGGCATGGGCTCCCGCGCTCGCTAACGCACAACGCTTAGGGCATTCATCTCCGATACTGGGCTCCACTTACTGCTACCAAGGGGGGCAAGTCAAATCGCGATTTTTTGGTAACCCACGTGTTTGCGATGGTAGATTGCTGTTTACGCGTTTTCTATGTAGGTAGGGAGGGAACGTGGTGTTGGGTCGTGCGGTGATCGGATCGGTGGTGGTGCCGATAGGTGGGATTGTGTATTTTTTAGGGGAGGGATTGAGTTTATTTCTTGGGCTTGGGAAGATCTCGTGGGGACGAGGATAGTGGGTAGGTAGGTTAGGGATAGGTATAAGTATTTTGTCTATTCCTGCTTTCGTGGCGATCTCTCTTCTTCTGTGCTTGTAGGTCCGAAGTCCATTCTTTTATCGTGCTTGCATACATTCGTTTGTTTGTTTGCTTGCTTGTTTGTTGATTTGCTCGACTGTACCTCTCCATTCGAGTGATTTCGAGAAGAGGAATGGCTGTCCTCAGTACGGTGAAGCTTGCTGGTGTGGTGGCGCTGTTGAGAAGTGTGCAGGCGACGACGTATCTGGCTCCTGCTCAGGATATTGTGCTGCCAGCCAGTGAGAGTGCGACTGAGCCATTGGAGTGGTTGGGTGCTAATAGTCCTTACTTTGCTGGTGAGTGCTACTTTTTCTTGACTTTTGGAATATTGAACATTCAAGGAGGAGGAAAATATGAGTTCGAGGATGAACAAGATGTTGTGGAATTATGCAGCGAAGGAAGCATGGCTGATACAATACAGGGCCCAACATCAACGACATCAGCAACTCGGTTCCTGAGGGTTGCACTGTCGAGCAAGTCGCATACAATGTCCGACATGGAAGCAGATTTCCGGACAGCGGTGCTTACGCTCAATGGACGACGCTATACGCCAAGATTCAAGCCGCGAACTTTACTGCTACAGGCAGCATGGCGTTCTTGAAGGGCTGGGAGCCGGTCCTCACAAATCCTACTCTAGAGATTTCTCAGGAGAGTCCAACGGGCTTCAAGGAGGCTTATGATCTTGGATACCAATTGAGAACTAGGTAAGCTTCTGGTCTATGGTCATGTGGAATAGAAGAAGCTGCTAACGAGGATGAAGATATCCGAAGTTGTATGCGTACGGAACACCCTTCATCAGTTGGGCGAACTTGTACCCTCGTGTTGTCCAAACTGCACAGAACTTTGTGCGAGGTTTCCTTGGTTCCACTGCTTCCAGCCTAGGACAAGTAATCACAATCAACTCGACTGGATCTGAGCAAGCCCTGTTCGATTCCTTGTCCCCAAGTGATCTTTGCCGCCTATTCGTGGATGGCAATGGTGGCACTGAACGCAAGTCTTTCGGAAGCTTGTGATGAAAACCAGCTAATTCCTTAATAGAAGTAACGTGGAATGCCCTCTACCTTCCGCCCATTTTGGCACGTCTAGAAGCACTGATCGACGGCAACTTGACATTCACTACCACTGATGTCTCCATCATGCCTTATCTCTGCGGTTTCGAATCTCAGATCACTGGCACGCTTTCCCCTTGGTGCTCAGTCTTCACGGACGCCGAGCTCAAGCAATACGAATATGCTCAAGATCTTCGATACTACTACGGAATGGGCCCCGGCGAAGATCTTCCATCGAAAATGATGTTGCCGTATTTGGACAGCCTCGTTGGCCTTCTGAGCCAAGGACCAGGTATCAATGGGACTTTTGCAAATGGCACGAGCTTCGCACTGCCCAACATCATCACTGCTTTCATGAATGATGGGCAAATCACCGAGTTGGGTGCTGCTACCGGTGTCTGGGATGAGACTATCTCCCTTGGTAATGGGATTTCCATCCCAGATGGATACACCTACATCGCTAGCCGCTTTGTTTCCATGCGAGGGACTGTGGCTTTTGAGCGTCTAAACTGCATTGCTTCATCAGCCTCTAACGTGGAGAGAGCAGAAGAGAGAGTCGTTACTTTCACCGAGAAGAAAACTACCACTGTCTGCACGGAGACTGAACCATCAACTACTTTGGGCGAGGTCACGACCAAAAGGCCGGAGATGACCACTTCGACTCTTGTCAAGACGTCCTCATACATTGTCTCTTCTTGTGCCCATAATGACAAGAACTGCAAGGTTGGAGAGACAACGTCAACTGTTTATACCACGACCACTGTCTGCCCGGTTGAGGCATCTACAACTTCTGCTGCTGCTTCTTGGACTACTTCCACTTATCTGTCAACCCCCACTGGCAAAGTGAGCTCCTGTGCATGGGGCGCAAAAGACTGCACCATTGGTCAGATGACCACTTCTGTAGTCACTTCAAAGACAAGCTACACAGTCTCCGCAAGCGCCACTGCCACATCCAGCCCCTCTACTTCTACTTTCGTAACCAAGACCAGTTCTGGATCGGGATCTGCGTCTGGCAGTGCTTCGATCTCAGCTTCCGCCTCCACGAGCTCTGGCTACTCAAACAGCACCCTCAACACCTCCACCTCCTCCACCTCCTCTCTAAACGCCACAACCACAAACCCCTACTCCAACAGCAGCAGCAGCAGCAGCAGCACCCTCTCCCTCCCAACCTCAACTCCCACCCCAGGAGGAAACCAAACCTACATCCGCATCCTCCTCAACGACGCCGTCTACCCGGTCCCCTCCTGCCAAGACGGGCCCGGAAAGTCATGTTTGATGAGCGAGTACGTGCAGATTATCAAATCGAAGGTCGCTGCTGCCGGGGATCTGGTCACGAGGTGTAATGTGACGGCGAAGGATCATCCGACAGCTGTTAAGGGGGCGAGTTTCTTTACGGATTTGAGTGATAGTTGGTTGGCGAGTGTCGTGCCGTAGATAAGTCAATGAGGGAGGTACATATTTATGATTTTAAAGTAATTTGGTAATGCTTGTAGATAGATGGTGTGGGTACGGGTTATGAATTTATGAGAATTCAATGTTTGGACGATATGATGGGTTGTTTGATTTTGAATATCTGCACTGAAGTCTGCCTATTCTTTTCGCCCCGTATTCGACCTCCAAGCTCCATGGCGGCGACTTTCTCTCGGTGCGCAGATTCTCAATTGAATCAAATCCTAGCAGAGACAGGGCGTATGGATTGTCTGGTAATTGCTGCAAGTTACCCCACTTGGTACATCACTGCCAGTTTGTAGATAAATGGTATAGTATCCACTCGTGCTCGACGCACAAGCCAGGAAGTTCAGTTCTACGATATGTTAGCTAAATTGACGCTGAAGGTTGAAAAGTGGATCAAAATATTCTTCATCTGGGTGAGTATTGGAATTGAAGATATACAGCATGGCAGAAAACATTCGAGGCTACCGAGAAGTGATTGTCCCGAAGAACTCCAAGCTCTGAACCAATACCGCCAGTTGCCTGAAGCAACATCAAGTAAATCAACGAAATGAAAAAGTAGCAACTCACGTCTGCCATAAGTACTCGCCGTGGAAGTAATAACCGTATCACCCTCCAACGCCCACGCAGTTGTATTACTCGTAGCATCAAGGCTCAACGGCAAATAACTCTTCCCATCAACCTTGGGCCCAATATTCAAATACAAACTAGAATTCAAGCTTTGAATGGAAGAATCGAGGTTGAAGTATTCGGAGGAGGATTCGGGGCCCATTACTGGGGTCGATTTGGAGGAGGGCAGGGATTGGAGATAGAGGTGGAAGATAGGGGACTGGACGCCTCGGAGTTGGTAGGGTTTTAGGGCAGGGTCGCGGGGTAAGAGGTCGGGTGTTGGGGAGGAAAGGGCGTTAAGGGCGAGGAGGGGGAGGAGGAGGAGGAATAGCATGGTGAAGGGAGTATGAAAGGTTGAGGGCGAAAATATGTACAGAGAAGTAGATAATACGAGAGCAGAATAATTCACATGAGTGCGGAACAAACTTTTAAATGTGTTATGATTCATGATGGAAGAATAGTCATATGACGTTCGAAATTGATTCGTTTTTAGGCGGGAAGGGATAGTGTGGGGTTTCAAATAGAGGCTGAATTAACTTAGGCATCACTTGCCTAGTGCAGGACAGATAGTGGTATCTAAAAGATAATTTCATTTGCTTGTATTTTAAGCGATTGGCGCACAAGAGTTTATTTAAACTTAATTTGAAAGAAGAGTATCGAAGCAACGGGAGCGGACCGACGGTCAGATGCATGCTCAAGGATATATTAGAAATGTTGCAACATAAAACGTGACGAAGATATTTGAAAGTATGTTGACCAGAAGATATGGACCACCATGCCCACGCCAAAGGAAAGGCACCGCGGTGAGTAATCGGACAGTGTTCGTCTTCTCGCTCCAAAAATAGGCTAAAACCACAGGTTGAACCGATCCTCAAGGGAAAGGAAGTAAGAGCCAGAGTGTTTGGCGAGTGCATGAAGTAGGATGGAACGAAGAATATGAACATGCGTAAAACTCATAAGTAAAATAAAGGCACACTTGAAGGCGTAAAGATATCTGGTGCTGATACATATTATATGCTCTTGGTCGGGAAGAGCAAGCTTAGTAGCTCTGCGCAACCAGTCATCAGGAAACAATAGAAGACGATAATCCGATGAGATACCCAAAGATCAATAAAACCCACTCAAGAAATATTGCAGCGCTTGAAGACAACCACTCCAACTTACTCAGATCCCCGAGTAGATATACAACATTCGCTCATTGATTTTAGGAAGTCTCAAGTCGCGCGTAGCTTTTTCTTCGAGACGAAATGCGTCAGTGACTCCTCCTTCAAGTGTCTTCTCATAGGTTGGGTTATGGGCAGTATTGGTGTTCCATGTCAACAAGATGACTTGGTGACCAGTCGCAGTCGAGTAACCTCGCATATTTGATAGCATTTGCGGGAACTTCGGACCATCGAGGCCAAGACTGATTTCTGGGGGGCTTCCAAGGCTCTTTATACACTCAATCATGGCGCCAAAGCGTGTTCGAAACAACCTATTTTGTCCAGCAGAAATGACAACATTCTGGAATTTGCCGAGCGGTCTGCATGTAATCTCTGTGACGTGTCTTGGGCGGGAGTCGAGGAGCCAGGTTATATAGAGGATGTCAAGTGTTGGGTGAATAAAGTGGTTTGCAAAGAGGACGTATTGCTCTGCGCAGATTTCTCTAGATTCGACGTTCACCGAGAATAGATTTGGCATTTTTCGGGCATCTAGTCTTCGATCAGGTGTGGTGGAACGGTAATACCAAGAATCACCTAGAGGGTTCAGTACAGAAGCCTCGCGTTGAGGAATAATGATGATGACCTTCGCGATGAAGTTTCGCTTCAATTATTCGTTCTGGCATAGCATATTCCCAGATTTTGCGCCTGAGCTCTGTTGGGAGGTGAGGGAAAATATGGAATGAAGTGAAGTCTTCCAAAGCTGAAGTTTTCGGCCTGTCGATGTACATAGCCTTCAAAGAACTGATGTAGTCTTGAACTCCTGGCATGGTGAAAATAGTGTGCGAATTTATGTGGATGTTGTGGCATGTAAAGGCCGATTTCTTAGAGAACTGGATGCGTGCAGGGTTTCTGGATAGAGTGAAAGACCTGTCAAGATACCGTTTTGTTAATGTTGTGTTGAGAAGAAAAAAGCTGCCTAGAGGGAAGCTATTTATTCTGTCTAGAAAGGCTCTCGGTTCGTGCCGGCGCTAGGAATGCACCTGCAGGTGTCCAAGCTCAAGCATCACGAAGTACGTCTCAGAAAGCACCATCAACGCAAGAACACCTCTTCAAATATCTGCAGCTTCCTTTTTATGGGTGTCGACAAATCGAGGAATGCGACGCGACTACAATGAGTAGAATGGCCCGAAACCGAGGCTATGGGGGCTTCAGCGAAGACCCATATGCCAATGGGAATGGAAATGGCAATGGATATGGCGGGCCCATTGCAGAGAGCGATGACTACGATCCCTACGGTTCAAATTATGTCGACAGATACGGCACACCTCCTATAACTACTCCGTCTCCTCCGGCGACGAGATCAGCCTTCGCTCGGCCACCTCCAAGACTTGCGCCAGAGAGCAATGCAGAGAAGCAGATAGGTGAAGTGTTGGAGCATATAAAAACAGAATGGCCTGCGATGTGCGAGAACGAATGCTTGCCCGTCCATGTAGCCCTTCAGCTGCTGGATACTAGTTCCGTTGGACGAGCGCATGAATACCGACAATTCGAGAAGACACACAGATACCTTCAAGATTCGCTCAAAGCTATTGTTCACGAGCACCACCAAGGTTTCAACAGCTCTATTGGTACCTTTCATAAGATTCAATCGAGTATACAAGCCTCTCAGAAACGGGTACGCACATTAAAAGAATCTTTGGCACAATCAAAAACAAGCTTGGCAACTACGGACCCAGAACTGAAAAAGTTGGCGACTGCTTCCCAAAATTACGATGATTTAATACACACACTGTCTGAGATTGAGGATTTGCGGCTGGTACCGGATCAACTAGAGGCACGAATATCAGAGAAGAGGTTTCTTACAGCTGTGGACATATTACAAACGGCTTTGAGGCGGATCAGAGTTCCAGCCATGGACCAAATTGGAGCACTGGGCGATCTCAGAAGTTATCTTACGAACCAAGAGACGGCTTTGACAGATATTTTAATTGAAGAACTGCACGACCATCTCTATCTCAAGTCTCCATATTGTCAAGAGAGATGGCAAACGCTTGCTAAGAGTCAAGGTGCCTTGGGCAAAGAAAAGCTTGACAAGGCAGTCGCCTTCCGACCTTTCTGGGAGATGCTGGAGGCCATGGATCTCTCAGAACCAATGATCGAAGACCCGTCGAGGAATCCGGAGGCAGATACTTTCTACTATATCGAGTTGCTTGTCGAGTCACTGAATAAATTGGGACGTCTTGAATCCGCTGTCGATACCATTAAGCAAAGACTTCCCGTCGAACTTTTCAGCATCGTCACAGAAACAAACAGCGAGGTCGACCAGAAACATCCCAGCTCCTTACGGGGTGGCATTGCAAACGCTCAAGGCAACCAGTCATTTGGTAATCGTGAGAACAGCATTCGATCAGACGTTATCTATGATCTACTCTGGACTTTGTATGCCAAGTTCGAGGCGATTGCTGAGAGCCATCGAGTCTTTCACGAGGTTGTAAAATCTTCCGTGCGAGGAGAAGGTGTGAAAGATTCTTCAGCTCTTCTAGGGAGTTTCAAAGAACTTTGGAATCTATATCAGAATGAGATCAGATCTCTGTTGCATAATTACGTTACAACGGACGCAGATGTCTATGAATTCAATTCCTCCCCAAGACCTGGAGTTACCAAGCAAGATCTGAAACGCGAACATCTATTCCAATTCTCGGATGCAGATTCGAAATCTGTTCAGATGAGCACAGAATATCAAGAACTAGAGGGTATCATTAGAGCCGCAGTACCAGGTCTCATGTCAGGTCGAAAGCAAGGTGCGGATGGCAAGAAAGTCCCCCAAAGGATTGAGAGTACTATCGACCGCAATGGTTCGCGCCGAGGTGTGAGTGCTGTCTTCGATAATAAGTCAGGCGGCATCGGCGCTCATAAATCTTTGGTGGAGCCGAGCGTATTTAACATGAGTCTCTTGTTGCCTCCAACGCTAGGGTTCTTGCATCGACTGAGGAATATTGTGCCTCCAGGATCAGATATGGTCAAAAGCACTTTAACTTCGTTCCTTGACAATTTCCTGGTCAATGTTTTTCAGCCACAGCTTGAGGAGACTCTGGGTAAACTTTGCGATTCGGTTTTTGAAGAGACCGATGCATTCCAGCAAGATTCCCAATGGACCAAGGTTGCTCGTCGACCTATTTTTAAGGGAACCGCTGCATTCTATACTCTAATTACAGCGTTCTGCAGAATGCTAGACACAATTCCTCCTGACCAAAACCTCAGCATGCTCATCGTCAATCAAATGATGAGATACTACGATCGTTGTTATGACTGGTTTAAGTCATTGGTATCTCGGGTGCGAGACGCGGAGGGTGTCATTTTGAAGCTCTCTGCAAGACTAGCAGAAGGTCCAGGTGACATCCACGAAACGATGCAGAAATTGTGGACGTCCGAGACAGCAGATGCGGAGCTGTTGGAGAAGGAGACAGGTTTGCTTATATTGCAGACGAATGAGAATCCTTTACTCCGGGACGACATCATATCGGATCGCGAAACAATCTCTTCGCTTTGCGTCCTTTACACTAGCATGAGGTGGCTGGCTATCAAAATTATAGAGCTTCGTCACATTACTCGTCATGATACCACCGTTTCTCGCACATCGTTACCACAAAATAGACGGTGGACACTATTGAACGATGCTTCGAGAAACCAAGACGAGCAGATTCCTGTCTACTTGCCAATGACCCAGGAAAGTGTTGGGTAAGTTCCCTTTCGATCTAAGTCGTGATATCGTGCTAATTTTCGTAGACTCTTTGATTCAATGGTGGCTTCATACCAAGAACTTGCTGGGAAGGTTCTCTTGACTTTACATATGGAAGCACGTTGCCAGATCGTCCAATCTCTTGCCACGGCACTTTTGCCTGATACTACTCCATATCTTCTGGAACAAGTGGTAAACGATCCAGATCCCAAAATATTGAGTCTCAATGCCGACCTTGTCTCGTACGATGAGACTATTGTTCGTTTCCTCCGCGAGAAAGAGATCTCGTTCATTCGGACTGGCTTGGGCTTGTTAGTAGACAGTTTCTTGGTCACTAATTCTGGCATGGTCAAGGCTATGAACGCAAATGGTTGTGGAAGAATGCAACTCAACATTCTTGTCCTGCAACAGAACTTGAAGAATATAGAAGCAGACGTAAGCCTGGAACGTGCAGCGAAATTCTTCGATCTCTTTACTGAAGGACCTGATGCCGTTGTGAAGCAAGCGAAGGACGAGAAAGAGAGTGGTAATGGTGGGAAGGAGCTCTTCTCCTACGAAGAGCTGAAAACGTTGGTGGAATTGTGCTATAGCGAACAGCTCTCGAATCCAGAGCGAGGTATCAGCACGGTGGCAAAGCGAGGCATGGGAGAGCATCTTCTACAGTTGAGCGAGTATATGTGGCAAAGTTAAGCAATTGCTATCTGACTGCATTTAGCATGGAATTCCAGGATGGGATTGAGCGCTCGTTCTGTATATAGGGGCCAATGAGTGCGAGCTTGAGGCCTGTCGAGGATCTATCGATCCAGTGAAGCAGTGGGATACCTACCCTTGAAGATGATCATCTATTGCTCTGAAATGTCATATTCTGAGAAATCGATAAGAAGGCGAGATCAGCAGTCTCGGTGGCGAATGCCCTCAACTTTTCACCAAATGCGGGGTTGAAGATACTATTGTGGCTGCGCATTTCAGATCGGCAGCAGCCGTGAATGAAAAGTCTCTAGATGAATATCTAATTATATCTGATAGACGACTACACGTGGGGAAGTACTCGTAGAGATGTAACTTTATGCTAGGGGCAAATACTCTAATCTCTTACCAAGTATCTTCAATCTCTGACAGAGCAGAGTTCATGCCCTTCCGTTGTTCTGCCCACCTATTATCATACTCGCTATCATATCACCAGGACGTTCTGGAAGTATAGGTAACCAACCCACGGATCAGGGGCTGCTGCACAGTGACGCCAAGACAGCGAGTTGTTTGGCTATAAGGCGCCAACCACACTTCGAGGAAGCGCGGGCGATTTCAGCCACGGAGGACATGGAGGTTAGGGAGGCGCACGGGGACCTGCAGACAGATAGAACAGCGAACTCTCTTTCTGTGAGCCGAGGCCGATCATGTTGTACTTGAAACACTCACCTCCTTTTGCGGCTGGTCCGTGAGAGGTAGAGGTGACATCTGCAGCTGTGATGCTGCGCCTTGATTGAGGAGAGAGGCAAATAAACAGTCGCTCGTACTCGTGATGTTGGGACGCTGCAGCTACAGCTGATTGTCTTGTATTTATTTACAGGTTCGTGGTATATAGGTGATTCTTCTGTAGATAGAATATTTGTACTGTAGGTTGGATCTGACTAGGTGACGTACCCGCAAAAGATCCTTGACGGTGGACGAGCGAGGTTGGTTGACCGTTAAAATTTGAAAACCAGCTTTGCATCCCATGCAGCGAGAGTGCGCAGAGGAGCCGAAATTTGAGCGACGACGTCAATGTTATTAGCAAGCCCAGGAAGCCAGCAACCTCGAAACTCTGAGATTGATGCGCTCGCGGAAACTTCGACTTTGACTGACTCTACTCTTTCTACTCCTTTCCCAACAACGTCCCATAAACCATAATCTTTTTGTGTGGACCCTTCTCCACCGCGACTCGCAAAATAGCAACGGCTTCAGTTGTTGTTCCCCTTTAGCCTTGCCTGTCGTCTTCCCCTATCATCGGGCCCCATCCATCGTTCAGGTACTAGAGTGCAATCGCCTCAACGAACGCCGCCGCTGCGCAGGAGAACCAGCGGAACCAGAGCAACCAGCAGGAAGACGAGAACGAGAAACTAAGGAGTCGCGTACAGTCCTGGACCGGCATATTCTTACGGGCCCGCATCTTTTGCTGCATCTCTGCTGCATCTTTGCTGCAATTGCAAACGGAAACGAATCTCGCCAGTGAGAGCGAACCAAACAAGCTTGTGCCAATTTTAAGCCACTGTCTGCGCTGCGCTGCACTGCGACTCGCCTCGCCCATCTCAACTTCTTGATCTGAAGTTACTTGGCAACCAACGCGACCTCTCCCCCTCTCGTCTCGATCTTGTCCACAACCACATCACTCATTTGATACCTTGCTGCAACTACGATCCGCGAAGACCATCGTTTTTCCATATTTTCACTCTCATACCACCGCCAAACCGGCACATAACAACAAACACGTTTTCAAAGTGTCTGCCGTCACAGCACAATCGCCAGACATGGCGTCGTAAGTCCTCCCCATCCCCTTTCTCTGCTTCGCACAACTCTACTGCTCTGCCACGCCTGAAATTCTAATGGGACCTCACTAACATGATCGTGACGCCAGGTTCGGTTCAGCCCTTCGATCGTTTTGGCATACAATGACCAGCTATGACCGACGTACGTTTGTTATGCGTTGTTGTCAAGCGGCCTCGATCTAACGATGTAAACAGATTCCTCCTTCGACTCTCCCTACAGAACTGGCCAACACGTTCCTCTCGCACAAAGCCGACATGCGCCCCTGACCTCCATCGCTACCACTGCTTCAGAATCTCGTGCGGACATCAATTCTCCTTATTTCGAAGATGCGGGTAGACATTCAATGACAGCCCTGAATGGAGGCGCGTATCCTAATTCACCACATCCTGCGAGCCCTTCTCCGATATCTCCCTCTCCTTATTCACCTGGTATGAGATCCACAGATGCCCTTCGAAGAACGAACACCAATGAGAACTTTGAGAATGTTACTCCTGGAGAGATTCAATTACAAGCCTTTCAAGAAGGTCTTCCTCCCCCTCCTCCTGTGGGTCATTCATGGAAGCGTATCGATCGATGGGCGGAGGAGAATTATCCAGAACTGTTCGACCAATTGGGTGAAGGGTGCACAAATAATGATCTGAACGAATTGGAACATCAATTGGATTGCTCTCTCCCAATGGAAGTCCGCGAATCTTTGCAAGTTCACGATGGTCAAGAACGAGGTGGCATTCCTACTGGAATTATCTTTGGCTCAATGTTACTGGATTGTGAGGAGATGGTTCAGGAGTGGGAGAACTGGAAGAAGGTTAATGCAGAGTATTTGACCGAACCCGTCAACTTCAAGCCAGCTACCCCTATGAAAGCTCTTGGTGGAAGCTCATCATCCTCCTCGAAACAACCTCAACAATCTGGTCAAAACCCCTTCTGGAGACAAGAGCTACTTTCTCGCCAGGATTCACAACCTCCGAATTCCATCCAAAAGGTTTATGCTCATCCTGCCTGGATTCCTTTGGTACGTGATTGGGGAGGAAACAATCTGGCTGTTGATTTGGCTCCCGGACCGGCTGGAAAATGGGGTCAGGTTATCCTGTTTGGTCGTGATTACGATTGCAAATACGTGATTGCAAGATCATGGTCTGATTTCCTGGCTAAGGTGGCAGATGATTTGAACAGTGGCAAGTGGTTTGTCGATGAGGATACAAATGAGCTGAAGCTCAAGGAGTTCAAGTCTGGAAAAGTTGAGCCTGGCTATTTGGAGATCTTGAGGTGGAGAGTTGACCAGAAGTATGGCCGAAGAAATGCTCGACGCAGATCGATGGCACCTCAGAATGGACAACCTAGTGGATCACCAACCGGTTCGCCATATGCCAGCCCTACAGCTGAGACTGGAGGAGAGCCACGAGGACGCTCAATGCAACGATTCAGTGGAGCTTCACCTGTTGCGAGCCCGAATCGACCAAACTACGGCAAATCGAGCCCGCTCGCCAGAGTTGCTGAAGAAGGCGGTTCAGCTCCCATCAAGGTTCACACAAACGGCATCAAGCCTGAAAAGCTAGTCGAGGTTGAGACTCCGAGACCCAGCGAGGACCGACGAGATTCGAAGGGCAAGAAGGCTCTGGAATCGTTACTTGAGCGAGTATCATTGGACGGCGATAAGGAGAACTCGAAGAACGGTGAAGCCAACGTTCCGCTGGTGAATGGAAATGGCAAGAAGGCTACTGTTGAGGATGATTCTACGATGAAGACGATCGAGATCTAAGATCTGCCCACTTCCTTTTAATTACTGCAGTCGACACGAAACGAGGCGTTCACAGGCGCGAAATAACATGGAAGTTTTTTTCTTTCTCGAAACCCTGTCATAATGGAATGGCATGCATTGGGGGTGGTGGTATTTTGTGGTTTCGAATTGAAACTTCTCCACGCAAAATTCTCGGAGAGGGATCGAGTGCTCATGAGGCGTAATTGAAATTCATCAGTCACATATACGAAACGTGGGGAGTCGACTCCAGCAAAGCTTTTTCTTCTTTCACTTCTTCATGGTCTTCTTTTTTCTCAGAAGCCGCGGGCCTGGTGGGGACTGGATCTCATTCTCTCCGCTGGCTGGGAAAGCTTTTGTTTTGTACAATTAAGGTAGACTGGTGGAAAGCTGACGTTTGGAACTTGCATTTTCATCTTCGTTTTCTGGTGGTTTGGTGAAGAGTGTGAGAGTGGGTCCGGGGATGAATAAGAACCGGGAATCAAAGAGAGAGAGAGAGTAACTTATGTATATGATGACAGACGGGCAATGGAAGATAAAGTGCATTCTGATTTTTTCTGCGTACGGGTGGCCGTTCTACAGTCTTGAAAGGATGGAAGCAAAGAAGTAGGACGCATCACAAATAACATGGTTGAATGAGCATGGATGGGTGGGTGGTTGTTAGTGTAGAGTGGTAATGCGCACGATGGCTGCTACTGAATACAAGCATATCAATCGGATCCATTCTCAAGCTCATCTATTTCACCTCTTTGATTCTCTCTTCCCACTGAAGTGCTCAGTTGAGGGGCAGCATGATGAGGCTGAGACAACACACGTGATCCCAAGCGCTAGCCGCCCGCATCATCGTTCAATCGCCGCGCAAGCAAGCTGACGAGCGACACAGTAGCACTCCACTTCCATCGTCCGAATACAGCTCGCTCAACAAAGCAACACAAGCCGCTCCACCAGCAGAAGTAGCAGATCTCCTGTTTGGAGTTCGAAACAGATTCCGGATTCGAAACTTCGTTGTTCTTCTTCGTGAGGCTAGGATCTTTGAGCGAAGCAAGGGAAGGCACAAGATAACATCATGTCTGAGGAACGTCTTTGGAAGTTCAGAAAGCCAGAATGGATGAATAGTGCTACGGCGAGGAGCGCGGGAGTCTATGGTGCTGGTGCGCTGGTAGGTGGTTTTTCCTTTAACCTTTGCTGAGGGTTTTCGAGGGAGCCTTGCGCTGTTAGGAGCTCTCCAGCTCTACAGCTTGCAGCATCTCGAACAGAATATCTGACAATTACACAGTTCTCCCTAGCATTCTTCACCCTCCTCGACGCGGCCGTCTGGTCGCACAGCTCCCGCAACGGCTCCAACATCCACATCAACTTCATCGACTGGCTCCCCCTCATCTTCTCGTCGCTCGGCATGCTGATCATCAACTCCATCGAGAAGACGCGGCTCTCGGCCGACAGCTTCTCGTACAGCGGCTCCGGGGTCGCGTGGAAGGCCCGCGTAGTGCTGTTCCTGGGCTTTGCGTCGCTGGCGGGCGGCATGGCGGGCGGCGTCACGGTGCTGGTGCTCAAGTATGTGGTGCCGCAGGCGCCATGGCCGACGGTTTATATGGGGATTGCGAATGTGGTTAGTAATGGGTTGGTTATGCTTAGGTGAGTTCTTTGTGGTGGGTGAGAGAAGGGGGAGTTTTGCTAATGTGATGGGATAGTTCGGTGGTGCTTTGGATTAGCCAGAATATGGAGGATGAGTATTCGTATAACTTGGCTCTGTGAGGTGGGCGAAGATGGAGTGGGAATAGGAAGGTGGGAGGGAGATTGAAAGCTGGAAGATAGGTCTGAAAGGCATTTATGGAGTTTGCAATTAGTGGAAGCCGGTGATTTTGGGTGAGAGGAGCTGTGTGGTGGAGGAAAGGCGTGGATATCAATGAGGAACATGAGCACTTTCGAGACTCGAATATCATCTTTTGTAGCATAAGTTTGTGGTTATAGCAAGCGTTTTACTGACCTTATGAACCTCATTGCCGTGGAATCATAACCCCCTAGTCCCCTTGAATGTCCCAAAGAAAGTCGTAAACTCTTCCTATCCAAAGTTCGGACGCCATTTCATACTTTAAAACCATTCACTGTCCAAAAAACAAAGACCTCAAACATTGAGTCTGCTGTAAAGTTTCATACTCCATATTCACCGTTAGATGTCCCAAAGACACTCGTTAACTCTCCCTATCCAAAGTCCCAACGCCATTTCATACTCTTAAACCATTGATTCTCCAATAAGACGCCAAACATTGAGCTTGCTGTAAAGCTATACTACCCGTAGTCGTTGCCGAGTATTTATATTTACCCCTGAATGTCCCAAAGAAACTCATAAACTCGTCATACCCAAAGTCCCAACCCCATTTCATACTTTTTGAACCATCAATTGTCCAAGGACACCCCAAATGTTGGGTCTGCTGCAAAGCTGGACTCGTTTGTTTCCAAAGGATTAATATATCCTTCTAAGGCAGATGCAACTGAAAAGTTGTGCAGAAGCTCGTCGTGCTCAAAAAACGGTTCATACGAACAATCCATATATTCATCATCTATAGAGGGCTGCACGAGAGAAGGTTCCCATTCATCTTTTCTTTCGGAGCTGCTTTGTGTTGAGAGAGTTTTGAGAGCAAGAAAGCCGGGATCAATTGCAGATGCCTCTGTTGGATGAATAGGAAGACCTTTAGGTTTAGTGCTGTATTTGCGTCCTTTTGATTTTCTGGGCGGATGAATATTGCGATCCCAAGAATTAGTGCTGTAGTTGGGTCCTTCTGGTTTTCTGGGCGGATTAAGCCTGCCATCCCAAGATGGTTCGAGCCACCTCTTAGTGTTAGGATGCCAAGTAACCCTTCCCTCTTTCTTCACGTAATAGCCTTTGGTTTTCATTATCTGTGCTTGAGACACGATACAATTCTCCACTTTGCTCTTGCATAATTCAACGAAATCCTGGCATCTGAGATGATGAGTAGATACTTGATCCAATTGTAATTTGGCGAATATTTCTTTCAACATTACCCGATTGCACACCCTCCCAACAATGCTGGCCTTTCTCATGAATTGAATGATAGTTCTCTTCGCGTTGGGGGGGGAAAAGTATCGTCGCCTCTTTCGCCTCCCCCACACGGAGGTCCCACTCCACACGCCATTCGATATCCGATTCCCGTTCCAAGGGGTTTTTCAACTTCTCTGCCTGGATCTGGGCTTTTATCCATTGAGAAACACCTTCGCAGAGTCTCGCATCGGTTTCTCGCAGGCTTTGAGGACGCCTCATGTTCTGGGAGATCGCTTTGCGGGGAGAGCTGTGCAATCTATAGAAATAGATCAGATTTCAATACAAGTAGTTGTATGGATCAGATATATAGTAACATACTTGGACACGTTGAACAGATGCAATATCGTGGGATTCAGTAGGCAAGTGGTTGGGGATGCCTATATCAAGATTTCTTTTTCCTTAAGTCGATGTTTGTATAACTTTAGTGACATATCCTCTGCCTCAGGCTCTCTTGCACCTGGGCTGCAGCCTTGCGCCTCCTTCTGAGTGCCCTCTTCTACATTCTACATTCTACATACCTAATACATTACTTTTCCATATTGAAGGTATTTAATTCTACTTGCTCATCCCTCGTCTTTATTCTCAGTCATTACTTCGGAGACGAGCCCCTAGCCAAACACAGCGAATCACAAGCCCGCTAATATCCCGAGGACCCTGAAAATGAACGCGGCGCGTCCACTGGATCCCGCACGCGAAAGCTTCGGCTCTGAACCTCGAACTTTCTATACCTCATATTCTTCCTCTCATTCACGCATATTCATTTTCCCTTTCCCCTTCTGTATCTACAACCAATGGCTTCCGAGCCACAGCATTACTTCCTTACATATTATACCTTTCTTTTTGTTTCAGGGAAAGATGGCTACGCAAGCTCCCAGACCCCGAGTAGGAACTCCTTCAGTTCCGAAAGCGGTGCCGGGAAATACGAATTCGATTGCCGCTCAGTATGCGCGTGCAAAGGCCCTCAAAGATGCACAGGAGAAGGGCGGGTTGGATAGGAATGGGAGGGTGAAGAGTCCGTTGGTTAGGTTGAATGAGTGGAAGGCTGCGAGGTTTGGGAGGGAGTGGGTTTGGGGGTGGGGATTCTTTGGGTGGTTGTTGTGAGTTTGCTCTTTCTAACCATGAAGAGGAGAAATGTGCTAATAGTAAGGGAACAGCTTTATACATATTACGGGACTGTATTTCTTTACCCGCGGCTTCCTGCTTACTCGACTCGTTCTGGAAGAGAAGTCCTTGTGTGCGGAACCTCCTGTTACGCTGAGTGCGAGTTATAAAGGACTTGGCGACCCGGAAAATGGATGTTGGCATCCGAAAACTTTCGATAAAGCGATTGTGCTTATCATCGATGCCTTAAGATACGATTTCACGGTTCCGTTCGAGGCAAGTGGTGAGGATCCAGCGCAGGCCTATCATAATGCCTTGCCGTTCTTATGGGAGACTGCAATAAGGGAACCGCAAAATGCGTTCCTGCTCCCTTTCATTGCGGATCCGCCTACGTCGACGCTGCAACGATTGAAAGGGTTGACGACGGGGACGCTGCCAACGTTTATTGATATCGGTTCGAATTTTGCGGGGACGGCGATCGAGGAAGATAATTTGTTGATGCAGATGAGGGATGCGGGCAAGAGGATCGTGCATTTGGGGGATGATACCTGGACGGCTCTATTCCCTGGCTATTTTGAGGGGAATATAAGTCGAGCGTACGACTCTTTTAATGTGTGGGATTTGCACTCGGTGGATAATGGTGTCAATCAGCACATTTTCCCATTACTGGGAGAGAGGAGGAAGGACGAGTGGGATGTGATGGTTGCGCATTATTTGGGCGTGGATCATGCGGGGCATAGGTATGGACCGAATCATCCGGCTATGACGGGAAAGCTGCAGCAAATGGATGGGGTGTTGAGGGATGTTGTTAGGGCGTTGGATGATGATACCCTGTTGGTGGTTATGGGTGATCATGGAATGGATGCCAAGGGAGATCATGGTGGTGAGAGCGATGATGAGGTTCAAGCTGCGTTGTGGATGTACTCCAAGAAAGGAGTATTTGGACGCACGCAACCGAGCTTTGTAACGCCTCCGCTGCATGCTAAGGAGAGACCGGTTGATCAGATCGATTTGGTTCCTACCTTGGCTTTGCTATTGGGATTACCAATTCCTTTCAATAATCTGGGGAAGCCGATCGAAGAGGCGTTTGCTGGCAAGAAAGGCAATGCTTGGGAGAATCTCGCGAATGTGGTGAGGACGACTGCTGCTGGAATCAAGAGATACCAAGCTGCGTATTTCGCTGCTCGTGGTATTGACGAGAGCACTATTGATGGATCTCCACGCGCTCTATGGACTCTGGCTGAGAACACGCTTGCTGGGAATGGAAAACAACAGATGTGGCAAGACGCTTACAGGACATTCTCAGAATATCAGGAGAAGAACCTCAAGGTATGCCGGGACTTGTGGGCTCGATTTGATGTGCCTAGCATGTGCTTAGGCATTGTCATTCTTGCTGCTGGTGTGGTGTCCCTTATGCTATTTGCGAATTGCAATACGGATGATAATACAGCTATTGTTGATGCTCCTGAATTGGATCGAACGGAGCTACAGCTAGAAATCGACGAGTTTGCCAAGGGCAATCCACCCACAGTCACAGAAGAAACTACTAGTCGCTCACTAGTGAGAGGTGCTTTGATCGGCTCCCTCCTAGGAGTCGCAGCTGGTCCGACAGTCTGGATAGCTACTGGTGGTGGAACACTACTTGACTTTGGTCTTGCTCTTACTTCTGTCTCTGGTTTGATAGGCGTGCTATACCAAGAGATGAGGAGAAGGATGGCTTTTGGTAACCCTTTCCCTACTTCTTTCTGGGGCTGGCTTGCCGTCATCTTTACCGTCAGCCAATCTATTGGCTTTGCCTCCAACTCGTACACCATCTGGGAAGATTCCATTACTTTGTTCTTCATCAGCACCTTTGGTATTGCAACGGCAGCATCCTCTTTACGGTTAGAGAAGAAGTCAGAAATGACTCTTGGAGTCTATCACTCTCTTGTCTTTGTTGCTTTGGGTTGGGCAGCTTCGTTCTCGAAACTGTGCAGAGAAGAGCAAATGCCCTATTGCAGGTCGACGTACTACGCTTCTGCAAATTCTTCTACATCTGCTCCCTGGCAACTTATCATACCCTTTGTGGTTGCCATCGTCTTACCTTCTATCATCAAGTCTTACTACACTAGCAGCCGAAATTATGAAGGTCTAGCACCTTTATGGATTGGCTGGGCATTCCGGGCTGGTCTATTCATGAGCGCTGTATTCTGGACTTTGGATGCTGCTGACGATGGAGAATGGTTTCCAAACCTTGGAAAGAATACACTCAAAAGCCTCCGTGTGCCTATGGCTCAGACCGTCTTTGCCATGGCACTCGGAGCTGGCTCTGTAGCATTCGGCTGGGCTGACCCATGCGTCTCAATCACCACAGAAGCTGTTCCAAACGCTGCCTCTTACACCGACGGACCAAGTGCAACACTCACCGTCCTCGGATACGCCAACACCCACGGTACCCGCTACTTCCTCCTCGTCATCAACCTCCTCCTCTGCATCCTCATGGTTCAAAAACCCATGGGCGGAGGCGCCATCTCCCTCATGACCTGGCAGATCTTCTCCCTCCTCGAAATCCTCGACCTCAACTCCCTAACCACCTCCCCAATCGGCCCCGTCCTCCTCGCCCTCCTAGGCTCCTTCCACTTCTTCAAAACAGGCCACCAGGCAAGCCTCGCCTCCATCCAATGGGAATCAGCCTTCATCCCCCTCCACACCATCAAATACCCGTGGTCACCCCTCCTCGTCGCGCTCAACTCCTTCGGCGCCCAGATCCTGGCCGCGGCAGCCGTGCCCCTCGTCGTGCTGTGGAAACAGAAACCGCAGAAGAAGGGGATTCTGAAGAGTGTGCTGAGGGCCCTGGCGTGGCATGTGGCGTATTATGCGGTAGTGGGATTGGCGACGACGATGTGGGCGGGGTGGCTAAGGAGGCATTTGATGCTGTATCGGATTTTTAGCCCGAAGTTTATGACGGCTGCGTTGGTGCTACTTGTTGTTGATATAGTAGGGTTGGTGGTTAGTCTTGTGGGGGTGAGGTGGAATACTTGGAAGGTTGGGGAGACTTTTGGGTGGGGTTAAAAGAGTGTGGGAATTTGTGTAAAAGTATAGTGGATGGGTGTCTTTATGGGATGGCATTTTTCGTTTGGTATAGGATTGCATAGCGAGGGCATTGAAGGAATTGCACTACTACTTGGATCGTTCTTCAACCTTGTTTTCTCGGGCATTAAGGAATTGTGAAGGAATCATATCCTCGATTAGCAGATATTGACTAAGACGTGAATGTAATGTCCTAGCTCAAGTCAAAGTCCGACATTCAGGATGATCGCTAGGTCAAGAAGAGCGGATTTGAGTTTTGAATGTCAGGTCTTAGCTCTGGAATTTCTGCAGCAAAAATCTGCATCCGCGATAGAAACCCTATTGAGCATGAGAATGTGTGTGTTGGTGTTCCGACTTCAACTTGCTTGAATGTCCAAAGTGAAGCTCTAACTTAGACAGCATTACTTGTTCTAGTTGAATATGGGAGAATCGATGTCTTAATGTCCAATATCTGGTTCTTGGAATGAGCACTACTCTCCTGATCGTGACCTCATTAAGATGGCTAATACTAGAGATCAAGTGAAGACCGCAGAACGAGTGTTTGGATTTATGACCAAATGTGTGGCTCAGCTCAAAGCTGGTCAACTCCTTTTTCGCTTGGCTTACCTTTGCTCGGTCCACAACCTGATAAGAATGTTAAACTAAGATGCTTGGGGTACCGGAAACTTGGGTGGAATTGCTTGTGAAATCACTGCTTGAGCGAAGCAGAACGTCAGAACAGGGGTTGATCTCATGGTAACGATAGTGGGCCAAGCGGTGTCAAGACTATGCGGGAGAGTCGAAATCATACATATTCTAAAGGATTAGATGACTTGAGCATATAACAGATATAAGTGGCCTTCGTCATTGCAAGTACCATATTCTTCAAAGATTGAGGTTATTGAAAACTTAGATCATATTTTTGAAGCATAATTTGTTGATCCAAATCGGGCTTGAAGAATAGCATGGATAACAAGCTAAGTGTATTGTGATGCCAGGCATTTGATTGTCTTGGCAATGGACAGCAGCAATTTTGAGTAGGGCTTAGGAGCTTTGAAGGAAGAAGAGATGAGTGGTGAATGAGGCATATGGCAGCTGCATAATAGAAATATTCCATCTATATTTCTGATATGGGCTATAAGATGACTTGGACGACTTCATATAATGATTATTGTTTCTTTGGTCCTCACTAACCCGACCAAGATTGCCGCACAGAAGTTCACCTCTGCCATAGACACTGTGAAAGGAAAGGTTCTACATTTACGACGGCAATTAAGCAGATAAAATTAATTGAAAATCTAAAACCAGCTATTGTGAAACGATAAACTGCGAAAGTAGAACATAGCGAGCTAATGTGAGTCAGGTGCTGTAGCAAAGTTGTGGAACATATATATCATAACCAAATCGCTGTTCGGAAAACTTTTTCTTGGATTACACGGCTCGCTAGATGTGCACTTAACATCTCATGTAGACTCTGTAAAATTCAGTAGAAGATTAGGTTGAAAGGTCAGTTCACCAGAAGTTGTCGTCTGGAAAAACCTCAAGACGCCGTCGGCAAAACCCATCGCGAACCTCCGACTCAAGCTTCCCACAAGACAGCACAGCTCCCATAGCATACAACGCAATCATCTCATGCATTCCACCCATTTCCCAAAAAATCCTGCCTCAGATCATATCCCAAGATGTCCTTCGACTCACCCCTCCCACCATATAATGCCTCCGACCCAACAGCAATCTTCCTCAACTCCTCCTGTCTCGACCTCCTCATGATCGAGCTCGTACCCATGGCCTACCGAATCGTGAACGAAGTCGACGCCGGGACCGACGACCGAATAGCGATATCCGCCGAGAAGAAAGACGGCGGAGGGACAGGGAGTGTTGGCAAAGGAAGCAGTACAACGAATGGCGCAAGCGGGACCTCGAATGGACATGGTGGACCTGGAAGGAAGATGGACGAGGATGAGGAGCGAGATGCTGTGTTTTTTAGGTTGGAGATGTTGGGGTATAGGGTGGGACAGGGCCTGGTTGAGAGGTTAGTTATGCTGCTTTGTTTGGAGCTTTGGCAGATGGCTGGACTGCAGCTGACAGTTGTGACATTGGCAGATTCTCAAGAGATAGACCACGGTTTACAGATACACTGGACGTTATCAAATTTCTGTGTAAAGATTTGTGGATGCTAGTTTTCAGGAAACAGATTGATAATCTGAAAACGAATCATAGGGTCAGACATTTTACTCCGTTTCTACAACACAAGCTAATGGATATCTAGGGAGTCTATGTCCTGACAGATAATTCGTTTCGGCCGTTCGCACGCATGAGTACTGAGGCTGGTGGACAAGCGGTAGTTCGGGCTCAACCTGTAAGTCTGGTTCAATGATTGGACTGATTAGGAACAAAAAGACTGACTGCAACAGTTTCTGTGGTTTCCTTGCGGTATAATACGTGGAGCTCTTGCAAGTATGGGGATCAATGCAACAGTTCAAGCAGAAACCAGCGAATTACCGGGAGCGACTTTCCAGATCAAGAGTGTTACCACGAAACCTTAACGGTGTACTTTTTGATATATCAGGGACAGTTTTGAGATGACGGGTTAGAGAAGTGATATAATATTGTGCAACTTAGCGGCATACTCGGCGTTGGTTGGGTAGGCATTCAGGGAGTTACAGGCGTGGATCATTGGCAAGGAGCATAGCGATTCGGAACGCAAATCATTTCGAGGGGACACCTCAAATCAATATGTACTTTTGTATTCGTCAAATTCATTCCGTGGCACCAGACGGAACCTCAGCGTGTTCTAAAAGCCATCAAACCGATCCGTTTCCTCCTTCCCTCGCAGTCCTCCACCAATCATCCAGTTCAAGACCGACGCTCGAAAAGCACGAATGAAAGAAGAGAAGGAACAGAAAACCATCCTCTCGCCCAAGTCGGAACATCGAAGGAAAGCCATCACAGCCTATCTAAGCAAGCGCCAACGATCAGTCAAGGGATTCTTACCAAAGAAGAGCCAGACCTTGTTCTTCTTTCACCATTCTAGCTTGAGATGACAAATGAAAGTTCTCGATATAGCATCTTGAACGAAAAGTAGCCTTTTGTTCTACCTCTATAGTGGAGGAAAACCAAGAGAAAGGAGAATTGGACGGGAGGACTACTTTTGTGGTGGGTTATGGGCGAAGCTGACACCCTTTGCAATGTTGCCCTTCAAGCCTTCTACACAAGCCTTAAGGAGGGTCTTCTCAGCATCGTTGATATTTGTGAGTGGGTTGAAGACCTTCTCAACACCGCTTGTCTATAGAGTGATTAGCGGAATTACAGGTTCAGAACTGTAGAAAGACTTACACCAAGCTCAACGGGAACAGAGAAGAAATCGCAGCCAGTCTCCTTGTGGATGGCCTCGCCGCCCGAAACACCTGGCAGGTAGACGAACGATGGCTCGACAATATTCTTCTCGCCGTTGAGGCCCTTCAGGACTGCCTCAGCAAATCTACGGCGAGTTAGAACAACCTTCAAAAGAGGAGAAGAGGCATTACCTGAAACCAGCATATGCCATTGAAAGAGTGGCAGATCCAGCTCCATCCTTGGCAGCGACAACTTCGTCACCACCAAATTGAACACGCTTAACCAACGCTGGCATCTTGTCGGCTGGAATGTCAACAGATGGCTTGGCTTGGCTGAAAAGAGGTACGATGGTCTCTCCAGAGTGGCCTCCAATGACTGGAATGGTCAAACTTTGTGGGTTCTTCTCGCCAATGATCTCAGCAACGAAGGTTTCGGCACGGACAACATCGAGGGTTGTGACACCGAAGAGACGCTTGGGATCAAAGACTCCCTTGGCCTTCAAAACCTCAGCGGCGATTGGGACAGTCGAGTTAACAGGGTTTGAGATGATCAGGATGTAGGCTTTTGGTGCAACCTCAGCAATAACTTCGATAAGGCCCTTGACGATGCCAGCGTTAATGTTGAAGAGGTCATCACGAGTCATTCCTGGCTTGCCTGTAATTCTAAGCATCAGTCTATTATTTATATAGCCGTGCTAAGCATAACTTACGAGGAATTCCAGCAGGAATAACAACGATATCTGCATCCTTCATGGCCAGCTTGGCTCCGTCATCCTTTGGCAGGTAGCCGGTGATTTTCTATATCCCTCATCAGCGACTTTATCACTGTGTCTGACATGGCGACAATACGTACAGCTGGGGAAGAAATGTGTGAAAGATCGGCTGCGACACCTGGTGTATTGACGACATCGTACAATGCCAGTTCGGAGATGAGGGGAGAGGTCTTAAGGAGGAGGGACAATGGCTGTTGAGGTAATGGTCAGCAAAAGAGCCCGAAGTCAATAAACATGGAAACCAACCTGTCCGATACCACCAGAGGCACCAGCGACAACTAGAACCCTTTTAGAAACTTGCTATTTGTCTGCGATACCTTCTATAGTAACATACCAGCCTTAATACCCATCTTTGCGGATTTGTGGTGATCGAGTATCTGTCCCAGCAAGTTAGCAATTACCCCGCATTGAATCGCTGTAGAGCCTATAAGTGAAAATTGGACAAAGTAACGTACCTTATGAGTTTATTTCTAGGAGTTGAGAAGGATGAATTATCAGAGAGGATTCCAAAGTTGATGAGTTGGTAAGAAAGGGCCAAAGGAAGTGTTGATGATCCTGCTGAGGCGTGAAACTGTGGCGGGGTAGATTTGCTGGGCGTTCGCTCACTCGCTAGTGTGGGGTTGAACGGAGCTTGGCCGGGCATCGGGATGCTTACCTGCGTGAATGGGCAGTATGTCTCTTTTCAGACGCTTCTCTTTTGACAGAGAAAAAAGAATATGTTGTACCTTACATATCGCTTTTAAAGGTACAAGCATTCAACACTAGTTCAAGCTCTATGACCGAGGCTCGTTGCTTCATCGGAGAGGACCGGACAAAGTGTCACTTTAGGCCGATTGTAATTCGTCTTCACTTTGTTTTCACATGTCGGAAGCTTTATCCAATAGTTTGAGGTTCTGGGTATACTTTTAGGAGAAATCATGTGGATTTTTGGAAGGCACTTGATTCTGCTATAGCCGACTACTCCTTGAGGTAGAACATGGACCCATCCATGAATTCCCTATCAAGGCAGAAGAATGCTCAGAACCACTTCACCAAAGCCACATGCCATGAACAGTTCATAGACCAGTAGCCGCAAGATAACTCCTGAAATTGTGCTCTATTCATGAGTGACTAGCAAGACCGTATCCCCTCCACCCACCAATTTACTCGTCCTTCTCAGCAGCTGCCTTCTTTGCCTTTGATCCACGCAACTTCTTCTCCGGGACATCCTTCTTCGTTCGTTGAGATTGTCGGATAGCAGATGAACGGGCAACAGCCTCAGATCGGAGATCAGCTCGGTATCCTGACTTGGCAGTGCTGGAGACGATTCCCTTGTATGTCCTGTGATTTCGTCAGTATCTCGCCCTGCTGCAGATTGTAATATCTATGGAGGCTCACTTTCTGGTGGTCTTGTTTCCGCCGAAGGTAGTCTTGTGGACGTGGCTGACAGGTCTTTGTGGGTGCTTGACCTTCTTCGTGATCAACGTAACTCCTCCCTTGTCACCCTCAGCTGGGATAACTCCAACAGCCTGCCCAATTTGTCAGTCATCATTCTGCTATCTCCGTCTTCGACTTTCCAGCGCCTACCTTGTCGTTGACGAAACCAGCATACTATATCATATATTAGTCCAGGCTCCTCGATTTGGATACTTGTGTACAAACCTTGCGAGAGTGGAGGTTGGTCAGGTTGAAAGGATCGCGAGAGAATTGAACACCTCCGCTAGAAGCGCGCTTCACGAGGAAGGCATTGGAAGGACCTGAGGGCAATAATCAGTTTCCATCAACACTCATTTTCCTATCCAATTCCTTGACGTAACGACTCGGTTTCCCAGGACTCTGAGGGTAAAAACGTACGGACAATCTCCCAGATCAGGTCCGCAGACACTTGGCTCGAGTGGTGTGACATTTTCGCAGAGTTGTTTGTCTTGACAAGTCGTCTTCAACTTTTCGCGATCTCAATAGTCAAAATCATTCAATCGCTTTCTGTGTGCCGACCAGCCAATCAGCAGAGGGCTGTAACACTAGGCTCATAAAGCTGCGCTAGGCTAGATTCAGTCGGCTGACGACGAGCCTTGTGCTTCGCCTTCATTCGCATTGACCACTGTACCGAATTTGGCCAGGCTGCATGAATATAACATGATCTGACATCCCTCCTCCATCGTCACATTGGTTTCATGCGCCAAGTCTTAATATCAGGAGCATCCTGAGCTCTGCCATAAAGTCTCTGATCTCCTCATCATAAAAACCTTTTGAAAGATGGGCTACCTCCTCTATAGCACCGTCTTCGGCCTCCTCGTCCTCTCTACCGGTATGTTTCGGATCTGCTATCTGTTTCGACGCTTGACTGACAACCTCCACAGTCCTCTACCTCACGAAAAATATCTGGTTGCCCCGTATGTATTCGATACCAGGCACCTCTTATCTCTACTCCCGCCTCCCCTCTTCCTTTCAAGCCGATATCGAGTCCGGGTTGTCATCCTCGGCCTTCGACCTGTCAAGCAATGTCGCTGGGGGAGATTCGAGAAGAGGATTAGATGATGTGAGCAAGAGGGAGATCCAAAAGATTATGAAGACCCGGAGAGTGAACTTCGACGAGGCAAGAAGGATACACACCGAGGGACGATTTGCCAAGAATAATATCGGACCCGACGGACTACCCAGAGACCCCAAATTTGTCAGCTTCTCATAGAGATGGAAGAGCCGACGATTTACGACTTCGAGCACGCTTGTTGATATTTTGGACGGAACGATGACTTTCACATCACCACATCCGGACCGTCCCGGAAACCACAATAGTCAATAAACCTACCTTCTCTTTCTCAGAGCCTTGACCAGAGCCTTGGTCAGCTCTATTCCACCCTTTACGTTCGGCGACGATTGTGGTTTTGTTGGGTGGAACTTTATGAGACACTTTGTCTCAACTCGATCCGGTGTATTTTTTCGAGCCAAGCACAAACATTTCCTAGATTCTTCTCTGGGTTGCGATAAAGCGGAGCGGATGGGGTTTGGATTATGATAGGATGGGATGGGATGGATAGGTCAGATGGAACTATCAGTGACGCCAATTTCATATGTCACTTGTTACTATACAGGAGGCCTACAAGCTACATATTACAATCAAACGTCGGGCATCGCGTCCATACTACTACTCGTAAATCACTAGAGTATTTCACGAGCTCGTGTGATTCGTGTGAGATTCTTTGACCCTACAATTCCCTGGTTATTGGCTCAGCCAAGTGACATGCCCGAGTTGAACTTCTCTTACGCATTTCCAAGATAGCATCAACTTGAACAATACATCTTATGCTATTCCTGAATCCTTCCAGATGCGACACCACCTCAGCAAGCTCCCGCAGATCATCCAAGTGGATTCCCAAAATACCCCAGTTTTGAAACTTTGCGCCACTTCATCGAGCGCCAAGCAGGGTCCTTCTAACGTTAAGGATGAACCCTACACGTTTCCTGATAGCAGATCTTTGCCCCTCCACATCCCACTTTCTTGACTTGATACCAAGCATGATGTCGACGAAACACTGGTCTGGGCTCGGTGGCGAACGGGCAAGTGCCATATTGGAACTTCATGATAGTGGAGGTTAGAGGAGGGGTTGTCCTGTCAGAGATGATGACGGTCAGGAGGGGTAATGTTCATGGTGGGATGTCTACGGATGTCGGCATTGAAGGACTTACGTGGAGATGTAGGAGAATGACTCGAGGGTCAGAGGATTTGCTTTTCTCTTTGGGTACTGAGTATTGTCTGCAATGAATGCATCGTGTTGTTGAATGGTGCGTTCGGGTCGAACAGGTGCTTGCTCAAGTTCGACGCCTCGGCTTTCGTTCTCCGCGCGGATTTGATGTCTCACAGAGTGTGCATGTTTTCGCAATATGCTTCAGTTGAAGTTCATCGTAGTTGGGTTTTCACAGGCGTTCGCATGAGCTTCGCGCAATATGTCTTCGGTCAGCAATGCTGCAGAGTCTTGAAAGTTCAATTGATTTCAACTGCTATCGCCTCGTCCAAGACTCCAAATTTCTGAGTACCGTCTTTCAGGAGACCAATGGAAAATGTAACTGGCCGGAGCTCCATTGATTTTGGTAGCATATACCAGTGTATTCGTTCTTGATCCCAGTGCCATGCCCCAGGGATTCTACCTTCTACTTCAAATTCTTCTGCTGTAATCAAGTTTTCGATTATAGAGAACAGCAGATCACCTGTCTCTGGGTGAGTATCTAGCTTGATCGTCCGCTCCAGTCCTCTCGACAGGGGAGGTGCAGACTGATAACCGAGTTCATAATGCCACTTCTCTTGTTCAATTGAATTGTAGATATAATCTTGATAGATAGTGGCTTCGGTCCGGATATACTCTTGCAGGTCATGACCAGCTTCCCTCAGCAAGTCGAACCAGGTGAGGATAGTTTTGCAAAATGGTTCTCGATAACTCCCATGCATAGCAAAGGAGCTTCCTACTAATCTGGCAAGAGGAGTTCTGGCGAATCCATGGCCGGAATGAAGAGGCGGGTTTTCTCGCAGTATGTCTGCAAGAACCCATCGAGACGCTTTATTGTACCCTTGCTCTCTCTGTAGCCAGTATTCCTCAAAGCGTGCCAAGCAGTTCCTTTTGAACTTTAAGGAACCAATGTTCCACGCCGCTAAATGAAGGGAGTGGTTGATCACACTCGTGTCGTTAATGACGTTCCCTTGGCGCTTATTGAGCTTTCTCAAATGCATCACCATCTCCGAAATGTCTGGATAGCTACTACCAACCAAGATTGCTCGCTCTATGCATAAGTCATGGCCATCACGCTCTTCTAAGTCGATGTAAAATTTGTCTTGTCCCAGAAGGTATGTGAACGCCTCGATGGGGCCCACGCAACCATGCAATGCTGTCTGCTCGCTATAATAGTCCGCAGGTAGTGTTTTGGCCATTGGGTCGCACTGGCCACTCTCCACAAGTATACGGAGAGTTTCAAGCGTATCACGAGGTCGGAAGACGCTATCACTGCTGTATATAAGGCTTTTTGGGTCAAATCGATTTCCGCGTCCAGCTTCAAAGGCAGCAAGGTACAGCGGAGTCCTAGATTACATTAGTGCATCGCTCAGAAAAGATAAATCTTTCCTTCTTGAAAGCTTACGGTCCTCGCTCCACATCAACTTCATCGCCATTTGCACCGTTTCTAATCAACCATTCGCAAATGTTCGGCCGGTGGTGAAATGCCGCAACCTATCCTGCTGTAAGCAACAGTGGTTGACACTACTCTCTACGCACGGACCAAAAACACCAAAATCATGAAGACAACAAAAATAATAATACATTATAGTAACTCTACAATCTACTATTTGTTGCCCCTAATAGGCTTCCCACCGCACCTTCCAACCTCTGCGCATCTTCTGGGCATATTAGCAATACGCTCCCGTATTTGCTTTAAGGTAATTTTGTCCCATTCCTCCTAAATACCTATCTTTATATCCTCCTCAGAATCAAATAACCTACGCCTCAATCTTTGCTTTATAATGCTCCAAATAGCTTTAATGGGATTGAGATCAGGGCTTTGGGCAGGATGGACAAGGTTTTGGATATTGTGGGCACTCTTATACTCTTATACTAACCCCTTTTTGCGCATGCTATGAGAGGGATCGCTATCCTCTTGCAATAGCTATGGTTTATTATCGATATAGCGCATAGACTCGATGGCTTGATAGTAGATAGGTAGTAGACGGTCCACATAGTACTTCTGGGTTATAGAATTGCCTTGTACTTTGACCTCTCTTGTATGTGGCATCAAAGCTTCCCATTCTTTGATTCTATGCTTATACTCCTCTTCTGTCTCTATTGTAGGGCGTCGCTTAGGTTTGGGAGGAGGTGGAGGATGCTCAATTTTGTCCTCCTCATCGTTATAGAACTCCAACTTCTCTGCTTTGCCGTACTAAGAGATCCAGCCTGCAATATAAAAGCGTACTCCTTTGAGAGGAGGTCTCTCTTCAATATTTTCAGGCGCATCACGCTTCCCACGCTCTCTAGTGATTATTCCTTGAGCTTGTGATGTAGGATCAACATATGCTTCATCTATAAAGACGATATGGTCCTAAAATCTATATAGAAGTTCCTTTTTGTGATCGTGGCCGTACTTCTCCCTCTCCTCCTTATTCTTAGGAGAGATCTGCTTCTTAACAAAGGCGCATTTGTACCTACCACCTCCCTTGGTATTCCGCTTTATCATCCGCTACAATTGGCGCTTCCCAACAGGCAGATTATAGTACTAAATCTACACCTCATAAGGTTGTTTTCTGATAGGGTTTCGAGAGGGGGACACCAAGAGCTTGCACATCGATTTAGTGACTTTAGACTTGTGGCCAAGGATGGCAGATCGTAGCTGAGTGCGTCGCAGTGCTAAAGAACCTATTTCCTTATATTTACGGTCCCAATTTCTTGCAGTACCCTCTGTAATGCCGCAATCGGCTGCTATAGCTCTCCTAGAGCGGACACCACGATCACGCCGCATTGCGTCAAAATATCGACACTTCCTTGTAGTTGTAGCTTCTTTATTGGTAAGGGGTTCGGGGGACGGAGTCTTGAAGGGATTAGATCGCGTTGGTGGTGCCATTCTGTTAAGTGATGTGTATTGTTGATATTATTGTTGATCGCGAAAATTTAATTTCGGTGTTTTTGGTCCGTGCGTAGAGAGTAGTGTCAACCACTGTTGTAAGCATACCTTCTTCAAGCCTATCTTGAATGCGTAATTTACATGGAGAGGAGTATATCCAGTTTCAGTCGTGTCATGGACCGAGGCTCTGTTTTCTTTCACAAGAGCAATGAGCTGCTCTAAATCGCCATACATGCAAGCTTGGAATACTTCCGAAGATTCTGGCACGACATGCCCGGGCTTAAACCAGTACTTCCAATTACCGTTATCCAGACCTTGACACAATGCGAAGCCTTTTAGACGAGTCCAAGTTGCTGGGATAACTTTATGCTCAATTTGTACGACTTCAGAGTCAACATGGTCCGGATCTTTCGAGGAGGTTGCTTTGATTGAACTCGTTAGTATGTATCCAAGCCCCCACCATGTGCTCTGAATCCTCCTCTCCGTTTTAGTCGTCAGGCTTCTCTCGTTATTCTTCGATGTAACTGTCGAGGCGAGGCTTGAGGATACCACTTCTCCACTCTCGAAACAGGATTCTAGAACATCCTGTTTTTGAGAAACTGCGAAACTAAACGAATTCAGTTCACGATACTAGCTTAAGCGATCTCAACTTACAAGCTATGGCACACAACGGCAAATGGCAAGCTATTGTATGATCCTCGCAGCCTCTCCACTAACTCTCTCACCTCCTTCTCTTTCATAACCATCATCACACTTCCCAGCTTCAACTTTCCCCTTAAGCCCGTCTTCGCTGAGCCAGAGCCTAGCCCGCCAACAGAGCCTGCAATTCTTCCATGATCTCTGTCGTGTATCGGAGACATCTCTCAATTGCTTCACTGCCTGTGACATCCTTCGATGGGACATCTTTCAGTATTTGAGCGATGATACTAATCTCTTGCAGTAAATGCTCAATCTGCCTTGGAGCCGCTTTGATCTGTCGGAACAGACTATAGAGTGCGTTCGCACACATGAGGGTTTGCCCTGCCAATTGCGTGATAGCCGCAACAGCTCCGAGCTCTGCCATCTTTAACACTCTTCTGTTTGATGTTTTTTCTTATTGCCTACGATCTGAAAAATTAAGTACTTAAATCGAGATTCAAGTATTTGCTGTCAATGAGGCTGAGCATAATTGTGGCTGAGTACCGTTGCCTGATGCAGCCGCCAGCCTCACTGTCTTCACAATATCTAGTAACACAGTTGTCATAGGTGCATTGTACCACATGAAACAGCGCTCGTATATACGTCGTACCGTCAAGAATAGAGCCGCTGAGGCTGAACACATGATTGCGCATATTTTGACTCGCCCACCATTCCAATAGCCAGATGGCAAAGGTTAATCAACTTCTGAATTGGTCTACATGAATCGGACGATTCTCGGAGCTAAAGTGTAAGCCATGTTAAGCTTATCAACAAGCAGTAGCTCTGTAACTTGTCACCATCAAGGCACCCATAAAGATGCATAAAAGAAGTTCTCGCGTCGCTGCTGAGCTCTTTAGAGATATGAATTCATTGAAGTCATTCAAATTCATTAAATTCATTGGATCAAGGGTGTCCGTGGCACTCGGCTCCCAACTGACCTTGTTTCCGCCGTTGTTGGTGGGATAGTAAATGCAAGGTGGATTGTCGTCAAACTAAGACATCTTCACCATGTATCTATGGACATTGAGGTGGACATCCAAGGTGTCTCAAGCCAGACACTTCCTGACTGACATTCAAGAATGGAAGTTGCCTTTACTTTGCGTAGCGTTTCGTTCCTCCCTCACACTTTATAGTGCAGCTCTCTCTTTTATACATGTATTTCCCCAGGCAATCGCTTAGCAAAATAGGGGCAACACTCGTCCAATTCGAAGTGGATATCAGACACCGGTGTAGATGAGTGCTTCTCGTTCTTGATATTTGGACTTCATGTTATAGGTCTCTTTCTAACACCTTGTTTTCCCAAGGGTGGATACAACTCAAGATCTGGAGCTTAGTAAAATTAGTTTACACAACTTTGACAGGCAGGTGGTTGTGTCGTTCGGTAACAGAAAGCGCAAAGGAAAATTTCAAGTGGCTTCGGGGCATTTTCAAGCTGGCTTCCTTTGCCGTACTCCCTACAAGCTCCATACTCATACTGTAGAAGGCCACGAAACTGCATCAGTGGCTCTGGAAAATTGTCGGCGAGTTGGTCTTTTTTGTCGTGTGTGATAATACTATCGAACAAATTAAAGGTACTGGGGTGAATAGCTTGGTATAATCCGAGAGTTCCAAATTCGGGCTACATAGAGATTGAAGACATTAAAAGTTCACTTGCCGAACTTGAGATGTTCACCGCACTTTCCTGCTATTCTGCAAGTCTGCCTTTTTTTTTTTTGGCGCTTTCTGCGCTAGTAGCGCGAATAGCACGAATTGCGCTGATTGCGCTGTGAACCCCGTTGAACTGATTGATTATCGAACATATTGCACCTCATCGTTGCTGAACTCGCTTCCATGGAATCACTCTGCGGATTGTATTCCTCCCACAGCCAATTTTCCAAAAACTCCCAGTCGTGGAGTTTGAATGCTTCAACAATGTCTTGATCTTTAAGGTAGCTGGAATGATTTTCAAAGACATAAGACAAGCCTTCATCCACAAGGGCTTAGGGGTAATAGGGATTTTCTCGGATGGTAAGAAACTACCACCAGTAGACATGATCTTAAGTCAGGCTATCAATCGTTGCCTCGCGTCTTGACTTCTCACTATGAAAAGGTGCAGAATAAGTAGTTAGCTTTTAAGAGGACAAAACAATATACTTTTCTCGTAAATTTTCCCCACCAAAAATTTAGAACTACGGAAGCGACATTCCGAGTAAATTTATTTAGATACGGCATACTTTGACATATCTCCCCCAGAAACCCTGAAACAAGAAAAGCGCCTTTCAGAGTATAAACTACTATTTCCCATAAATTGCAGTTTCCCAACTTTCCCCTAGTAACATTCGCTAAGTGAGAACAAAATTCCAGAGCAAGAACCTGGATTAAAGACCAGAACTGCACTTCAAAAATCACTAGCTCTATGAGTATCAGTTCTGTTGCCAATTTTCTATCGTCAATATACAAATTCTCAAGTGACAACACTTACACTTACCCAACAACCACTATCATAACCGTTTTACCCTCATCACCACCAATAATCCAAGAAAACCACAACAACAGCAACAACAACAACGATCCCCAACCTCTCACTCTCCGATTCATCAATTTCTCATCACAATGGAAAACATGATATACCGAAAAGTACGCCCCCAGTTTCAATCATCCACACCATGGTGCCGATTTAGGTTGGCTACCATTTGTTCATCAGACGGAAGAAACAGGATGGGAGTGTGTATATATATATCCTTCAAGCTCTCATTCACTTGTTCCTCAACTGCCCAAAAAAAAGCACTTCTCTGTATATCTCTGTGAATTCACTAGATGCCCACTCCAATCCTTTACCTCTTTCTCAATTCACCTCAATTAATCTAGTTCTATCTCCAAGAAACAAATATATTAAATTACACAGTTACTCACAAAGAAATACTAACTTCAGATTTCTACTTCTCTATTATTTCAAGGATGAGGGTGATTCTCGTCCAAATGTGATCTTAGCAACCTGCAATACTCTCACTCATCCGCAATATTTCTTTATCCGCAACAGTTCAGTGCCATGACCGTAATTATTGATGTTCGTCGTGGTGTGGTTGTTGACAGCAGGCTTAGTTATGACAACGCTTTATTGTATACTTGTGAGAAAGACAAGGAAAGGGTGTCAATAGCAAGTTGCTGTGCAAAAGATTTTAGTCTGGTCAAAACATAACCGCAGCTTTCAAAAAGCACATTTACCTTCAGCTCATCTTCAGTATCTTTGAAGAAAAAGAAAAGAAGAGACGGTGAAGAGAGGAGGGTGGTTTATATACCCTCAGCCCTGTTCCCCCTGTTTTCGCCGAAAATACCCCTCTTTCGCCGAAAATTTGGAATTCACCCCTACTGCAACCCAACCCAGCCTCTGTTCTCACTCAGCTCACCCTCCATCTGACAACTATAAAAACATCCACACTCCCACATAGAAACTCCAGCTTCGGACATCGGGGCTTGGGAGGTATGGTCCATTTCTTCTGAGGCTGGATCCCGTCCTAATGTGGATTTGAGCAAGCCACGACGCCCCCACCTATCCTCAACCCTTTCCCTCATCTGCAACACTTTGTTGCTAGCCGCGGTAAAACTTGTTGACAGCAGAAGAGAAGTTGACAGTAAATCACAGCATAAATCGATTCTACTCAGGTTGGCAAGATTGGATAGAGGTAATTTTTCGTGTGGCAAGTCCACGATGTGTGAAATCCAATTCTCATTTATTATATATCATAGTTGACTTACGGGTACGGACATCCCAAGATTTTGTTGCACATCGCATAAGCCGTGATGAGATTTTGACGTGAGCGTCTCAAATCCGATCAACACTCATGGTGTCTTAAAGTCGGTTCCTGGGTACGAACAATAGCGAGTTAGATGCGAAATTTTTCGCTTTCAATTGTACGTTGCACTTGTCAGACTCCTCAGTGCTATCTATGTGGCCTTTTTTGAGATGTTTGAGTTAAACATGTCATTATTGATGGGGCAATTACTGGCCCCAGAAATGCATGTGATGGTGTGTATAGTATTGCTTGATGTTGAGGAAATTGCATCATTTATTGTCTATGAAAAAGAAAGAGAAGAGACGAGGAAGAGAGGAGGGAGGTTTACAATGTACCCTTCCATCATACATAAGTTTCTTGCTATCCGGTCATGCTACTTTAACTTGAAGAAGAGACAATTTACGCGGCTTTGAAGTACTTGATTGCTGACGGACTTTGAATCTTTGAACAACTTCTGTTTCTACGCTCTCCTCAAGTTGGAGTAGCATGCCTACATATCCACATTTCTGGCAAGTTAAGCTATGCACATGGGGGGCGGGGGCCGGAAAACACTGCGAACACTTTCATCATTTCTTTTCGCCGATTCTTCTTCATGATACTTGGATTCACATCCACTCAGAAGAATTCAAACTAAATCTTTCTTCCCCTCCTTCCATTTCTCTTTTATAGAAACGCTTAATTCTTTTCCAAGAAACTCAAACTTCAAATGTCTCAGACCTCACAGATGAAGCTGGATCAGGCCCAAATGTGAATTTAAAAATCCGCAATATTTTTATTTGTCCGAATACTTTATCTATCCGCAACAATCCCCCATCCGTAACAGTATAGTGCGAATATGATTGTTGTTGTTAGCTGTGGTGTGAGCGTTGACAATGAAGACACGTTTGACAATAAAAAATGGGAGGACGAAGTGCTTTAATTATCTACAAGTTCCCATGAACTTCATTGACAAATAACCACCAGGTCCAGGGAGCACGTGTTATGGTATAGTATACATAGTATCGTTAATTGTTGATGGAAAGGAAAGGAAAAGAAAACACAAGGAAACGGAGTACTATTTATATGACCCTCCAATGTACCACCCCTTCTCGGCCCTCCTTCTCTTTCCGCCGTTTCTTTTTCATGAGACCTACATTCATTTGCTTTCAAGAAAAAGTTCAATCTAGATATTTACGAACCAAGGGTAGTGGGATATCATCATCCAAAACCTATCAGATTCACTTGCAAATACAAAACAGCACACTAGCGTGGCGCTAGTGACGATATAAACGCACCTCGCTGAGTCTTATTTCTACAAGAAAAAAGTGGCCATTCTACGACATGGCGTACATTTGCTATGAGGGGGATGAGGCCCAGGCTATGTGGTGTACCGGTTAGACTGTGCGTTATTAAGGTATGGGCAAAGAAGCAAAATAGGAGCATGAAAGGTGTAAGGAATAGCTGTTGTCAACATGAATTCTTCTCTTCCATCTCTCCCCTATATAAATTCTGAGCTTTCACACTAAAAGGAAACCAACGCTCTACATCTTTCTTGTTTCACACTAGAGATGAGGGTAGATTCTGGTGAGTGTAATCTACAATAGAGACACCAACCCGCAACCCACTAACCTGT